GAGATGAAGTAGCGCGAATGGAGTTCAAATTGTGCTAGGGCGATATATTTTCTGTGGTAATACCCAACCAAGCAGTACTTTCCCAAATTTTCTGTTCGAGAGTAAGGATTAAGAGACGTTAAGCAAAATTTCAGAAAGAAGCAAACAAGGAAACGGTACACAAACAAGCAAACAGGCAGATACGATTTCATTATCGATGAGATGAGCTTCGGAAAAAAAAATTGCTGTCTCTAGGTGTTGCTGGCCATACTAAGTCCATACCTCCAGGGTACAAAGCAAAAATAACCCACGCGCAATGTACAGTGAGGAATCCTCGGGCACAGAAGATTTTTTTCTTTTCTTTTCTTTTCTTTTCCTCTTTTTGTCCCTTGGTACAAGCTGTAATTTGTCTCCCTGAATCTGAACCCACGGCCTCCGCTTTGCTTCGCATTATGCAGGAATCCGCCGCGGGCCCCTGCCAATCCTGGCTAAAAAAAATCAGGGCAACACATTGCGCGGAAGAAACCAACGCGCTTTGAATTCCCACGCAGGTTCAGGGGCGTCGAGGATGATTTTTTTTCCACCTCGATTTATTTCCTTTCGTGACAGGTGAGCTGTATTTTCGAGTATTTTTATTCGTCTGTGCACTCGCCTGTGCCTACCTGAATGATGGTATTTTTGAAAACTACCGTCGAATGTCTGGAACACGTACGGATTATTCTACACACCAGTCAATAATAAATTGATGTTCTGCGAATGAACCAATCATTTTAATGCCCCAAAACGATATTGGAAACTTTAATCAGGCCTTTGCACTAATTTCAAAAATTGAAATATTGGTATGAAACGAAGCCAGGGGAACTGCATCTCTGGTGAAACTTTTTTGTTGAAGCAACCTGTACAAAATGTTTGTTTCCGAAAGTGCTGGAACCCAATGAGAATGTTCCATGGTAATCAACAGAGGTCGCCCTCCCATGTGTAAGAACAGAGCTGTTTATATAGAGAGCTGTGTACAGCATTTAAAGAGAGAGCAGTGCCAACTTCAGACTTTGGAACCAAAATGGCTGTTCATTATGCAGAATGCAGCTATTGTGTACTGTCCTTATGCAGTGACGCATAAGCCACTATTTTGGTTCCAATAATTTAAACACTCTTGTCGCAAACCCCTCCATAAACAGCTTTGACTGTACCTGCCCATAACTGTTTACATACAGAGTTGCGACATAAATGCCATCATTGTTTGAAACAAACTGGCAGGTGTATGCACCAGTGCACACGGACAGTTGGTGTACAATAGCCGCACGCTGTACGATGTGCAGCCATTTTGTTTCCAAACTCTGAAGCTGGTGCACTCTCTGTATACAGCTCCAGTAAAGTTGGGTCGCGACTTAATATTAAGGAGCATACTTTTCTTTTTGATACTATTCACAGTTGTTTCCAAATTGCCTTGATACTAATGGAAAGAAAAGTAGCTACAGTCAATGTCTACTTTTGGATATTCTAAACGAAATCCACGGGATTTTATTCAACAGATATTTTATGCAGCTCCGGTTCCTATACCAATGAAAGCCAAAAAACTCCCTGCCCGTTGCATAAAACGAAGTCAGACCATTTTGTTTTATTTTGCAAATTAAATTAGTAGTTACCAAGCCTTTGTGGGTGAAAAGACATCACATGAAATTAAGCAGACAGCCCAAAGTCCGCCTCCAATAAACTGCGATTACACCGCTCATGTTTGCGTGCCGTGATGTTTGGACGATAATGTATGCTAAGAGGCGTTCGATGGGAGCTGTAATGGGGGATTTCTGATGGTAATGTGTTTTCAAGTGCATGGGTAAAGTGGCCCGCTGCCAGTGGTCTCATTTCCCCTACAGCAGCTGTTTTCCTGGAGTCCTGGTCATTTATTTTCCCACCAACTAGCTACGGCATGTGGTCTGCAGCGTGGTGCACAAAATCCACGGCGTCGATGGACGAGTGCCGTGTACGGCCAATCTGTATTGCCCCCTCTTGCATGCGGAATACCAGGGAATGACAGCCGTTTACTCTGCACTCTGAACTAAACGGCATGTGAACAAAACGAAAAGATCCTAGCACACACTCAAAGAGGAAATTCCGATTATCGTTACCCTATTCGCTACTGGGCCATCCTGAATCGAAAGCGAGGCGACCGCTGCATGCAAGCGCGTTGTTTCCTCGAAATGTATATGAAGATTGACTGGAACTAAGATAGTGTAGTAAAAGCACATACAATGTGGCGGTTAAGATTGCCGTGTTGTTATGGAATGTTCTAAATTATGGTCATAGAGTCATTAAATGAAACGTTGTGGCCCAAATGAAGACACTTTTTGAAAACGAGACCAGCCTTGTACTAATCACAGAACAGTCGGGCAGTTTCCGAAGGAGTATGTATTTAAATGGAATCAGGCAGAACGATATGAAATGGCTGTCCTGGAAATAAAGCTTGGAAGGAATCCTATTGTTGGAATGCAGAATGTCTGTTTAGTCTTTAAACATCACTGTAAGTTCCCTCTCTGAATGGCCTATAAAGACAACGTCATCATTTTATCTCCCTGCTGAAGAGTCACTTGCCATTGGGATGTACGGTTACACGCGTTTCATTCCTGGAAATCAACCCTCTGTAATTACCTCGAAGTATCGACATCCTAATCACTTATCAGGGGGTCTACCCGCATATCCTGTGGTAGAATTACTGTCGACAACCTGAATTGAAATATTTCCAGTCAGTTAGGCCGTGCTCAAACCATGGCTGCCGCCAGAATTTACAACAGAGGTCTGTGGAAAACAGGCTGCGGCCGCTTTGGCACATGGCGTCCCCAGCCAGCTGTGTGGTGATTGCCGGTTGAGGCGAACCGTGATGGCTGTATTCATAAACAGATGAGAAAAACAGACTCCCCCAGACCCAGCAAACACCGCATATTTTTGCCGTTAGTGTAGCTCAGAATTTACGTATAAGGCCTGCCTAGTCATAAACTCTAATGTTAGAGAATACATGCATGGAACGCCAGAGGTTCTCTGTAGCCGTGGCTCTTCATAGCTCACTCGCATAAAAATTAATGTGAAACCTGAAAGCTACTTTTGCCGAACTGATGTCATTTTGAAGGCTGCGTATAAAAAATGTTGATATGCGTTGCACCGTGCACAAATTGCACATTGTATACATGAACGATATATAACAACATATTGTTGCCGTGGTACGCCAACCGAAAGGTTAAGCTATGACTTTTGCACTGGCTAGCTCGCCGTGAACTAATGCGGGGAATCCGCTGATACATCTGTTGGAGATGAAATGGTAATCCACTTGAATTCCCACTTCCTTGAAGGAATCCACGGTACTCGATACTGCAGGTACGACAACATACTAAGACGTGCGAGCGCGCATGGCACGTGACAGTTGTTTCTAACACTACTCTGCTATTTGCCAGGGCCTGCTGCCATATTTTGATGGAAGCTTCGGTCGATCCAGAGAGCACGGTTCATGTGATTTGTGCTGAACTTGTTCAGATTCTTGAAACCCAAAGTGCCTCGTCGTGTTGGTAAAATAGTAATAAACCCATTCTGCTAAACGAATGTCACGTTGCATATGTCAGCGCCTGAAGCGCATGATAACGTTCATTCGATTTTCAAATACATTTTTTGCTTGATATATAGGCATTTACCATGCCACGGTTCATGTATCCACTGTACAGGCTCTCATATTTGAGAGAGAGAGAGCAAAACTGCTCAGAAAAGAGAGTTGTGATCATTATCAAACTGAGCCCAATTCCCCTTTACCGAATACCCAATTAGGCCTACATACACGTATTTTGTTGCATCCCGTTGCTTCGTATCTGTGAAGATCGACCTGGTTACACGAAACGCCTGTCCTCAACTTCAGGATAAAAAATGGGCTATGGTTTGATTGCTTTTCCGTTTATAGTGAATAAAGAAGGCATGTTGACCCACAAAATGATAGAGGTTGTATAGAGCTAGATGTCATTCTTGAACCCGAGCAACCATACTGTATGAAATCACGAAATATCCCGCATATCGTCCTCTGCAGATACCTCGTAGTAATGTGCAAACACACTTGCTTTCATTTCTCCTCTGCTTTCTTCGATGGACTGGAATTCGATCCACACCCACCTCACCGCATAAGGCCGCGGTTTGGGCGGGAAAGGGAACTATCGGCGTCGGCGGTAAAAGCCTCGAGAGCTCGCAGCCTGCATAACTTAATTTCGCCACGTGCAGATACATAATAATCTTACTGTTATTCAGGGCTCTTGAAGTACGCTCTGAGACTGATTCGCACCGCCTTGAGAAAAAATGTCAATGCAGTCTCCTGCTTGAAGAAGATCCTGGCGATCGAAATGACCATTTGCTCTGAAGTTCTTTAACCCCGAAGGTGAATTGTGTTTCCATGGATGTTCTGACTGACCATCTTCACGACCAAATGAGTTTCTATTTATAATTACGGATGTAAAGTGTTCTTACGTGCTGTAAAGTGTTCTTTTAGCCACAGATCGTTTGCAATGACGTCATATATTTCACACGATTATTTCCTCTTCTACCCGTCAGGCATCCTCAATTAAAAGCCACACCTTTTGAAGTAGGGTATTACCAAAATTCGAAATTGCCCAGCCGCATGTGGTTAGACACCACATTGAGCCTTGGGACGTCGTCCACGGTGCAGATTTTGTGCATCTTATGTATTCATGCTCGCTTGCATGTAGTAACCTCGCCCCCAAATGGTGTATATAAGTTGTTGCACCGTTTGTTCTAAGAAAGTATTATTTAATTCGTCTAGCACGCCTATAGATTCAAAAATCTCCTTAAGATCCGCATTTTTGTTCCAAGCCATCATAACATTTGGGGGAATACCAAAGGCCCCTCTGGTGAAAAACTGGGGGGCCCCATCCCCATGTCCACGCCCACGATTGAGCTCAATCATGGTGACACGGGGCGACCTGTCGTCGGTTTAACAGCCCTGTAGAATGGTTCTCCTCTCCCATTTTTTTTCACAGTTCAAAATCCACGGCTTTGCCCGCCTGCTGTTCCGCTGGAAGGCCAGTGTGTACAAGCTTCTGTGGCGAGAGATGCTCGTGTTCCTCCTCTTCTACGGCTTGGTCAGCATCCTCTATCGCTCTGCGCTCCGTGGCATCACCAAGAGTAACTTCGAGCAATTGGCTTTCTATGCTTACGATTATACCAAAGTGTTCCCTATAAGCTTCGTTCTGGGGTTCTACGTGACAGTGGTGTTTGACAGGTAGGTTTCCTTCAATGGGTCCGGTTGGGTATTATCTTCAAACTAATCAGGATATAAGTGCATGTATGTATGGACTCCGTTAGGGAATGATAGATGGGGTAAATGTAACCTGTTTTAATTTCTCAAGTATTTTGGAGTCCACAAGGGGCAATGGCACAGTTAATTTTAGAGTAATCCTAACGCCGCCTGACCCATCGCTATAGCTCCGTAAACCAAACCCTAATCCTTTAATCTGAAGTAATACACATGGCCAAAATTGATTTTAAGATATACCGAATATTACATATATCTGTATATATACACTAGTAGTATTATCTTTGGCCTGGCCTAATCTCCAAAGTGCCATAGCACTTACATTTTACATTCTGTTGGCTGCGTGGTTGTCATATTGTGTTGAATAACGTATTATTCTGTCCCAGAATAATTTAGCACAGAGTCTAGAATGTGTTGTCCATGACTTGCCTGTTTAGGCAGGTTTATGTCACGGTGTGCACGAGTCTTAATGCACAGAGGATAAGCGCATGCTTAATTTGCTGATTCACAGCGCGGGAAAAACTTGCAGACAGTTTGAAGTTCGTCTATGACGTGTCCTGGATTTTGTTTTTAAACAGACTTCCGTCAATTTGTCAATCAATTAGTCATTCTCTGTTGCAGGGCATTGATTCCTCATTTGGTATAAAAGTTCGCTATTTCAGACTCAAATAACTTTCATAATGCCTGTTTTAAACTGAACAAATGGAATATAAATCAGATAAACAGTGCCTCCTATCCCTGATGAAGCCAACTCAATTAGCAAATAGAGACGTAGCTCTCTGAAGCAAAGGGTTCTGTTGTGGCCTGGGCAAAGTAAGTCTAAGCAGCTTGATAGAACATGATGCGCCCAGACTAGCTCCTAAGCTTAGAATTCAACACAGAACCTTCAAAAGCTGATTATAGCGTGCCCAAGGTCTCCAGAAAAGATGAAGCAGACTATCAAGTTAAACAAGAGTCGAAGGACAGTGCCAGGTTCATGGCACAAAGTGGCCACACCCAGGGCAGAGCGCCCTCTAGCGGTAGGCCTGTGATTTCAAATGTAGAGCTATGTACCTATCTTTGGCTACGCTACAGTCGTAGTTTTTTACCCAACCCACCGGGCGCGTCATTGGAAAAAGAAAACAGAGTTTTAAAAAGAAACCTCACACGTCGACTCTGCGATAAATACGATGAGTACACATCTCTTTGAATATACACACACATTTCTTTCAATGAGAAAGAAGAGCAAAATTCGTATTTATAAGGAAAAAAGCTGTTGCCAACTGAGGGAGAGCTCCCACCAAACTATGGCTGCCTGTATGGCGGTCAGTGTATAACAGAGAGTTGCGTACTTGGATCGCTTGGCACTGGCGGACAGTTGTATTATCTGGAGACTGCTTGCTCTCGCGGGTACCACGGACCGAGCTGTCGTCCGGTCAGTCTCGTCTGCCCCGTCCTGGAGATCCTCCTCAGGGATTCCATGGAACACCGTTTCAGGTGGCCCTTTTACATCAACCACGGTGTTTGAATAAATATTTTATCCCCGCCGTAATGAAATCAAGCGCTGAAATATGAGGCCGTAAAATTTGATAAGCTAGGGGAATGGAGTGGTGCCATGACCGTCACTACACACATGCTTTTCACAGCCGGCTTTGTTGGTCACAGTGGAAAATTACAAAGGGGGTACCCTCACCTATGCGTAAATCCTTGGCGCGCCCGTATTATATTGAATTATGCAGCATTAGGGATGGGGATGGCATTAAAAGGGGGCGCTGTCTTCCATTAGCCATCGGAGGAGAAGCTGTTGTAAGTCCCCATAAATAAATTATCACCGATAGTTTGTCATCCTCTTCAACATTACTTTTGCACGTCGTGGGGATGTTTTTTGTTCATTTAAATATATTTTTTAGAAATTGCCACGCTGACTGTCCAGCCATGCTAACCTCCCAAAATATGCCACCAAGAGGGCTTTTGAAAATTTCATTATCGCTAATTGTCACACTCATGCTTATGCTTAATACATTGGGTGCATAGTGGCATCAAGCCCGCCCCACCCATAAGGAAGGACATATAGGATAACGTTGTATATGCTGCACTCGCAGCTTATTATGTTAAAGCACGCATCTTGCTGGAGACTTTTTCCATGATGCTGCCATGTGTGTCTTTTTCCGTGTAAACCCATTGGCATCAAGCCTCAGTTTGGTTGTACTGCTTCAAATGGTAGAAAAGCAAGATGGCTGCCCCATGATAGAGGTCTGTAGTACCAACGTGAATACGTCACGTGCGTTATATGTGTGTAAAACGCATTAGCTCGAGAACCAGCGCGTGAACCAACGCACGCGTGTACCTCATTCCTTTGCATGACACTTCCTGGTTCAAAATGACGTCACACTTCGGTACTTTATAGCAGTTGTGCATGGCAGCCATTTTTCCTGTGAGAGCTTTTGTTCCGCAGGGATACACATGAATAGACCTTTTGTGCTATCCCTCCATCACATAAGCAGTGTAGATGATATCTCTTTCTTGAGCATGTAAGGTTCTGAAAAGAACCGGTAGTAGCCTACTCAACGTCTGGGACAGTACGCTCAGTCCGTCGTCAGGAGACTGCAGAGGGTCCAGTGATGAAGCAGTTTAGATGGTATGTAGAGAGCAGTGAGGTGTGGAGAAGTTGCTGATTCTGGATCCAACTGCACTGTACTGGAAAAATGGCTGCCACACACAATTTCTATATGTTTTGTCTTGTTGAACTCATTGCTACAGCCAGTTAATCGCCTAGATATTTCACCAACATGATTTTCACGGTAGCAGGTAAATCAGGTACAAAAAGTCTGGTTTTACAGGAACACTGAAGGAGGACACTGCTTGCATCACTTTCTCTCACCCAATTTTGAGCGAAAACTCGCCTTCTTGGTCTTTTGGTCTCAGCAACGTGTACCTTGTCTAAATCATATGTGCAGTTGACATGTATGAGGTATGTAGGTGTTGTCAATTAACGCAATTGGACAATCATTCTCACGCAACAACTGTACAAAACAGACAAAATGACGACACACGTAAGATACCATAGACTTTTCATTTGGTTGTTCTCTTGGGTATGGAGATGGTTCGTGTATATTATTTTTCGAACGGTACCGTGCAAATTAATAATCACGAAACGATTTTACTGCCCAACGAAGTTCTTAATAGCACGGTGCGATTTCAGACAACTGTTACGCACAGTAACTAAAATAACATACAATAGTGTTTTATGAATGGACGGGCCAAATTCTCAATCCGGCCCGATTTACTTTGCCCTTCTCCATCAGGAGAACTGGTATTGGTCATTTTATATGAAATGAATAAATTTAAGTAAAGGTTTTAAGTTCTACCAGAAATATCTGTGCGTATTAAATATTATTAGTTCTTTAATTCGGTTATTAAAATTTCCTTTAATTGAGTTTTTGGTTCAACTGAGGAGTTTTTGTATTGCCAGCCTCCAAAGGTTCAGGGCGTTACCACAACAAATAATTCCTCATTTAAATGGACACATTTTTTCAGAAAGGCATGGGACGGATATTTGAGGAGAATCCTGATATCGAGTGGGTTTTCAGAAGTTGTTTGCAGGAACAAATCCATGATTTAGGCTGTACGTTAGGTTGGTAATCTTTATGTTATACGAAAACAGACTTCCCTTCGCTTGTCATTGTAGCTTCTTAGACCTTCGTCAGTCCTTCAACGTTCTCTCGCTGGCTTCTCATGCTGTCTGAGTGCCGCCCAGTCGCGTGGCCAATTTTATTTCATTATTGGCTAATCAGAGATTCAATTAGTATGGAAGGCCTCTGTGCGACGGGTAACTAGATTCATAAGGCCGATCGAAGCCTGCCCCACTGTGCAGGACCGTTTGTGGCTCACGGAAGGCTTCAAGAGGCTACTTCGATGGGAATGATGGGGTAAGAGGGGTAGTAAGTACACAGGCAGAAGCATTGTGACCCGTCTGGCAGTGCAGGCACGTCCGTTATCGCTGAGGCTCATGGTGCGAGTAGGTATTTGAATAGTGTATTGCAGTCGAAAGCGCCATACTGTCTGCTATCCAACCTGAATAAATCTGGATTTTGCATATCGCCAAAATAGGCCTGAAATGTAAACCCTATGAATCCGGTATTGATCTCGTGATTTGTATAGCTATTTGAAAAGCTATTACTCCAGCATCTCACTTAGTCCTTGTGATGAGGCCACTCATGTGAAAAAAATGTTTGGGATTAATCTTATAATTTTGGGAATCCCAAAATGATGCTCTTCAGTGGCACAGCTGGTATTTGTGCCTTCCAATTCAAAAATAATGTTGAACAACTGCTCGTATAAAACGGTTCCAATCAAATGGTTTGACGTCAGCACGGCATAGTCATTGATTGCAGGAATGGAGAGAAATCTGCCCGTAACTTTGTAGTGTCTAAGGAGCCTTGGTAAAAAAAAAGGGACTTGTTCTACACCAGATGTTTAAACTTGTCTAGTTGCATCCTAAACAAATTCTTTATTAATATGAATCCGTTTTTATCAGGTCGAAAAAACACTGATTAGCCTTCGATAAGTGATTAACTGACCTTTAACCATATTTTGTTGTGTTGGTCTCTGGTCAGATGCTGAAATTTGAAGGAGGCCTGTTTCCTGTATTATTTATTGGGAAAACCAATATCACACGATTAAGAGTTATTATAATGGCTGATTATGGGAGTACATTTTGCTTTCTTCATGAGCGCACTGAAGGTAGTTCTCCTTAATGTTTCTCACGTACATGTACTGATAGAAGTTTCAGATTATAGTACACATTGTGTATATCCTTACAGCAATTCCAGGAAATGACCGACCCCCCCCGACAAAATTAAAGATTTATTAATTTTCGGGCAAACGGAAATTCTCATTTATTGACCAACATTTCAGCCCTTTTCAGAGAGGAGTCGTATTAATTAGTAATGTAAGCGATGAGACCTTAATACTGATATTGCGAAATCGTGTGCTTTTATTCCATTGACAGTAATTTTCTCTATCAATCATTTAGAGAGTTCCTGGTAAATCAGTTCAGCTGTAAAACAAAACCTCCCCAAGAGGCTTCACAACTTTCCAATGAAACTTTGCAAAGAAGGCAAAACCTGTGTAGGATAAATACAAAGTTGTTTTCAAGGTATCCCCACTGAATGTGTAGTACCACCCAAAATGTAGTGCCTCAATAGGTACAGACTTAGCACTTGATGGAACGCCGCAATATCCAGAATACAATCACAATAGTCTATATCTCTGTAATATGTCAGTCGATCTCTATAGTCCTGGTGCAGTTGGTGCTTTTAGCACAGATTCAAAATGTGTTTTGTGTGCCGCCCCACGTCGGCCAGTTTTAGTAATTTAAGGGTAGGTTTTGCAAAATTGCTAATGCGAACCAAATTGTTGAGCTAGGCTCTCCCCCCACTCAAATCGGTCTTGCAGTCTTGCAATCTAGCGGTTTTCTGATTAATGATTAAGAAGGGAAAAAACCGATTTCTAAACTTATTTGGAACCCTGAATAGGGCAGATTCAGGGCATTTTGGGGTAGTCCTTGAAGCTATATGCCCTCAGGTCGATCAAACGTGGGTGAAACTTGTCCAACACTTGTTTACTCATCCTTTCAACATTGTTAACATGGAAACATGTCATGGTGGAATCATTTTTGAAAAAACATCGGCTCAAAAGGATTTTAGCTGCTTTTCTCCAAATTGGCTTTACAAATGACAGTAGTGTAGTCTTAAATACCGGCTGCGCAATTGAAGAGCACCATTTTTTGATGTTCTTAGGTAACCTGCAATAGAAAATGATCAAAAGATTAATTGTTGAACTTTGTTGGAAATCACCTTATCCCAACTTCGGTCCCAAATGTGGTTATTGAAAGGCATCCGTAGTTTTGCGACGCCATAACTGCGGTTGCGCCGCACTAAAAGGTGAATTATTGGATTGACGCGCGTGCATTTGGCAATTCACGACGCCCTGTTGGTCGAAGAGGCATGGCACGTGCGCGCACCTACCACCTGTTACCAATGGTTGTGCCACCGAGGTAATGGTTTCTTAATATGGTTGCCGAACTGCACTAGAGCGGAAGGGATTCTGATCGTAGCGTATGCGTATGGCCTGCGTAAAGGGAATTTGTATTTGCATATACTGTATGTGCCATGTGATGCCCCCGGTGTGTCTCAGACGCGCGCGTTATTGGTAAATGCCTGCCATTGACAACTAAGCTCATATTTACGATTGGTTTTCACTGTTTTGGTCATGATTTGATCCAAATGAGTGGCCATTGTACTCCATTGCATGTCTCAGGTGGTGGACACAGTTCAAGGCGATTCCTTGGCCGGACCGGGTGGTGTACAACGTCGCCGCTCACGTGCTAGGAAACGATGAAGAGGCCCGGATCATACGACGGACTCTAGTGCGTTACGTCAACCTGTCCGCTATCATGATCTTCCGTGCTGGTAGCAAGCGGGTCAAGAAGCGCTTCCCAACGCTATCACATATCGTAGAAGCAGGTATGAGCCGATTCAGCCGCTCAACGTTGTGCATTTCATGATACAGAACTTGAGGTAAAATGTTACCCCAGCGAGCCCCTCTCATGTTTAACCCATGCTGTTAATGTTACTTTGTTTACCTACACTCTCGCTTGAAGCTATTTATTATAGAGACACTTTTACCGATGTAATGGAATGGCTGACTGAAATAATCGAGCCCTAGATTCTACAAAATGGAAGACGTGATGTGCACGCACGAATTCACAGATGGATGTTTGTTTTTCCTTTTTTCTGGAAAGGGTTCCTCTAAGGGATTTTAGCTGAGTAGGCCTGACGAGACCACCAGGATGGATGAAAATTACAAAGTGGAATGTGGACTAACATTCTCAGCCCACCGGCCGGACCAGAAGGGGTTCAAAACTGGTCTACTTTCCCACAGTGTGAATTTTCCGTATATCTACCAATGTCCGATTCTACTCACTAAATTTACTTTAATTCAGTACTACAGAGACCAATTAATGTACAGTGAAAAGTCCCCCAAAGATAGATTTTAAGACGAAATCGCTGAAGTAGGAATTGGATTAAATGAATTTCCTTCTAACCATATTGATCAGAGCGAATTTCCACACCTGAAAGTGAGAAAGTTGGTCGCCAAGATGGGGCGAGGAAACTGTTCCACTGGGCAAACTTGACCTCTGACCTGGGTCACCTCATCTGGTTCTGTTTATCTACATTGCAGGTATACTTACGGAAGAGGAAAAGAATATATTGAAGGATCTACCGTCCACCCATCCCAAATATTGGGTTCCCTGTGTGTGGTTCGTCAACCTGATACGGATGACGAGAAAACAAGGCCGGATAGTCAGCGATCCGGCCATGAAAACCATAGTAGATGTGAGTATGAAAAGTTAGCGGTTAATTACACTGCTTCCCATATATGCTTGATAGAATGGTTTATACGAAATCATTGATTTCATAACCCTCAGCAATCAAAGTTTGATAAGGAGACTTTAACTTGTGATGTCATAATTTTTAATGAGAGTTGGACGTGGGCCGTAATTGTGATTCTCGCGTTTGCATACTCTGAAAATCTTCCTAGACTTTCGCGACACGCCGTTAATGAGGTAAAATTTAAGTGAACGCAGGTAGCTGGACTTTGTTCATCGTGATATCTAACGCGGATTGGAAGGCGTACAACAGAAAGGTAGTTGATATTGAACACTGTCTTCAGTCTAATTGGAGACTTGTGAATCGGTTGGTGGCAGCAGACATTATCGTCAAGGCAAATGGCGCATGATCATTGTTATTACTGTGAGGAATACTAGACCTCAATGTTTGTTAGCAAATCATGCACATCAAGAACGTATGCATATGCTGGTCAATAGTACTCTATTGTTTCTTTGTAAGGTTTTCTTTTGTGGGATACTGGCTTATGAACAAAGTAGAGTTTACCACCCTTAAATACGACACACTTTTACAGACAGTGAAGTGAAAGTACAAAGTGTAATTCCACTATTACAAATGCGACCTTTGAAATAAAATATTCAAAAGATTTGCCTAGCTTCCATAGTCACTTTTTTGGTCAAAAAGTCTATCAATATCAGGTCTTGAAACTTTGAAAAGAGGTTAGTTTTTTCTTCAGCGGAATATCGTACTTCCAATTCGTCTATCTTATTGGCCTTATGGCTAGTCTATACACACACCCTCCTTTATACGCAACTGGAATGTTGTTGATCCATGTATCGTCACGGTAGGCTTTTGGGAGTTGGTAAGATTACTGCTCTTTGCGGAGATAAAACATTGACAGCTCTATCGCACTCTTCAGCTATAAGGTGTACTTTCACCGTCACGGCAAATAAATATTTGTGAGATCGTCAAGTTTCATGCCTCTTCTGTAGCGATTCGTCCCGAGACAAACAAGATCAGGGCACCAAGTGCAGTGAAGTCGTGCGTGTCGGCGTGTTCCCTTGGGGTGATTTCCCTGCAAGTGTCCTGCAGGACAAAGGACCTACTTCCATTTCGTTTGGGGTTTTTTTTTCTTTCTTTTTTTTTCTTTTCTTTCTCCCCCCCCTGCGTTTTCCGCGCGTGAAGTTTGCGGATTAGTAACGCAAAATGCAACCCGTGACAAAAGACTGGCAATATGACATATCTGTCTCATTTTCATCGGAATCTGAATAGAGTTGTTTTGCCAAAACAAGAAAGATAACTCCATGAACTATGATGTTGCATTAGGCTCCAAGAAATAATTGTGATTTTAAAAAATGGGCAAATAAGTCTCGTTTAAACATCTGTGGGCCAGGCCAACCCTGACGGCATCATTTAGTTTGTTTAAACAATACGTCTTTACTGTATCTCCTTCCAGTGCAAAATGAGCCACTTGGAATAAAGTATACAAGTGTATTTGGAAGCGACTGTGCACTTTAAAACCAAGTCATTCACTCTAGTATGTCACTCAGTCAATCTGACTGAGCTAGTCTTTCACTCTGCATTTCCACTGCAATTGCAGAAATTTTATGTGAGATCGTTGCTATGGTGGCGCTGTGAGGGCGTCACTTCCCCTTTTCCGAGCTTATCGATTGCCGACGCGATGTTCTTAACAACTTGTATTGCATCATATTCTGGGGTAATTTTTGCAGGGTTGCCTGCCGAATCCCCGGCCAATGATGAGCCTCTTGCGAAGCGCTCGAACGCGCTTCGGACCTCCCGGTACGTGTCGAAATGCGACTCTGCTGGAAAGTAATAAATTCGTAATCATCCCCAGGCTCCCATTTCAGCACGTCAAATTGACATTTGACGTTCAGCTGCGTGACCTCAGCGGAGATAATCGGCTATCTGAGAGAGATTGTTTGTGCCTGGTTGACGAAGTAATAAATTATAAGGCTCGGTTTGGGTTTTTTTCCAAACATAAATTATCATCTATCACTATATGGATGATAACTGTTTAATGCAGCAGACTATTTGGGATACAGGCTTTCAACTAGGAATTACCTCCAACACCTCAAAAACATTTTCTTCCTCAAAATTAAGGAGTTTTACTACAAAATCAGTTTATCCTCATCGACCTTTTCCTTACTTTTTTACTAGGAGCTGAATAATTTTCGTGACAAATGCGATGAACTATACGGCTTTGATTGGATCATTGTACCTCTGGTGTATACACAGGTAAGTGAGACATGGCTTTTTTAGATTAGCCTCCCTGAATCCATTTTAGTGATTCCATGATCTAAAAGACGCTAGGGGTCTTACTTTTTGGTAAATGATTGCAGGGTTCGCCTCGTTTTCAAAAATACCCTTCATTTGGGTCAAAAAGATGACGTGACTTTTTAATCCACGGTTTAGAATTAGTCATCAGGGCAAAATTATGTTAATCTGTAATTTGCGTCGTTTCCATTATTTTCATTCTTATACAACATAAATCCCCGAACCAAAATTTTATCAGGGTGGCCTCGCTTTGGATTCAAGATGGGTAATTTATGACCAGAGCGAATATTGACATTACCTTGTGGTAAATTTAGGCTGCTTTCCACCAAAATCATATAACCTCATGTTTAACAGCTCTCTGATAAAATTAACCATCGATACTCTGAAGGCCTATATACTTTGGAACAAGTACTTTAGAGTGACTTACAGAGGTTATGCTCGGCAGCCATCTTCCCGGTCAGTGCTTTTGTTTTAAGGGAAACGCACAAAAGGTCTAATTGTGTGTATATCTGTGGAACAAAAACACTGGCCAGGTCGATGGCTGCGGTGCATAACTTCTGTAAGGTATAAATGACGCTTTTCAAAGGAAATTCGAGGAAATAACCTCGTTAAGCTTTTGCATTAAAACGTCTAGGCCTATGGAACAATATTAAATATACACGTAAACACAACGGAGACAATGAATCTGTTTAGGAGTCCATGATGTGTGAAGGAGTTGGCTTTGGGTCATGTAATGCACACGGTATAATAACCAAAGACTGTGTATTACCACATAGTCAATCCCTGAGACGAGGGCGGGGCTTGAGGTGAAAAGAGGAGGAAAGACGAAGATACGTCGCAGGTGCCGTACTTATTTGATATTTGAGCCTCTGAAAACACTTCAACGTCCCCAGGGTGTTTTCGAAACAAACGCACGATATTAAAACCGGAGCTGGCGATTGTGGAACCGAAGATAAATGATGAAACCAGGACAATGTTTTCACGAAGTACTCAGTTGCCGCATTAAAACAACTCCCTCTAGCCGCAAACGCGAAGGCGATCAGATCCACAGATTAAACAGGGCTCCACTACGTGCGCCACGCCATTAGTATCGGATATACGTCAGCATATATATTTTTCAATGATGCCCGTGACTTTGAGATGAGATTAAATGCCTGCTTCTTTCTTCATTTGATCGTCTGCTGCTTGTTATAATGCTGTGATGATGACCATATTAGTGTGTCAATCAGCCGATTCGAGATGGAAAGGGGTCAGTGTTAAAAGATATAAATTCCATGCTTTGAAATCTGCTACTTCTTTGATTAGCTCTGTTTTGTCCACTCCCAGCATGTTGCTTTTGATTTTCCGTCTTTTGAACAAACCTTAACATTCTCATTCAGTGATTTGTATTTCCACAATCGATTTGTGCTCCTGCAATGTTATTTTCGTCGTTGTCACAAAGTTTGATTTGTTGTCGACTAAATTCAGACCAGGAGCGCTCATTTTCAGTTCAATTGTGTCTCGTTAAGCGCTAAACCATGTCTTTCACAAAGCAGAGTCGTCCTTCGCCGCACCATTTAATAGCATTTTTTTCACAATTTCGTCATTGTGACATGCAGAGGAAGGCATGATGGTCACAGACATGAAACTTGAAGGGTACTCACTTGTATTCTCCTTCTAAGTTGTATTTTGTTACTTTTGAATCGACTTTTGACTGCATTCCCCGATGTGTGATATTGAAACTGGACTGCGCTGGTTGTTTATGAATTAAACGCAACTGAAGATTCGATGACCAAAAATTATCCGTGAGAATTTCCCGCGAACTCCAAAGTAATGACGCGCTTGAATGGAGTCATTCCTGTTCGAGTGGCATTGATGCCGGCCGAGTAATGTTGCATGTTGACCACTATACCATTGAGCAGATGACAAGAAAAAGACGGAGAGGGAATGGGGTAGTAGTACCCAAAGATGAGAGGAACGGCGTTTACTAATTGAGTAATGTCGAAGGAGAAGGGCTTCAGACTGTTTGAAAAAAATTGAATATAACCATCACTAACCTTCGAATGAAGAATCGTCTCTCTAGATGTGTAAAAAAAAGGCAAAATAATGTGAAAAGAGACATTGAATCAGAACCTGGAAATATGAGAGAATGTAACCCAAAAGGATCACAAAAATGAAGCTGGACAACTTTTAGGAAAGGAATCATATTTTGAATCAATCCCCAAACCAACTAGGGCCTATCTTTGTTACCTCGTGAGGAATCTGCAACAAATGCATATCTTACCCATATACCAGTTTTCCCAAAACTGTTGCTTGAAAAGATTTGCCACTGACTCTGCTCAAAACAGTTACCATTCCTGACTATTATTCCATGTTTCATTCTCGGAGCATTGGTTCAGCTAATGAATCAGAAAATGATTATGAAAAACATCCGTGTAATACTTTAGAGGTCTAATAATATGACCATCGTCAGTCCTTCGTCTATTGTTGTGAAAAAAAATTAAAATGCTAAAATATTTAACCATCTATACACGCCTGCGATTTGTCAGGATAGGGGCAGTGTTGCCACGGAAATGTCGCCACGGAAATACTAGCCCAAATTAAGAATGATGCATTCTCGTTGTCCACATCACCATCAGTTCAGCGCTTCGCCAAAAGCCCCCCCCCCAGCATATGAAGGCCGAGGTAGCGACGCGATGACGAAAAGCCATGCTTTGTCATTAGACATGTATTTAGGTCGCAGGGAAGCCATTCACGAGCATCAATGTGCCGTAAATGGTACGGGCCTTCTCCCCGTTGCGATGATAACTGGCGTACACTCCAGCACAAGAAAAACAGGCATAACGCATTGGATTTGTCGCGGGTAATGAAGCATTCTGAAAGGGCCAAGCGAAAATGATGACATCATCTCAAAATTGCACATTAGGCTGAACATTGCTGGGGAATTAAAGCAGTAATACATATACATGCTATTACTGAATTACCCATAAAATCATTCAGATATTTTTATATATGGATAAAGCGATTTAATATAAGCAGTCGTTAATCAGAAATTAGCTTCCAAATAATTCTGCATATAGGCTTACTTCGTTTAGTAAAAGCAACACGCACCGTGACATTTTGAACTGGTATGCTTTCTTACTGCAGATGAACGAATTATAATACATGATGTTATGTTCAGAATTCATTTCTAAACCTGAATCAGATGGCTGATTGACTTGTGGCAATTTCATGGATACGCTGTGAAGTGTTTAACGATTCCGACAACAAATTTTGAGGTTGGAGGACATCTTCCCAAATTGGTAGAACACGACTCTTCTCTTTATTGTTTGATTCAATCAAAAGAAATAGATATTTACACGGTCCTTTAAATGTGATCTTACGAACCCACTATTGAACTATATAGACGCTACATGCGTTACGTGTATATTGTAATGAATAATCTTTAGATGTGAAATACAGGCTTAGTATATGTTTGTCTTTCAAATTTTATGCATCTTTCCGACATGTACCACGTGCATTGCATCACACTGCAAAAACTGTGATGTTAAAATCAACACTTTTTGGTGTTATCAAATGACCACAGTATAGGGTGTTAGTTTAACACCGCTGGTGTTACTTTCCACACAGTGTTACAATGCACTGGAAGGTGTTAACAGTAACACCAAATAACACCGAACTTTTTAACACCAGTGAAAAGTGTTGGTGTAGTCCTTTGATAACACTGGGGGTGTTAAATTTAAACCTGAGTTTTTGCAGTGCACGGTATAGGATGACAAACAAACAATGCATTTTTGCATCATCCAACAAGTAAACATGCGTGGTTTCTACCTTATAAAATACTAGACCCTCTTTTTAGATAGTTTTACGTTGAAGATTTTGAATAAAGTTACTCCAAAAACTTAAAAGATGAAGCTCGCCAAAAATGGAGCATTTTTGTACATAATTAGAGAAAGAGAATTCAGACTGTTTCGGTCCTTCCAAAAGCGTGTAAAAAGCCCCCCAAATGAAGCTTCAACCTACAGTGGATCCAAGGATGCGGCAGTGGTGCCGTCCCTCAAAACAGGAGCTAACAATGTGAATAAATAATGAGAGATGATGAATTTTAGTCTAGTTTATATTTACAAATAGGTCATTTGGGAGACATTTTGTACAATTTTCAGCATTAGGGAGACTTTTAGGGAGACATTTCAGTGTCTCCCTATTTTCAAACTACCAGAAGGAGGCTAGATTAGGGTGTTAATTGAAAACATACAAAGTGTGGTTCAGATCAGACTAGGGAATATTGAATTATGGGACAGTAAAGTTGGAAAAAATTTGTGCACGTTCTAACGGGAATGTCTCCCTAATGACCCATTAGCGGGCCCCCCCCAAAACAAGTTTACTCTCCTCCCCCCCCCCAGGAAAAGAGGAATTCGCTCTTTTTTATGCCCTTGGCCTCACCACTCAGAAAGGCCGTAAAAATTTACATGCCAAAATTCCAAATCCCCCTACCCTCACAAACAAGTTTGCCCCGCCCCCGAATATTTGGTTCATCGATCGCGGTCATTTTTCAGTCCGCAGTGACCGATGTCCGTTTGAAAAAAATATTGGAGGGTTGATTTCGTAATCTTATAAACCTTTAAATTTCTTCACTCAACAAACATTTCTTATATATAAACGAAGCTTATCTGTGACTCTGTGACAGAAATAGTCGCAGAAATGTCCTAATTTAGGTTTGAAAGGTTCACTTCCCCACATAAAGTTCATGCATAAAGTACGTGGCTCGTTTTGTCATCCAATCCTACGATGTTAGTGAGAATGTCGAGTAGGTGTCTTTGCTCCCCGGAATATAGACGATGCGTCTGGCATTTTCCACTGCTCACTGGTTTTATTTTTAGGTCACCCCTGGGCTAATTGAATAAAGATTGATCGTCCACTTTCAGGAATATAGTTCAAATTATATTACAGTTAGAAAATGCATTGGGCCGACCATTGTGTTGGTAAGAGGAGGGGTAGGTGCGCAGTTTGAAAACAAGTAATTTATATCCATGAAAAAAACTCTCTTCTTCTTTATCTTTTATTTTACACCATTGTAAGTTTTTGCGTTGTGTGGTGAATAGTTTAATACTGACATACTTAGGCTGGCTGTTTATGAGAGTTTAAAGACCGAAATTTACTTGATGTGTTTGAGAGCACGTTTCGGTACAATGAAAACCTTTGGATTGCTGAGATTTGGTGACATTTGAGGGCTCTTGACATTCTTCCAGATTATTTTGTGCAGGGTCGCATTGCAGAAGCCGTACAGGCAGTTTTCTAGTGCTAGCAATAACGCATACGTCTATGGCAGCGAACAGCTAGCAGCTTTATCAGTCGTTGTCAAGTAGCCGGTCTTGCGCCCTCTATCATTACGGGATACCCGTGTCAAATCGTGTTTTCCAAGACCTCAGAAAGCACTCACACTGCAACTTTTCAACGGCTGGAATGGATCAAAGACGAAAGTTCATGACCTTACAAACTGATAGTTGGATGTTCCACCTGGTTTACTATTTGCCCCCCAAATTTATATATTTTGTTTTCTTTATTTCAGGTCGTTACCATAGCAACGTATAGTTATTTCGTAGCCTGTCTACTTGGCAGACAGTATCTGGATCCTAACGAGAAGTTTGAAGGACACACGATAGACCTGTACTTCCCGGGATTTACGCTTCTGGAATTTGTGTTTTACGTAGGATGGCTAAAGGTAGGCTCGCTGAAATTTTCCTTTGTGTGGGAATGTTCATTTTTCCTGATTGACGAGGAATTTCAAGATTCTATGAGACCACTTTCAGCAGTTTTTGCTTTTGCTACAAGTAACACGACCATAATGGCAATGTTCAGTTCAACTGATTTATGGAGAAGTCTACGGTATATATGGACGTGTTAAAATCTGCCCTCCAGTTGATTTGTGCATTCTTGTGGCTTCACAGAATTAGCTTGAAACGAATAATTTTTCAATGACTGCAAAAAGGTGTCTGTACTCAAATAATGGTGTTAAATGTGCACGGGTTGAAGCTCGTTAGAAGTGCTTTGATGACTCTGAGACGATGCTTTGCTGAACGACAAACCCAAAAGCATAGGCCTATTACTTGGTTTTCGGATTGAAGTTGACCTTCCGATGGACATCACTAGAAAGTTACCTACTTGCAAGGACAGAAAGGTGAAGACAAGAATACCACTTTATATGTTGGCACCTTAACAGCTGCTGAGTAACTTAATTTTATGTCCAAGGACACTTATTAGGCAAAATACAGGATTAACTAACCGGATCAAAGTTTCTTTTAATATAACTATATTGACCCAAAAGGATTCTGTGTGTTGTTTCTCAAAAGGTAGCAGAGAATCTAATGAACCCGTTCGGCGAGGATGACGACGACTTTGATATGAATTTCATTGTTGATAGAAACCTTCAGGTAAATATGCCTGCTGTCGATTTGAAATAAAAGGGAACCAAAATTATTGGCGTGACTCTATTTTGTCACAAATTTCATTTTTTTATGTGGACCAGCAATGTCGCCTTTAGTTGGTGAACGGGTGTAATTTTACGAACCATGCTGAAATACCAGTAGTCGATGCAGGATTTTTGAAAGATGTGAAGTGGGCGGAGGGATTAAAGTCAGCATGCACGCATTAACTTGAGCAATGGACCGGATTTACTACCCTGCCAATTTATTTAAGGAAAGAAACTTTGGGGTTGACGTGTAGTGTGGAATTTGCATCGTATGACAGAGTGACCCTTGACTGCGCATTATGTCCAGTCATTTTTAGGCTGCGAGGCTTTGAGTTCATAATAATGAACAAGAAACTGATTTTACGAGAGTCTGAATTTCACATGACACCTTGACCTAAATCATTAAGACTAGTTTAGCCGCTCGGTCGTCCATTTTTTTAAGTGTTTCCCACGTTTATCCACTACAGATCAGCTTTCTGACAGTGGACGATCTTTACGAAATCAGTCTACCCATTGTCAGGGACCGACACTTTGATATCACCGTACCAGACATTCCTTACACTAACGCCGCCGTCAAAAACAAGGGCAAACCGTGGCAAGGCTCTGCCAGCAAAGTGCGGTAGGTAACTTAAAGTCCAGTCGCTTTTACAGATGTAATGTAAAGGTACTGAATGATTGAGTCAGTTCGGTATTTCAATAAAGCAAGGTCATTTGGGAACAAAGCCCGCGAATGACCACGGACGCGTTTCATTTTGGGCACTTTGGAATGCTGGCTCATTGGCAATTGTTTGGAGGTTTTTAAAGGAATAATAAGGGATTATGTTCTGAAGCAATGTTTCGAAAGAGTAAAAACTTCACAACTGTACGATTAAAACTATGTGACATGACGACTTTAGAAGGAAAATTATCCAGTGGAATAAAATGTATTTTCTATTAATTTTTTATAGTGAAATTTCTTTTTACTCGGATACGCATGTATTACTCTTTGGATTATTGATGGTAATGTCGAGCTAATTTAGGGGTTTTAAAAGAGTTCTGAAATAAGTACTCATCCAAGTTAAATGTGATTTTGGTTTTTCGATATAAAATGGCGTCCTTGCTTTTAAATCGCCGTCTTCAAATCAAATAAATTACCAGCTTTCTGTAATGCTGTGCAGATTATCACGGAGGGATATGGCCTTCACGTGTATGCCCCACAAAGTCTTCACGGAGGAAGACGAGGTAATGACATGCAAACTCCACACAAACAGCCTCAAGAAGAACAATGACGGCCACCCTGACGTCTCCAGCGAGAGAAACAGCTCCCCCAACGACGACGATGGAGGCCGAGAGACCGGGAGCAACAACTTTTCCAACTTCAAGCGGCCGCCTCCCGCATACAGCTCCTTTATGCCGTCCAACCTCCAAACGGGACCCAGGCCGCCAGAGGAACTGGCCGTGCCGCCCAAGAAGCTCAGCCGATCGACGGGGGAGAGGCGAAAGGACCTGACCCACCAGGCTCAAGCCAAGCGAGACCGAGCCGAATCGGCAGCAGCGGCCACGGAAGAACCCTCTTCCAACTCGCGGTCCAGGCAGGAGGAGCGTGGCACCAGGGACTGCAGCAGCGAGGAGGACGATGAGTGCTCCCCGTTGAGTAACTCTAGTTATCCGGTGGACTTGAATCAAATGGTGAACGAGTCAGTAATATGACCCGCAAACAAGCTTGAGCCTCTTGTGACTATTGTGTACCATTGGAACAGTACTCCCAAGCAGTTGTGCATTACATCCCTTAAAAGTATGTGTGTTTTTAACTCGGAATCTAAACGGCGTTAGTGCATTGCAAGTATACGTACCGACTGCAGTTTGAGAAAGGAACTTAATCGTGTCGCAGACGTGTCCTCCGTCCTTGTAACGCCAAAGAAAATCCACGATATACCTCGACGGTACTGTTGACCTATGGTTCGTTCTAGACTGTTCGCGCTTATGAGGCCTCCAGGCAAGCAAGGATGCCTCCATTTGAGAACAAGGGCGATCATGTTTAGAAGGGGAACTGTCGCCTGTCACCACCAATAAACAAGGACATTTTGGCCTGTTGTGAGACTTAAAACAGGATTTCAGAAGGACTTTCCTGAGACAGTGCGAGAGTTACAGTTCTTCATCGTCGCACCAGTGATTCAGTTTTCAATGTCTTCAAGCGCTGGACACGGGAGGAACCACGAAACAGCGACGACGTCATGGCCGCCTATCCGTGGGATTAGTCAAGGTCACCGGTAGGCCGTGATCGCATCGGACATGTTCATTGGATGATTTTTGTTTAACGCTGGTAGAAGCAACGTAGACGAAAAACCTGTAGACATTTCAAACAAAACGATTCGACCTTTTTGTGTTTACTAGCTATCAACGTGGAGCCTTCTCGTCTAATACTTTAAGAACAGGGTTCATGCATCTACAGTTGCCAATTTGCAAATTAGGCTTTCCAAGGTGGACATCAGTGTTTACATTTTGCTGTCATGAAAACAATGGTGACAAGCAGAAATCATCGTGGGATTATTTTATATCAGCGGCATGCTTTTTACCACCTTTAATTGTAATAGTATATATATATATATTGAACCTGGTATATTATGAATAATTAAATGTAAAATGAATGGCCGAAAGTATACCGTCATTTTCCCTTACAATATCTATCATATTAATTGCTATTTCACATACACCCAAAAGTATTCAAATAAAAGGAAATGTGACGTTGTAGGTAATGGACCTTTGGCTGTATCAAAAATACTCGTGTAAAATTGAACTGGCAATAATGACTGAGGAACAATGTACCGGTAGTTTAGAAGGCATAAACTTTCCATGTTACGTAAATAACAGTGAAGGCTTGGATATAAATATAAAGCGCACACGTTGAATCAACGGCTTGTGAAAAGGCTAACTTAAGCATGTAGACGGTGTTGAGTGTCAGATTTACATCGTTCGCAAGGTGTAAGTATAGACTTCAAATTAGCCTTACTAGAAGAAGGGTGCAGTTGTCTTTCTGAGCTACAATAAAGGATATCTGCTGCTTATATATGTTAGTTTGCAGTGCATCGCTCCAATACATGCTTAGGACTGCTTTGGGGTTAATAAAATTCATTCCACGACTGGTGTAAAGCTCATTTTGGGCGGAAATATCGAAAGGTGTGAATAAGTTTACACTTTACTCAAGTCAAATTGACAGCGACGATAAGCCGTTGAAGAAGAAAATGTTCAGCTGTGGTACGAGGTGGTCTTCTGTTGAGTTGTTGAATTCATGAACGTTTCAAACTAATCCACTTTTGCTGCAAATTTCAGTTGAAATACGGGTGCCAGTAGGCCTATAAGGATCCGTTAATATTGCAGTTGTGAGACTATTGTAGGCCTGGTCTCAATAATAGGGGACAAAACTGTCAACTTTAATTCAAGCTGTCTGGCTTGGAAATATTCATTTTATCATTGGAAACAAAAGTAAAATATGATTTTAACATTTGTTTCGAAAGTAATAACGAAAACAAAATACGATTTCTTGTATCAGTGTTGCCCAGTCTGGTCCAGACTACACTTGAGCTCTCATTCTAACCCAAAGTTGACCTGAAATTCGTGCAGCACTTTGGTCATTCTAAAAACTTGGGATCTGCTTTCCTCCCAAATCTTATGATTTTGATTGATCACTTCATCAATCAAGATACGCTCCTCAATACCTTTGTATAGGAGTGAGTGTAAAAACCAAACTTGCATACTCTACGGATGCAAAAAAAAGTCTTTTCTTATGCTACTAAAATGTTCAAAATATTTATTTACAAATTTAATAGAACTTTCCTCTTTTTAATAGGTTTCAGACAGTCATTTTATAAATTTATCCCTTGATGTAACTACCTCTAAGAAAGATAACATGGAACATGTAAACGTTTAACTTTACTAATTCGGATTGGTGTATCTTTGCCAAAGTATTGTCCATGCTACACTGGTAATTTGAAGGTGACATGAAAATTTAGGGGATCAGAATATTTTGTTTACAAATGAATATTTATGGCAAGAATTTGGAGCACCTGTGCAAAATATCAACGTCATTCAAATTTAATTTCAGTTTCTTTTGAACAGGATTCGAACAAACTATATTCCAGGTCTTGATTGGCTTCATTCGACTCAAAAGAAAGATTTAGCGAGCTCAGACACAAAACCTTCGGCATGAATCCGAGATAAGAAAAAATGAGAAGTTCAAGATTAAGTGAGGATATAAGGCGAGGCTCAAGTCAGGTCTGGACGTTAATCTGATTTCACTGTGTTGTGGCCGAGGAAATATCGCATCAACTCCTCAGGCCAAAAAAGTAATGGGCTACTAAACGTGATCCATTATTTATTTTGATTACCTGTGTGAACAAAAATCTTTTTGATTCTGAATTTATTGTGAAAATGACATTATTTCTGTTGTTTATCCATATAGCTTTGTGAAAAGTGATTTATATTTAACTCGACTTCAGAACAGAGGGTTTAATTGGTTTTTTTTTTTATTCTTGTTGAGAGGTAGAAGTATATATTTTTTCTATCGACCTTACCACAGACATTGACACAAACTAAATTTAAATGTCAATATCGACGGACTAGAGGTGCAGGAACCTGGTGCTATATTATGTATGATGCTAGGCCTATGAGATTATTAAGGTTGCCAGACGTCAAAATTTCACAGTCATAGCTTCTCACAGACCCGTCAGTATTTTTGAAAAATTTGTTTAAGATTCGTCAATATTTATGATTACGTAACACCGGGCACAGATTTATCTCCTTGTGGTAACTTCACACCCGTACTACCCTATTTGGTCTTCGTACAGTATAAAGGACATGTACGCCTGTTGGGTGGGGTGTTTGTTTGTTTGTTTGTTTATTTGTTTTTCCTTTTTTTTTTTTTTTTTTTGGAGGGGCACAACATTCAAGCATTACAAACCTTTGGGGGTAACATCAGGACTCCAAAGGGGGGAAAACACCCTTCCTCCTCAGTGTGATTCTCCCTCAGCTTTACTCACAGTTAAGCTGTAAAATTGTGAGTACAGATGAGGTTGCTGATTTTATCATTGTCCTAAGTTGTTTACAAACCTGTGTGAGATCTGTCTGGCAGCCGTAATAGCATGAAATGGGCAAGATTGATTTGCGCTGTTTGTTGTTCATATTTATAAGTGATTTGATTTGTAATAGGACCCACCTACAAACCGCGGAGACAGGTATAGCTGGCCTGGACTACGTGATATTCCATTTTCTGTCAAAGGAATGGCCAATTTTTGTATACGCATGGCTGAATAAAAAGTGTCACTAGACGTAGTCTTGGAGTAGTATTTGTCCACAATGGAAAACCATTTCAAGCAGGGACACTGAAAGGGAACAAATTCATATACCCCCCCCAAAAAAAAAGAGAGACCATATTCGCACACAGTTTCGTAATTTACATTTCCTTCAATAGTTCCTCTCCGACGAACACCAAGGACACGTTTAGTCGCGTAAACTATATGAGCGTTCAATGTTACGCCGGTTTATGTCAATCTTCTTGTTTACCGTGCCGGGTCCCATTCATCTTTCTGTTCATGTCCTCTAGCCATTACCTCTGCTTTTTGCATAGGGAAGCTGTATCGAAACGAATTTGTGACTGTACATCCAGTCAAGAATCATCTAGATTCCTACCAGTGTAACCTCCCTTTTCAACCCAACCGTGCAAGGCGCCCTTTAAAAAAGTGGTCCGTTCGCAAGTATACAAACCATAACGCACACAAAGAGACTGGCCCGTGCTTTGTGCTGTGAAACATCAAAAAGAAAAAAAGCCGAGGTTGTGGATGACTTCACACTAAACTTTAAGACCTCCGCAGTCTAGCAGCAGAGCGCGGGAAAATAACACACAAATAATGCAAAATGAAACGAACAGTGAATGTTGAGACCTATCTGATACAGTTAAGAGAGTTCATTGGAGTAAGCATGTGGAAAGTCAACAATCCTTTTATTATCGCCCTATGAAACAGTGGAAAAGTTTTGAAGAAACGCTCAATTTTATCCCTTTCAATATTAAAAATACATAATATGAATGAAATAAACCGGAAATATGCAGAAACAAAAATGAGTTGTTAGTTTAAATTGTGTCCTTTCTTTGCAATTCGGTATCACGTGCCACGTGTCTCGGAAATTTTGCAGTTGTTTTCATATGAAAAAGAGGTCTACGCGTTATTCCTTGAAACATCACTGCAATGGCAGTTCGCATCGCCTCGTGGGAAAAGGTCAACTGTTCTGGACAAACTGACGACTCCCTTTTCATGCTGCTGCACGGGGATGCCGTGATCATTACGGGATTTCACCAGTGTTCACCGTACTCAACCGAGATCCTTCGCAGGCAATCTGCTACTAAGGGTACAGTCCACTTATTCAAGCCCTGTTGAAAACAGTGTAAAATCAGCACCGTTCAGGGCCCAATAGCATGCACGCCAACATCCCTGAGATTTCAGAAACGCAAATGAAATTCTTGTCTGGTCACTTATCTTTCTATTTCTTTTCAATATTTTGTGGGTTAACCAATTACATTTTTAATTATTCCCACAAAACAAAATCACCCCCCAAAAAGTGATTTTTCCGAATTGCAGCCATTTTTCAAGTGGCAACCCTCAACTTTCTCGGACACCTAGGACCATTTTTAATCCGTAGTTTTTAGCCCTTCTGCTCTCATATGAAAGCTCAAAGACCCAGGGAGTTGATCCTGGCAACGATTTACGCAATCTCACCATTTTGGGGGCCAAACAATCTCCTTTTTCAAAAGATACTGCGGGGGCACTTCTAATGCTAATGAGCTGGTCAGAAATTCTCACTTGAATTAGTGGACTGCACCCCTAACAGCGTCGGCCCGCGGTCACGGAAAAGACCTTTTTCGGGTATGAATATTGGGGGCGCTCTGTATTTTGAACCGTTCGTATTCAGTTGATTTGTTAGGAAAAGGTGCAACATGGCGATGCTTAAGCTTGTGCATGAATACACCTAAAAGAAATGATGACGGCACGTCACATTTGGTTAAAACCATGTTTCGGGGCTCGATAAATCCTGGATCAGCCCATGATTAGCCCCAACCCTGCGGTTATTGCTAAGAGTTAAATTCTTCTTCCCAAAAAGCAAGAGGGGTTGAATCAAACAGAAACAGTATATTTATTTGGGTTTTTTGGCAGAAAAGGAACGTTGCACATTACAAGTTCTTATTTTCACATATTTTGGGTTGTTGAAAGGTTGGCCTTCTTATGGATACTGGGCTTAATTTCCCGCCGATCGGAAAGCCAGAAAGCCTCTGAGAAGAGAAATATGATCAGAACCGCATACAGTATTTATCTCACCACAACATTTCGGATACTTTTACTGTGCACTGTTGTTGTCAACCTTTACTGTCTTGTCACCTCAATCTAGTCCCCTTGGATACTGAATTACTAAACAATAATATTTTTGACGGCAATTTCTGTGAGCCCATTACATCTCAACTGGAATAAATCGCGCGGCCTTGTTCTTTGAATGGGTTTTGTGTGCGGTTGTCTTGCTATCATCCCACTTCACAATGTCAAGAGTTGACTTCATCTCCTACAATTAACCTCAGGGTATATGCTATGCCGTTCCATGCACGCATGAGTTGTCGATGTTTTGGTCGAACGCACTGTTGCTCGTTGTGCACAAAACTAATCAACGATGTTGGAACTCAAGGCAAAAGCATTTCAACTCGAGTAAAAGTTGTCGTGACGTCAAATTTGCTTCGCTTTCGCATTCGCCTGCCCGTAGGGATGATTTTTGTAACAGTTCATTGACCTCTGAGTTGACCGAAGCCCGTATGTCCAAGAGAGCTCGTTAGACGCGCTTGATTTAATCCTAACTTTCAATGAGATAAATTGATTTTTTATGGCAAAGACCGACTCAGTGAGCTTGCCTCCCAGATAGGGCAACAAAAAACGAACGGATTAAGAAGTTATCGTTGTGACGTATTTGGATCGTTTCAATCGATAAACCCGGATATGAACTCCACACAGACAGCTCATTACTTGACAAACAGAAAGCGAATTCGTCAGCCCGGGTACATTTCCAATTTGTTTTAGTTACTTTTGTGGGACTGCTTACCCAATCCACAATAGCTATTCAATTGGCGAGACATCGCAATTCAACAAAGCATTTTTATTTATTTTTTTTCTATTTGAGGGACACATTTTCAGCAGGCTTTTGTCCGAAAACCCCAGCGTGTCGTTTACTTATAGTTCCCGACTGGTATGGAAACCCACGCGGGTGGAACGAAATCCGTCTGCGTGTACTTCCCCGAAAGTTTTAAAGGTAGGTTCCTACTTGTACTAGAAATGGCTTTCCACGTTACAATGGTAGGTACGTGACTCCCTCACAAAGGCACGGTTAACCAACGTAAGGAAAGCCCCTTTAAGAGTTGCTAGCAACAGTTGCATATAGAGTTACAGCGTAAATATTAATTCACTCCGTATTCATTCCAGTTGGCCTATTCCACACGCCAGACATCATGACCTCCCTCATGGATGTAACTTCACAGGTAGGCTGTTCGATTTTCGAATGAAGTGTGCCAGTAATAAAATTCAAAAAAAGCCAAACGATTCAGTTACCCAACAGTGACGGTAGTCGAATAAAAACCAGCTCATGCAAGTATAACAGAACTGAGTGTTGGAGTAATAGCCAATATTAGAAGATGGAACCCCCAACACATTTAACTATGAAATAGGATTAGCATGCTCTGGTATGATAGAAAATATAATCACTAGTTTTCGACAAACCGGGATATGTGGGTATACAGGGATTCTTAATAGGGCAATGGCGTTTCCCATACTTGAGTTTTTTCTTGGTTAGGATTTTTTCCCTGCTTGGAAAAAAAATTAACAATTACTGGAAAAAGCAGTCGACTCTCGTTTATAGTAAGAGCACTGTTAATACACCATTCTGCCTATAACAAGGGATATTTTAGCTACCAATCCTTTGTTCTTCATTGTTCCCATTCCTGATAGTGCAAGGTTCGTGTTGAAACAAGGTGATCAGGAAAGTCCGAAGGACTTGGTTGGACAGTATTGTACAAAACTCCGTGCTTTATATTACCATGAAGTTCACAGCCAGTGCCACTCTATAAATCCGTAAGGGTCAAATCGATCGTTTAATCTGAATTCTGTCTCCAACATCCGAAATCAGGTTACATTGTTTGCTTGCATATTTCCAACATATCTTCATACACGATTGGCGATACCGTTTAGTGTGACGTGCCCGAAAGGTTGTTTCTTTATTCGACGAACTAAATTTCCATGCCTCGATTTTCTGATTTTATGTGGTATAAATTATGCATGTATTCTGTAACATGTCAAATTGAACACTTTGAAGTAAAAAGAAATATATACACTTATGGAAAACAGTCGCCTTACGTAATGGCAGTTCCTTCTCTGTTATCCTTCTGTGTTAAGCGCTTGAAATACATAACGCAACTATACCGAATTCACCGGTTTTTTTCTTTCTGTCAAGGATAAATTGGCTAAGAATCAAGATACAATCACTTGTGTGGTGCGTCACTGAGTTCAATGAGACTGTAGAGGAAAGCTCCCCTTATTTTGTTTTTTGTTTTTTTGTTTTTTTGGTTGTTCGATGAAACATTTAAGCTATGGAGGATTCGATCATTGGTGTGAACATTTTGAAAGTGTGAGCGAATCACATGCAAATCACAAAATGTTTTCATGTAACGCCTGCACATTTTATCATCGGGTATATGATCGAACAATATTTGGCAAAGTTTTTAGCATTCATCTTCCAAAATGTGTTCAACATACGCCATCGTACAATGTTTAGCCATTCCTCCGTTGTTTAGAAGTACCGTTTAGATATACATTTCAACCAAAATGCAATGCTTAGTTGGAGAGGATCTTAATTGCCTCATCACATAATATTTGTTCTGTTCATTTCAAATTTTAATGCAGTTGTGACGATTAAAATATGAATTGTGAAAACAGTATCTGAGGATTCAAATTAAAGATGTGCATCAAGTCCCAACATTTTTTACAAGACTGTGGAATTAATAATCGATCCCTTGTTCTTTTCCAGACAGGTCGATGCCAAGGAAAAGTTTGCGCAGACATTTAGGCTCTCATCTTCGAAATGTCCTCCATCTGTGAACTTCGCAAAAATGTTGCTGAAGTATCATCATTTTGGCAGGCGGACTCGCAACGACCATAACTACAGCATTACGTAAAGGAATCATATTGTTCGATTGAGATCACAGACGGTTTCATGGTTGACAGGTGACCACCATGGCAAAAGGTTCTTTAAAGCTGAACATGAAAAAAGACGATCCACGGACGCTCATGCTCAAAATGGACGCCCGACTGACCTACGCAGGCCGCGATAGACGCTCGGGGTTCAAACTGGAGGGCGAACGCAAGATCAAACACATCGAAGTCACCCACCAGCTCATCAACGCTGAATTCAACCGCGCAAAGAAGGACATCCTACGGCGCTTCGATTTCTACCAGACGCTGAAGGAGCAGAACAAAGAGAGGCGGCAGAAGAGGGACCTGGCCTGGTGCGAGGAGGAAGAGAAGGAATGGGAGCAACAGGCCATGGCTGAGAAGCGCCGACGCAGGTTGCTGCCCAAGCTGCGAGTCCACAGGAACTTGAAAGCCGAGGCCGGGGGGACAGTGGGGTCGATACGGCGCGACGTGAAGGGAGAGTTCGCGAACAAGATGGCTCACGAAATGCACCTCAACAGGTCACTGATCGCTTTGACTGACGCGTACAGCAAACACAAAATTCTGACCCAAAAGAACAAAGCTAAGTTAGGACAGATCATCGAAGACATTGATCGCGAGGGTTCCACTGACAGGGCAGAGGTCAGTAAATTGTCCTCCGTGTTGGAGAGGGGTCAACCCGAATTCGAATTGCCCCTGCCTAAAGCACGTCTTCCTGAACTGAAACTGGGCAAGGAAGGGGAAAGCTCCGTCCAAAACGAGGTAGATCCTCAGCTGCGGGCTGGCAAAGCAGGTAAAATACCAACAAACGACAAGAGTAAGGACCAGTCAGTGGCTGATATCGGTCCACCTTCAGGTCTAGGACGACGATCTTTTTACATGAATACAAGCAACACCAAGAAACTACAGGGTATAGACTCAAACCAGAAAGACCCGCCGCCCATGCGGAATATCAATCATACTAGACGCAAAGGTGTCTACAAAATGGACTTCGCCGACCCCTCGGGACCCGGCAACGCGTTCGGACGCCACGGGCGCGAGCTCCCACCATTGGACCACCCCTCCGTGAAAACCAAGAAGCCACGGCCATATCTCGCCCCCTACCCTCAGCAGATGTTACCGCTAAGGTTCTACGGAACGGAGGAGAACCCTTTCCTGAAGGGGGACGGCCCACCCGTTGCTGCGATCAATCGTGCCCGGGACTTGGTCGACGCCGACAAAGCTGACGAGATGTACGAGTGGCTGGGGTTTGAGTCCCGGGAGGAACTCGAAAAGCTGCGGGCAGCCGGATTGCTGTTTGAACAAGAACGAGAAGAGGGCTCCGAAACAAGTAGCGTAACGAAGGAGGGTACAGGACCCGCCAAGCTGGGTACCGAGGACAACCCTGACTAACTTTATCACATCATGAACCTGTTTCTAAAATTAATATTACCACGAGACACGAGAAAACGTGCTCGTAATACGATTCATTCTCACACCAAAACCGTCAGCAAATTAAACCATTCAATAAGGGGACACTCAGCCCCATCCTTCCTTGTGTTATTTAATTTACACAGAGGGCTCCGAGTACTTTGAATGATGGCAGGAAGGATACAGAACCAATTTTCTTGGGGATGCAAAAAAAAAATTGTGAATTTCTGTGTGTTGCTTTTCATGCCTCTCTATATATGAGGGGTGAGGCTAAATCTGGGGTCATTTCACAGTCGTCCCAAATTGCTGTTCTTTCAACAACTAGGGGAAAAACGTTTTTCCCTGTTGAGAGGGGGGTATGACTCGGCTAGTGCCCTCAGCAGATCCACCTGCGAATGTTAGAGTATATATAAAGGCGTCTAGCTCCCAAAACAGGGCCTAATGTAAAAACTAGACCATTTTTGAGACGGAGACTGCGTTGCAATTTTAAGACAAGTTTTAAAAATATTGCTTCGGTTGGTGTTACTGACAGCAATTGTGTGCAGCTTTTCCTATACATGTATTTGATTTCCGTTTCAGTGGAGAGATCTGCACCACCAAGGGATAACTAAAACTAAACAATATTGCTTGGATTGTTAGAAATGAACCATTTTCCTAGCACTGCAGACATGAGGTTATAGTCTGACACAGAAAGACAAGACCACAGAAACTTATATGTGTTTTTGTGGGAGGATTAATTCTCAAGTGATCCTGTCGTGATTGACAGCATGTGTAAGTTGATCCCAAGATCAACTCCAGCTTACATGGCGGGAAATTTTACGAGGCAGTGTGGAAAATAACGGGGACAATAGTGTATCCCACATTATTTCTCGTATGTAAAACTGCATTATTTTGTCCCAATTTCCTAGGTGTGCAAAATTGGAGGATTCAAGACTGTATTCATCAGTAATTGGTCCTGAAATAGATATGTTTTTTTCCCGGTACTTTCGTGGTGCGGCTGTGTTTTAATTGCTATAAATTATGTAGAGGCCACGTAGGTTTGGCCAGACGAACTATGGTTCGCCACCATTGCAAAAGCAGCTACACATGTAATTTTAAATCTAAAAAAAATTGACAGCCTACCATACGTTTCAGAGGTATAAAATAACTTTATTTTACCAAAGCGATGACCGCTTTTTAAATATGGGACTTGAGTTTTTCTTCTGTATTTCCGAACGGACGTAATCTGAATTTTAAAATACACCGTAGCAAATCATGAAAAATTCCAAATTCATTTCGTTTTTGTAAGGTTGTCTTTCAGGAAACATTCTGACCTAGGAGTTCTTTGTCAATGACCACTTTCTACTGTAGCATTTTCTTGATTGTATTCCTGTACATTTATAAATGTTTCTCAGCCATGTTACCCTTTTTTGTCTTCGGCTAGTAAGACTTCCTTTTTCACGACTTCCTTCCTTCACGATGATGCCTGTGGATCTCAAGTTTGTAGTTTTGACTTCTGTCAAGTAACACTACCATTCTAGCATTTTTCTAATTTTATTTTACTTCACCGTTAAAATTCAGGTATTTTTCATGAGCTATTTGGTTGTTAATTAAAAATAGAGAAAATCCCGAGACCTATAACTAAGGATACAACTCGTAAACAAAAAACAGCAGAGGAAAAGGTTATCTTTGAATGAAATTGAATGAAATTAAACTTACTTTATTGCCTTAACTTGGCAGTTTATTATTGGGTCAACAGCTGTTATTTGATGTTATATTGGAAATTTCCCCATCCAGACAATGAAGAGGTCATTGTGAAATACACAAAAAAATAGGCAGCTCATAATCTCTTTGAAAAAAAGAGCATTGTACTTTTATCTCACATTCAGCTTTGGGTGTATGTTTCTGTGGAAAGGCCAATCCGTGGGGGAGGGGGTGATTTATTAATAGAGTCATGATCATGGATGAATGAACAAACCAACAGTGTATAAATAATTAAACACTGGTACACTGGTGCCCTGACTTCGCCATACCGCTAGATTGGGAAGCAGAAAGGAATCAGCCTAGACAAAATGTCCTTTCAGAAAGCATTTTGGGAAGCTTTCAGGAAGCATTTTGAACCTAAACATTTTGAGGGTATGCACCATGTGGCACTCCTTGCTTGGGGAAGGTTCATCAAATTTCCTGGCAAACACATTAATTTGGAGTTATTAGAAATGGCTCACCAGCTTTTTCTAAAAGTTACATAGCTTGCTGCAGATGCTGCCATAATATGGCATACATGTTACAGGAATGACCCAACTAAGAGATTCAGCAGCACAGCTGTATGCACAGCGAGCCACACTTGCGGGGAAATTACGCCAGTGGAGTTTAATCTTGAATTTGAATGTAATACCATCCGTAAAATATCCACTTCAAACATGACTCAAGCCTCTTACCACTATTCCTACCACCTGTCCTTTGTCTTTTTTCAATTGTTATGACCCTAATGGAGCTATAAATGCCAAAAAATGTAACAGAGATGGAAAGTTGTTGTGAACTGCTGAATAAAGCAGCAACACAAATGAAAAGGAATACAGTAATGACTGTTTACTGCCAAGGTTGGTGTTCATCTGGACCATCACAGTCCCACAAAATGCACTGTTCCATTCGAGGGGGTTTCATTTCAGCTACGATGGGCTTGCATACAGCAAGTGCCCTGAGACACACTGACTAGGAAGTTGGGGGGTTAATCTTGGTCTCCTTTCACTGAATCAGTCAGAGTCCGAGAACGAATTCCCCTCACTGTCGCCGCCACCAGGTTCCTCACTCCCACTGTCACTCTGTTTGTCCCAGTCCTTCATGGTCGCCCCCATCATGAAGTCATCCCGCAACACACTCCAAGCAGGTTTCTTATTGGCTGGCTTGTCCCCGGCCTAGAAATAAACAGAAGAGAGGCGAGATTTTTAAAAAAGGTCAAATGATTAAAAAAGGGGAGAGCAGTGGTTTGTTGATAGTAAAACTATCAAAGGCGAGAAAGTTTGCACATTTTTATAAATTACGCAGTGTGTTCATACAAAAGTGGACGCATTTCCTCAATTTAAGAATCTTACTTGGAACAAGTGTTTACAAGTAACGGTGAAGCCAAACGAATACAGCAAAAACAACCAAAGAAACACTTAAACCTACATTAGACTGTTCATACTTGAGGCTTTATAGGTCTGCAAAATGTGGAAATCATTCTTATGGCAAGTCCATTGTGAAGTTTTGATATCTTATGGGTAGATCAAGGCTAATCATGTCAGGGAACTGTTTGTGTCTAATTTCATACAAATAATACAATAGTACTTGAACTCCTTTGCCCATAAATACATGAACTTCGAAATATATTTGTCTAATCATTCAGATACCAATATGCCCAAACAAATATAAAACACTGTCTCAGTTTGTCCAGCTTTATTATTATGAATTCATGTTATATTTCAATACACCTGTCAAACTTTAAGAATAGAACTTCCCTGGCAACGCTACTAATCTACAACAACTCACTTGCTTATTCTGACTGGCATTTCTGTTACTGATGACAGGTGTGGCTTTGAGGAGGTCCAGAAAGTCCCCTTTACTAACCGAGGACTTCACCTCGGCGTGCTTCCTCTCTGACCCCGCCGTCTCCGGCTTCTCCCTGAATTTCTTCTGCTGTTTCTTGACAGCATTGAAGAGTTGAACAACCCCCCTGGAATTGTGGAATGAATACACAAAATCAAAATGATAAAAAATGACTCTTAGAAAGTCACTTCATCACAAATCTAATGAATCTAATCAGTGGATTCAGAACATGCTTCAAGAGGACACTGAGCTGCAGCCAAAGCCATTAACGGACTCAGGCTACCCTACAAGATTACCTTAGCTGGATACAACCACAACCACAGCCACAGCCACAGCCCCCGCTCTCATTGAGTTCAGGCTACCCTACAAGGGGGGCATGTTGGCAGGGACATGTGGCCAAGTGGTTAGGGTCTGTGGTTTCCAATCATAGGGATGGGGGTTCGAATCCAGCTGCTGGCAGTATGTTGGTGCCCTTAGCAGGCCACTTCACCCCTGCTAGCCTCTCTCCACCCAGGAGTATAAATGGATACCAGCATTAGCTGGGAAAGCAACCTGCGACAGACTGGCATCCATCCAGGAGGAATAGAAATATTCTAGGTCGTTTCATCCCAAGGAAACCGGAGATAAACACCTGCCTGATGAGCCAAATTTGCTTGGACCAGACTCGCTTTTTAACCCTACAAGATAACCCTGGCTGGAGGCAGCCACAGCCACAGCCCCTTTCATCAACAAGTTCAGGTCACCCTACAAGGTGACACAGGCTGGACAGCCACAGCCCCGGCCGTCTACAGAGTCAGTTAACCCTATACTCTCATTACTATGAGTTTCGTTTCACCTAGTAGCTATTCTCTGTAGTTTTCTCTCCAGCTCTTTGTCAGTCACCCTGGGTTTCACCCTGCCCATATTTTCCCACTGATCCTTCATCTCTTTCTGTAAGAAAAAAAAAAGCCACAGACACAAAAATACATTTTTTAGTCAGTCATTTGTACGCAACTTCTTTTTCTCTGAAACTTTTTTTCCAAAGTTCTTTTTAAACAGATGCAAAGATAGATGCATGTAAATTCGGGGAGGTGGAGGAAGCACGTGCCAAAAGTGATAAGGGCTTTAGTGAAGTACAGTCAAACCTCATTAATAAGAGGTCCTTTGGACTTGGCAAATTACCTTGTTGTAACAGGAACCTTGTATTATCAGGAGTAAAACAATGAAAAACAAAATACTGGGACCTAAAGGTTTCCTTGTGACAAGCAGAATCGTGTATTAACAGTGCTCTTATTAACGAGGTTCGACTGTATTTTACTTATATAATCTTATCTTTTTAACTGTAAATTGCTCTGTGAAAAGAACACTACGACTGAATTGGTGTATTGGTTCAGTTATCTAAAATTTCAAAGTATTTCACTCTGCACAAAACTGAGAGAGCACTCCATGGCAAATTGAAGTCATGTCATGGGCATACATTGGTTTGTACAATTCCATAGCTTCCTTGCATCAAAGAAATGTTTTCTGGGACGGGTGTATGGCAAGATAGCATCAGTAGCCCTCTGTGAAGAGCTACATTTAACTTTATCAATATGGAGAGCATAATTACGCACTAAGCCAAAAACAGGAGTAGACTCGGGCTACAGACCATCTGACCGGATGGACTAACATAGAAGCATGATTCTGTCGATGCTAACCTCTTTCCGCCTCTCTGCGTATTCCACCTCCTCAAGCTGCTTGGCCTTCTGGTAATCTTTGGACTTTGCCAAGACGGCTGAGCCTAGCTCCCCAGGGACGTCCCGCTGCAAGATCTTAGCCATGGCGTCTGCCCATCCAGCCCCTGGGACCCTGGGTTCCTCCTCCCCCTCTGGGTCCTCTTCCGAGTCTCTGCTCTCCCCATCGCTGTCGGGGTGCTCTGATGCCGGCGATGCAGGTGGGGAGGCTCCTTCCAGCTTCTGCCTCTTCCTGGAGATTCTTGTGCTTGTCGTCTTTGATGAAGTGCCTGGAGGCCAGAGAAATTGCAAAGTCCTCAAATGAACTATAAATAAACGTGCTTTAATTTCTCATTATCAATTCAGTTCTAACATGCTTCAAAACTTTCGAGATATTTTTGAAATAATTTTCAAGTACGTTTATGAAAAGACTTTTCTTCTTAAAGTTCACAGGGTATGATAGGGTCTATGTTGTTTTGCATGGATCTGGACCTCGATTAGTGGTCCAAATGCTGGTTTGCTCCATCCATTAGGCTGGTTCTGGTGTTAGTGAACCAACGTTGGATTACTGATAGAGATTTGGATCTGTGTGGAACAAACAGGCCCCTGGATGGGGCTCAACCAACCATAAAAACTTCACGTGTGAAATTAGGCTCCTATATAACATTCAGGCTTATTTTTCTGAAAAAAAAACCTGTTCACAATTTTGACCCAGGGATTCGAACCCACACCCCACTCATCACAAACCATTATGCTGTAACCACTTGACTTCAGAGTTCACACAAGTTGGTGTTGTTTTTACTGTTGATTTATTTGTAATATCGATGAACGGCTGCAACGCAAGTACACTGGACATGCGCAATACATACACAACCACCGTGGTTTGGCTTCATATGTGTGATTGCATATATATATATATGTATCTCCAAGTGAATTTCTCTCCAAGTTGCTATCCTGGAAAAATTTGATTGAATAGCTTTGTTCCAGCAGTGGATCGTTCACCCTCATTCATCATTCAAGATCGATTCCCCAAAAAAGCATATTGTAGGGCACTATGCCTATTTTGTATTTTTACCTAACCTTTCTCTGTGCGATCTTCGTCACTTTCTACATCAGCATCACTTCCAGAATCGTAAGATACTTTGACAAACGGTCTCCATCTTTTAAGATTTTTGTTCTGCTTCTTGGTGGCATCAGAGTTAACAAATGAAACCACATTATCTGGGCTTACAGCAGTCGTTGCGAGGTCGGGACCATGTGCACTCATGTCCGCCGCCATATTGTTTGCTAATGGTCTGAGGGCGCCCTGTACATTTACTGCAGCTGTGCTGCTGCAGTATGAAATGCTGTGATCTTTGGTTGTGGGAAACTTAATGTTTGACGTCCAGCCGATATATTTTGACACTCGGTCTCCATGCAAGTGTGACAGTTAATCTGTGCTCATCATAAATATTTATACTTTGAGTCTTGTTTTTGAATTTTGCACTAATACGTCCAATGAAATCCCGGAAAAGTGTTTGTCTTTAACTTCACATTTCTGTTTTTAAGAGGCGTGAAAGATTGAGAGTTACAAAAAGATTAATGCCCAATATCAACATGATTGTTCTATGTCGGGACCATTTTTTCGAGTAAGAGTAGAGAAGGGGCAGAGTATACAGTTAAGGAATTTTTTTTCCCTTCTGATATGGGTGTTCCATGAAGCCTCGCACTGGCAAGCACATCCCGTTTTAGGGCAAGTTCCTTTACCTCTCAACACAAATATGCCCCTTTACGTCAGCAGATTGGGGACTACTCACCCTACTGCTACTTATTTTATACTGTCATCAGAGTGGGGACAGTTAATCATATAAAATGCTTAAGTTGCTTATTTTTTTCTTCAATTGCCTAAAATTGTGGAAGAAAGCACAATTTTATGGGGGGGGGGGCTATCTCTGGACTATCCCAGCGGGTTGCATGCCTTATTTCACCCATACACCACTCGCAAAATCAGTGAAAGTTAGACCCAACCCAATTGTAGCCTCTTTCAACCCATTATCACTTGTTCACCAGCTGTACATAGCTAAAGTACAAGTACATGCACCTGTGGACAGATTCGGAGAAACAAACCAATTCCCAGGCTGGTTACTTACCGGATATACTATCATCAATCACAAAACAACCCCCCCCCCCCGCAATGGCAAATCCAGAACCAATTTTTTTTTGGGGGGGGGGCTTGTTTCAAAGGCCAATAATGAGAGATTTTTTTCATGAAACCTTTTCATGGCCTTTCTGAGAAGGGGCTACATTTTGGAGTTTTTCACACTGATTATGGCCCTCAATGCCTCCCATCCATCTTCACCCCCCGCCTTCACAACATCTGGCAACAATAATCATCAAAGCACAACTCCCTTCTGATTTAATGAACATTTTTATTCATTCAGTTGTATTATGCCATGAATATTTACTCCTGATTTGTCTATTGCTTCATAAATAAAGTACAAAATCTAATGAAAGTCTCAAATGCTGTTTACACGGACCTACATGGGCCAAATCTTCAGTCATGATTCTGATGGTATGAGAGGTGAACCACTGAGTTTTGTGTTTGTAAGTAGATAAAAATATTTATGTGAACTTGTCAAGTATAAATGAAAAAATCAGTTCATCTTGACCAGAGTGAAGAGATGTAATGACCAAGTCAACTTGCCCAATGAAAATCATACAAAGTCAATCACAAGTCAATCTCTAAGTCCATTACAAATTCACAAGTCATTGCCAAGTCGATACACTAAAGCCACATGAGGGAATGGTTATGTCACAGCTCATTTGAAAACCTTATGACTTGAATCAAGACCAGATGACCCCTGATTGATTTTAACAACTGGTGATGACTTGATTTCAACCCTGAATGAGCATCAGACTTCAACACCGAACACATCTGTACACATCAAGTACAAGTGCAATCCTTGCCATCAGTCAACTAAAGAGGGGCTTCAGCAAACATGTCACATTAAGTTGAAAAAAGCTATGTAAAAACACCCAACCCTTCTAATGTTACACACACATACATCGTTCTAAAAACAGAAATGCTTTAAAATAAATGTAAGAAAAGAAAATTAGATAAACAAATGCTGCAGTCATTTTGCAGGAGACAATCTAAATTTTAAAATGATCCCTTTTAATCTAAAACATACACAAAAGCCTTCCAAAAATCATCACTTATTTAAATCAGGGTCAAGGATTAGCACTTTGGCTATACCAATGTAAGCAGTACCTTGAAAATATTTCCCACAAAAGTAAAGTACCATATCATTTCACAAAACATGCTTCTTAAATACATGAGAGTTCAGGTTGCTCACATTCAAGTTCTGCATGAAAGTGGATCAATTCATAGGATATCTTAATGACCGTACATACTCTGAAATTTCTACAGTGACAACACATTCAGGGCCACAAATATAACCAACAGATTTCAGGTTGTAGAAGCACCGTTGTATCAGCAAAATCTTGAAAAGAAATCATGCAGGCCTCGTGAACGGTATTCATTTTAAAAGTCAGCAGCTTCTCATGTTATGGTTAAGTCTCCTCAAGTCTTAAAAAATCTATGGTCTTCCGGTCTAGCAAGATTTCCTATTTCACGCTCTCAAAATTTCATCTGAAACATTCGGAACAGCCCAAAACTGCCTTTCTTTGGGGGGCTCTTGCTTCAGAAGTTGCAGTGGTGGCATGAGAAGATTGCACAAATCCAGCTCCATACAAACTGTTATTTTAACAAAGTACTTTTGTTATATCAATACAGATGATTCACAACGGTGCACCCCCAAGAGTTTCAAGTTGGCCAATCACAACGCGCAACGACTTCCCAACTTACAAACTGTTGCTCTTCTGGCTCCAACATTCTCATGCCGGGTCACCGGACATTTGAACGGAGTCTGAGATCTAGGTAAACTTACCGCCGCCATTGGAGAAGGAACAAAACAGTGACAAACAAAGCATGACACAGTATGGCTGTTACAGCGTCATGCAGGGTCAAGTTGAATTTGCAAGTGTTGGAACGGTGCCACTTGCCATGTTAGCACTTGAGAGTTTAACCAGTCAGGGACAATCACCACAGCAAAAAGTAAGGAACCAATTGAGGAAGTCTTCTGGTAACTAGTTTAAGATCACCTACAAGACTTCGCCCGTAATTATCGTCCACAGTGACCCTGTGAACTCTGTGGAAGACCAAAGTAAGCCACGCCTGAGTCTTATGTCTGGGGCTATGTCTAAGTCTTTGCCAACTGCAAGAGAACATGCTGACAAAAGATGCAGCCACAGCTCCAAAAGCCGATTTTTGACACAAAAACATGGCAGTCAGTGCATGTGGGTGGCACGGTATATTTGCAGACTGGTTTGCACCATTACACAGTTTTCGTCTGAATGCGCACAATCCTGAAGCATCTTTGCGTGGATACCAGCCATGCCCTGCAGTAATGGCATTCAAGTGTCTGTGACGTCTCTCCGTCACCACCCAGGGGCACTTGCGAACTAGAATCCCTTTAAATAAGTCTAGCTCTGTGCACATTATAGAAGCAGAAGGTTGAGAATAATCAGGTTAAGTATTCTTGAGCCTCGCTGAGTTGGCGGCTACGGCTCATCTGCCGTCTCATCACCGGGTGGTGCAATTGATGGGGAAGGGTGTAGTATTCCATACTTATCAGCTGTGTCCAGGAGTGTGCATATTATGGGAGAATCCACCTGAAAAGTAAAAAACCAAAGACTCTGTTAGTCTTTCCTTTTGTAACCAAAGGACAGTAGCATAAATAGGGTGAAATTTCTGAGAGTGCAACTGGGGTACTCCCTGTTTTTTCAATAGGACACTGAAAGGAAATAAAATGTGGCCTGCACACAGGTAGTGTACAATTGAAAATTTTTAATGGGGGAAGGGTACTACTGCTAGGGGGCATGAACCCACAAGTGCTCCCCCCCACCCAAGCTATGCAACTGCAAAAAGGACTGCACTGTGGTAGCAACAAAGTCTCAATGTGAACTTCTTCACAAACCACTGGAGAGAGTTGCATATTTCTTTTGTTCTCGTGGTCGGGATGACGTCACTCATTTCTTGATTTTTCTCTCTGATTGGTCGATTGGTGGCTATTCCATATTTCACACTCAAAACTCAACGGGGCAAAAATAGTGTTGCCGTCTATGGGGAAATCTGAATTACTGACTAAACTCTTAACCTTTACATCAAATGTGGCTAAAATTTCACTATTTATGCGCTATGAATATCTCCAACACTATACCGAATAGGTTTCAGTTATATTTATCACGTTGCAGCAAAAAAGAAGGAAAACATGCCAATCCCTGTACAAAATGAATGGGGAGCTGCCCTTTTGCCCAGACGTGAGTGCAATAAATGGAACCACCTTGGACAGCGAGAATATTTTAATGTACAGTGTTAAGCATCTTTCTCTGCACAGGCAACTCTAGCCACCAGAATAAGATGTAATTATCACAGTGGTACAATATGCTTGTGTGCAGGCCCAAAACACCTTCAACCAACAAGGTGGCATCATGCACTTGCTCCTAAAGTTTAGCAACTATGAGTACGTTCTTCCATCACAGAAGTGGCATTTCCTTGGGTGAGTGAGCAAATGATATCAGACTAGAAAAAACAAAATTTGTTTCCAGACTGTTCACCCTGTGATGCTTCTACTTTGTGCATAATGTTTGCGTCCAAAATTCAAATCTCGGTGCGTAAAACCTCTTTGACAACCTCGCACTAGGAAGAGCACCGTATTTTGCCAACATCATTATCTTTGATCTTCCTGTAATTTATTCCAACTCTTTCACTGTAATCCTGCCGGAAATTCTGCAAGGAACCTTTCTGAATGCTCCCAAATCCCCCCTCCCTAGCATGTATGGGACAGGAACCGACAGTCGTGTTCTTTTAAATGGACGTTATTACAAGATTTTGAATTCTGCGTCCCGAGTCCACTTTAGAATGGAAAGGAGCCCGACTACTTTGCTATCACTACAGATATAGCCTCACTGTGAAAAAAACTGTTTTCATTTAGACAGAGGAGGTGACATGACTTTATATCCATAATTTAGAAGCACCCACTGGAGTACAAGAATGGTGATAATCTTTGATTTATCCTTACTGTATCCCACTGCATTGCCATTTCCACGCATTAAAACCCTCCTATGCAAACATGCATTCTTCACAAAAGTTTATCAGTCAATATCAGTGAAATGACCCCTATGTGTCCGTGTACTGTAGCAAATCAAGCAGAAGGAATTTTTGACTGTGACTTTAACAGCATAAGGAGGCTTAAGTTTTTGACAATTATTACAGGCATCATCTCACTTTTGACTCAAAATGGCCAACTTGTGAGTCCGGCCAATTACAAAGGCCATCAAGCCACATGTAAAGTAACAGAGGCCGGAATCTATCTTCCTTAATCCTGAAAAATCCTCAACAACCTCCACATAGACTTTTACAGATGTGGGAGGGTTGAAGTTCAGGTTTTCCACAAAATTCTTTTCAGTATCCCTATTCTGATGAAGGAAGAGGGAAATATGTTGTCCATCTTACCAGAGCTGTTTATGGAGAGACTTGCGACATGAGCGTCTCAACTGTTGGAACCAAAATGGTGAACTGATGCATCAGTGCACACGGACAATTAGCACATAACAGCTGCATGCTGCAATACACACAAAATGAACAGCCATTTTGGTTCCAAAGTTAAAGGTTGTCGCAACTCTCTCTGTACACAGCTCTACACCTTACTCCAAGCACATATTCGCAGTCCCTTGGTTCAGACAAGTAGATGGTGACTGATGTGGCCTGCATGTCTTCTTTGCACTTTAACTTGACCTGCGCAACCCTCGGCTTACCGGTTAAGTCGCATACATCCCCGTTGCCATAGTAATGAGTAACGCTCCTGTCAAGGGGAAAAAGTAATGAGAAGTAAGTTCAGTTGAGGGGCGTCTGTATACATGTTTGACCAATTTGGAACAAATGTAGAACATACGAGGTACTTTGCGTAAAAATGGCCCAGATTAAAAGCAACATCCTAATGCGGGCTTCTAAGATTATGAAATCATCATTTTGCTATGAACCTTTACAGTGCTGGCTTGCTGTGTTCTGACTGGGTTTAGCGCTCAGGTATGCATGTACTGTGCATTGGATAATGTACAATGCCTATTCATGTGAAATTTGAAATATGTTGGCCTCTGCGCCAAGGGTCACATGAACAATGCCAAAGCAGTTTAAGACTCAATATTAGGTAAGAGATACTGAGGTGTTTTCAGACTTATAGAAGAAACCAAAAGCTTGAGAATGAGGAAACGCGGAGGGACATGTGGAGGCATGTAAATATTGTATGAGCCCCCCCTTCCTGAGATAATCCTGGTTAAAAGTCACCGTCATTTTGAACCTCTTTAAAAAAACATTCTATGCTCCGAGTTTCCCTTGAAAACTTACTTGGCCCCAATATGCTTCTTATTTTCCGTCCACCATGTTATATGCTCCTCCTTATTCCAAGATCCAAGGAGAATGACTGTAGTGCTGCCTGTTTTAACATCCTGGGGGGGTGGATGAAACGAGAAGAACGTGAAAAGTAGACAAGCTAAGAATGAAATGAGAGAAATAAACAATTTTCTTAAAATTCTGCTCTGATCGAAGTCTCCCATATTATGAAAAGGAGAATGCACATTTCTGTTTGGTTTCAACTGAAAAGGTTTACAATTGCATCTACTTGTTTTAATGTTCAAAATAAGCTACACTCTAATTTGGAACAGTGGTGTCGTAACAATGGAAATTGAGTATTTTATCCTAACAATCTTCAATCCATCACCTGTTGGAGGGTTACCATTGGGGTTACGGAGAAAGACATTCCATTAAATATGTAAAATGTAAATAAATGTTTCATGCAGACAAAGCTTCAATGCATATATAAATTCTGAATCCTAACTTTCCCTTACAAATCCCTCAAATCCACAAGGACTATTTTAGGATTTCTTAGGATTGTGGAAGGTAGAACCCACCTACTATTACTTTCAATGGGGCTTGATGCACCTAGCAATCTGAAAGCACAAAGACCACCAATGGTTGTATGAACATTAGAGGATATGGGAGAGACTTCAAGGAGGTTAGAAGCTAATCTGCTTACCGTATGATATTGCTGAGCAAATTTTCCGTAACAGAACTCATATTTCCACCATCCTTGGCCCTGAACATGAAGATGGGAACGAAATATCACGCAAATAACACTGCCATCTGAAGTAGAACAAAAATTGCTACCAAAGCGGTAAACATACCAAACTACGGGAATTAGCAAAGGCAATTTCCCAAACAGTTAATTTTCACCACTGTTCACCTCTTGCAGAGTAAACTTGCAAGATCTTGTATGCTGCGTGTGCAAGAAGATCACAAAAATTTCAAACTTGTGTAGGTGTAGATACGGAGTCTAATCTTCTAGCAAACTTTCATCTTGATCCTGATTGGTGGATCCATGGCAACAGACTGTGCTATATATATATTTGTGCCCATATGCCACGGCCCATATCACACTGTGCATTGCACTATTAGAAAAACAATATATTGCATTCCTCGCACAAAACAGTTCACGCCTACACAATTCACCAAGAATTAAAAAGTGGCATGAGCACATCAAGTTTGCTTGAAGATAAATTTCTCATAAATCCCACTCACACTCATCAGGTAAGTAATAATAGACATATGCAATTCCATCTATGACATGAGTGCTGCTAATGAACACATGATTCCAAAATGCACATTGTCATTATGCATGTATCGAAAATCAATGGTCAGTGAAACTATTAATGGTCAGTGGTGCTATGTGCATGAAACTTAAACTAACTTTTCCATCAGAGCCACTGAAGTACGATTTGTGACCAGTAAAAACCTTGATCTCTACCCAATGACTGAATAGCCCATTTAGACCAAGGGCTTAGAAGTCAGCAGGTGCCATTTTGGCGGACTGACATGACTATTACAGGCCATTTCATGTGGAAACATTTCATTTTTTTATATTCATGTCAGCGGTATTTGAGTACAAATCTCTAAGTATCTAACCCTGCCAGAAACAGCACGGTGCATCAGGTGAAAAGTCTGATGCACTATGTTGCACTTGGAAATCAACAGCAGCCAAACAAACTGGTCATGTCGAGACAATGGGAGCTAGTCTCATGAAACAATGCCGCTGTTGGATCTTGAGGTTACTGGCAACCACAAATTTCCAGGCTGTTTGGTCTTTGGGAGAGTTGACCTGTTTGATCTTATTACACTGGGCAGGCAAGCTACTTTGACAAGCGATGTAATCTGATCTGTCTGTCAGGGTTTATAGCCAAGTACCCTTGGTTAGGGTTAAACCGTGGCTTATGTAGTTATCACTTGATGTTACTCAAAAAACTCAGAAATTACAAATATATTTTACACTCCCCCAAACAGATGGGTAGCCATCTTCAAAGGCCCCACAACTGGAGACACAAAGGCATCATTTGTTTGTGCATGAGCTATCTGGTCAGTATGGACAGATCAATAGGCAGAACAACTGAACTCTCCACAGTGTGTCACTATGATTCTCCCCGATCATCCCCCAGCACTCTCTCATCACTGTCAATAGATAGTGACACTCTGACAGACACTCACCCCATGAAGACAATAGTCACCGCTCAGGAAGTCTTTCAGTATCTGCTTATCGATGAGGACGGGGCGAGCTAAGGCCTTCTTGGCAGCAGCCTGAGACGGCTTCTCTCCGGCCTCAGAAGAAGGGGCGACTTTGCCTGTTGGACTCTTGGCAAATAATATTTAAAAAAAAGAAGTTTAGATGACAGCAAATTAGATCAAGAACAGTGGAATGCTCACTTAAGCTGACAAAGCCTGTGGTGATGGCCGAAGCACTCTGCCACCAATGTTGTAAACGTAAAGACCTTTTCTGGAACCTCATAACTGCTTATGTAATGGAACGTCAGAGTTGAGCCAGTGCACAACGAACCCTCTCAGTGCTTTGGCTTCGAACCCAGAAAAACGGTTTCAACAGTCTGATTGAAGTAAAATTTACTAACCAGCATTTCAACTTGAAATGCCATCTTAAATGGTCTCGGCAATGTCCGGAAAGGCCTCGGGGAAATTTTTACCACTAAAATACAAATTTGAACTTGAAGTTGGTTTACTCAAATTATGTATGTGATTATGTCATTATTCTTTTTTTCACAGAATCACACTCCGTGCAGCCTGATTGTTTGACTAATGTCTTTAAAAATCTTACTAATCTGACTATAACGTACATCAAAAACATACTTGTAGGTGATAGTTTGACCATGACCATGCGTGTCCAAATTATGGCTAAGGCTAGACATGATGCATGTACCTATGGCAGCCATCGGCTACTGGCCACATCCATTTCCCATTAACATGTGTATTAGTGTTTGCCACAGACAAGAAGTTTGAAACCCTCATATACATGTAATTTACTACTCAAGATCAGTTTACAAAATTCAGATGCACGGTTAGTTGCCAATTGTTGCAAGCTTTACTTGGAATAACGGAGAGCCATCAGCATGTATGTCTGTGACTGTTTCACTGCACATTCCATTCGATTTCAAGTACACTTCCGCGCCAGCGCAAAACTGCAATGCACATATACACACAGCACATCCACCATCAGTTGATGAGTGGGTCATGATCAAACACATTCAACAATGTGGCTGGCTGTGCAAAAGTGAGTTTATAGTTAGAGCATAATTTATTTCATGCTAGTGGCGAGGGTCAAAATGTGATTCAAGTTTGGCCTGTGGATGGAGCAGTGAAATGTAAATGGTCTTCATGCAACCTTTGGCAATTCATGGGCAACTAATGAGAAAATACCGTTTAGCGAACTGATGTGCTGAGCAAGAATCTGCTGTGAACCAGCCAAGGACAATATCCATTGTGTGATTTTTGTGGCTGGTAACCTCTTTTTGCTCAGCAAATATCTGCACTGAGCAAATACCAGTAGCAGTATGCAGCAGCTCCGTGAAAATTGACTTTAGTTTGTCGCTAGCCTGTACACAGCCCACGTAGTGTTCATGTGTGGAGCCATCGTCACTAGTGCGTTACAGCCCTCATGGGAAAACACATCTGTGGACAGAACTTGACGTCATCATGTTATAGGTCTATTGCAGAAATCTCTGGCTGAAGACCACACACAGACTCTACTCTGGGCACAAGGGTTTAGAGTCAAAAATTGCCTGATAGGCAGTCACCTTTGGTGGTGAGAACTGCATTCGGGTGCTGGTGTCTTTGTACAGCTGCTCGTATCCTACCGGCCGAGCTGGTGCCCCGTTCATGGCATGGCAGTTGATTGCATTAATTGGAGGTTCTCTAATCCTGGAGTGAACAAGGGAAAAAAAAAAACCACTAATAATTGAGTAACATTCACAATACACACACACAGAACTTGTTGCAAGGCAATGTAATTTTGTGAGAAGGTTGTATCATTACCCCTGACAGTCACGCCATTTCAATCCAACTCATCTCAACTCCCTCGGAGCGGAAAAACGAATCTTTGGCAGCCTTGCACACTCTTGGCAGTCTCAAGAAACTTCAATGCTTGAAATGAATCATTTTGGTTTCCTTTTGATGTAACAAAGAGTTGTTTTTAAAGACTCATCCCACTTCTGCCACCAGATACAAAGAGCAGAAGTTTTCTTAGCACTTTCTATAAATTGTGTGACCTTGTGGACTATGAAGAAAAAAATCAATAGAAACACAGTCTCCTGTGAAAAATATACTGGCGATCAGAAGCACAAGAAGACTAAAGGGACAGGGTTGGAATCTAGTCAGTCCAGTCAGTCAATTCATAAATCAGCTCAGAACTAAATAAAGAGATTCAAAAAGACAACGAAATGCATTTTGTTACCATTAGTTTAAATAACTTATGAGCTGACTAATGACTGAATGACTAATGACTGATCTGTGGTGACTTGTGGCCAACTCAATTACAACTCCAAACTACAAATAAAGCATATTTGCAGTACGCAAAATTTAACAATATGACAAATTGGATCATGCACATGACTATGTTGTTGATAATAATACCTCCATTTATATAGCTCCAATTTACTAGGGCACTAAAGTCGCTCACAAAGAAACAAAAGACAATCGAGAAACAAATCAGCTGAGATCTGGGGAAAAGATGTTTCTTAAGAGCCTTCAGGTGAGATGTTTCTACTCACCTGTACAAAGGGTGAGTACACAGGTGAGGTGTGAGTATAACAGCCTCATACTCGCAGGTGCTCGTCTCTTTGATGGACATCATCTCGTTGCGGCCAGTCGCCTCACATATATATCGCACCCTGGTCATGCGAGGCGTGTCCCCTCGAAGGTCACAAGGCGTGCCGTCATCCATTAGAACCTCGTAATATGGTATTTCCTTACCGTCAATGGATAATGTTGGGACCTTTGATAAAGACAAGTTACTCAGTCTACATTGCCTTGGTGCTTCGGGTTCAATTCCAACATAATTTTTCAACATTCCAGTATACTCAAGAATGACCAAGCTAGAATACTTGTTATAAGTTTTAAGGCAACCAAATGAACCAAGGTTGCTGATATTCTCTCCCACTCGGAGTGCTTACCTTAAAATCATCAAATCTTCCCTTGAATGAGCTGATGGTCTGTAACTCATATTCTTTGCCTCCTGGTGACTTCATATTCTTGCCAAGGTAGAACTCCAGTAATTTGGTTTCCTGTACAAGTCAAAGACGGTCAAAAGTACAGGAAAATTCACTCAGAGTGACGGTGGTGAGCGACAATCCCACTGCTGACACCAAATTAAGGAATGTCTCTCTCTGACGGGTTCATGTTTTAGGACCTAAGAACCAAAGAATTCCAGACGTGTCTGAAATAAGCTCTCAAAGCCACAGTTACTTCTGATTGATGCATGTGCCTACATATGTAAACTGGCCAAGACCTAAACTTTGTTCTGGACACAATATTTGGACATGAGCTCTTGCAGCTCCTTGACTTCAAATCCACTTTGCCCACCACTGGATGGAAATATCAATAACAATCAATAGCTTTCCTTCTGCTGATTTTTACAGACCTAACCTCATCCAAAACAAGTTCCAAGTCATAAGATTCAAATCCTAGACTATCCACATAACTGTAAAGCAATTACAGGTCTGCCAAAACCCAAAGCTATGCACAAACAAATATTCGTACCAAAATAAGGGATCTGTTTTACTTTATGAGCACATTTCTCTTATTCTGTCAGCTTCACTTTCAAATAAGGAGACAATTTGTAAGGAAACGAGTAGAACCAACTTGGATCCACAGCCAAGTACTTAATCAGTGAAGAAGGCCGGGATATATGTTTAACAAGTTCTGTGTTAGATTTGATGTACACTTTGTTGAGGTTAATAAGTGCTTCAGCAATCACATATCTGTCACTTCCACATCCACAGTTACAAAGCCCATGGTTTCAAGAGGGGTTTTCTCCTCTGGATTTTCAGCAAAGTGGAACTTTTGAAAGATTTGAAACCTGTCTAAAACAACCCTAAGAAGTTGGGGATAAAACAGTACATATTTAGAAATTAATACAGTTCACTCTCAATATAAAGAATACTGTTATGAACAGCAAATGCTGTGAATCCCTCTTTCTTGAATTCCTATGTTGGCTCGTTTCCCATTTCTTTAATTACAAAGTCCTGGTTATAGCTTAGAGATCTGTCTGGTCCCTGCAGTTTGTTCCAACTTGGTTTTTAGAATTGCTTAACAACTGGTACCTTGCCAGCTTCCTTCTCCTCGTGGTATTGTCGTACATGCTTCCCGTGGCACAATTCAAAATTCCAATACGTTTCGATCTAAAGGAAGAAAAAAAACTTAGTTTCAATATATGATTAGGCAGACAGTTTGGGGAAAATATTCAGATGGCTTTGATAAAAAAATTCTTGCTTTATACATTCAGAGCAGGACAAAGCACTACTACCTACAATCACAATCTCACTTGTTTGGAGAATTTTATCTGATGCTGTCATTAAATTGTCAAAGCATGCCAGATCACTTCTTTTATGATGGTTGAAAGCATTCAAAGTGACGCCACCAAAAGCTTTAACCACTGTCATCCATTGAATCTTTGAGTTTTTTCATGAAACGTTATTATGTTCAGTAGAATTACTTTATGTAAATATTTGGCAAGCTTTTCTCTTTAAATCAGGATTTGTTACAACAATTAGGACATCAATGCAAATGCTTCCACAGGGGTCCAGTTGAAATCTTTACCCTAATGGTGCAGATGCCCTTGGTAAAAATGGGCTGAATGAGATCGGCAGCTGACGGTCCCGGATAGTTGACCTCATTCAGTTGCTTCTGGCTCTCCTCGTCTGGTAAGATGCATTGGTATTTTTCGTTGTTGGGCGTAGTCATGATGAGGTATTCCGAATTGCCCGTTAGGTCCTGTGAGCCAGTTACAAGGCAGGGGAGAAATTTGCGGCAAGGGAACTATCAGTCAGAGCTTACGAGTACAATATAAACATTACACCTACGCTGAAGCCTTTCTCTAAATCCAATTTATAATTGCCTGTTTCACAAATAAAGCAAGAACCAGACTCACTCATGCTCACCTTAAAAGCATCATGTGTCTCACAAATCCCCTTGTGATCTCATTGTAAATTACACCTTCATCTATCCCAAGGCATAATAACAAATGCTGAGGAACAAGCTTCCCTTCTACATCCAAGACTCACCCACTCTATCAAAACTCAAAGGCATGTACATGTATATGTACTCACACCGCAGTGAGTATGTTGAAATGCCAATAGGAACTGCTACATTGTCATAATTGTCACTATGATGCAGGGTTCCAGCTGACACATTTTAATCAATAGCCTAGGATCAAAAGCTGATTTTTGGAGCCAGCTACACACAGAGCTAAATTTATTTGGTTTCTTGCCAACTGCTCAGAATTGTAGCCGAAGTATGAAGGTATTCATCGCTGGCTACAATGTCAACTGCTCGCTGGAACTCTAGGATGCCTTTCTGAATTCAAAGATACTGTGGCAGAGCTACGATGACCCCTCAAAAATAAACCTCATACCCGACCAAAAATTACGGGTATTACCTGAAACTCTTTCACAAGGTCCAAAACACATGCATGTAAAACCAAACTTTAACTTTTTACTAGTCAGTTGCCCAATCAATTTAGGAACAGCGACAGCTCATACAATACCTGAATATTTTCTCCAGCCCAGTTCAGTTTGAACAGGGAGTTGCTGTTGAGGAAGTCTGAGTGTGTGATCTGAAGAAACAGCAACACACTGAGAGCCAGGAGCTCTGCCCCCAGCCAACTCATCATTGTCTGGAACACTGTTGACCAGTACTTCCTGTGGAAGAGGAAAAGAAGGCAGACTAGGATAAGAGCTGAATTGTCTGGCATGGTTTGAACTAGTAAATGTAAAGCCAGTTTCTAATATTTTCTTATTGTTGAGGACCTGATAATCTGGTGCTGCTACTGTTCACAGAATCTGTATCCATTTCAAGATTGTGAGCATATAAGACAGTAAATGCACACTTGTCTCAGAGCTAAAATCTTCTAAATTAAAATGATGCAACAAAAAACAGCTTTAAGTACTCACAAGCACACATTTATGCCAGCACAAAGTGCTAACATGTTCTAAAAAGTGAAATTTAGCGAGGAAAATTCCCAAAGTATTTACACTGTACTTAGAAAACACTTAGGTTTTTTCAGACAAGTCTCATAGGTTTGTGCACAGGGGCATCAAGTGTCGTCCGTAGATGTACAACTTCCACAAACATCAGATCATTTTTTGAATAAGATACACACAGAGCCATGGCACGTTTATTCATGCCCACATCCATAGCCGATTATTTTAAAACGAATGTCTCATTAACATCTGAGCATGGTCATCCGATTTAGTTTAGCTAATTTAAAAAGTTGTTCCCTTAATTTAGTCAGTGTTAATTGAGTTGACGGCTCTGGAGCAGCGGCTGTCATGCACATTGGGTAAAAATAAAATCAGATTAAAAACGTCACAGCAAAGTTCATGTGCAGCGCATATGCGCGCGCACTGGCAGTTTTTGGCATAGAACAAAATGAAATTCTCATTTACTGACTGTGCGTTCAGGTTGTTTGTGTATCAACTTTGTCATTATCATTAATCATTTCTGGAAATGACACCAAGGATTCCTCAAAAGAACACCAAGGATTCCTCAAAAAGGGCACCAGGCACTGTAGCTCACAAGCCTGAAGAAACGTAGAGGAGACATTGAGAAGCAGTTAGAGTTTTAGAGGTGGGAGGAAAACCCCAGAGGAATATTCTGGGTGAAACCCACGGCATTAGGTAGAGACTGAAAACCCAACCCACATGTGGACCCGGCTGGCATTCAAACCCAGACCACAGAGGTGGAAGATGAGGAAAGATCTACTATGTCAACCTGACTCCCCCAACCTTGGCGTAGAATTTAGAATACAGACATGACAGATATGCAACCAGCTGTACAAAAGCCATACAACATTTAAAGTTTTCCATAGGTTTGCGCAAAATCATGGATACAGATGGCAGGCATCACTCTGCAGGCCTAAATGAGTCATCACTCTAGTATTAATTAAACCTCTGTCTATGGTAGGCCTCGTGCCTTACTATTTAAATAAACACAGTTCTCATGGTTCTGGAAGTATCAACTACCTAGGCTGGCACTGGCAGTAGTGGTGTTAATGGGCCCTTTTGTACATCATCTTCTACGCAAACTATCGCATTTTTCCACATTAGACTTGTATTGAAGTGTCTGTTGTCCAACGTTTAGCAAAGCTAAAGTTGACCGTGTTACCTTCATGACCGTACGTTAGGATGACGTGTCCTATCGATCTCTAGGAAGTAGGACCGAACATGCGTCAGTGAGTTTGGTCTAAGTTTGTAATAGCACTTGGTCATCTCCTGTATTTAATGAAGAAAAAATACTTCAAAAATAAATGTATACCTTTTCCGCAACTTTCAATTCAAACTATCAACCCAGATCGAAAACACCAGGAATTTATGGCATGACTTTGGCCTTGCTTCTTGTGCTTTACACTGCTTCAACAAGTAAGACGCCCTCCATTGACACAGGCTGTTCAGTGCACGCCCTCTCGCGAAAAGTTTCTGTACCAGAGTTCTACGCGCTCAACAAATCACACGTTTCACGTTTCAATTGATGTCTGTTTCGGACACAGCTGGATCTGCGTCCCACCCATTGCAAATATAGAAGTTCTTGACAGATACAAGTAAATTATTGGGAATATTTCCAAAGGTTATAAATTCCTTGAGATGATAAGATCACTCTCTAGTATTAACTGAAAGGCTCCAATGCTTTATGCGAAGGACTAGGGCGGATCAAAGACATTCAATGTAATAGTTACATCTTTCATAAATCATTTTGATCTTGAACGACTTGGTATGCCGGAATACGCTGAATCCCAACACGGGAAGTTTTCCATAAGGATATTTCCATTCTCCGAATTCGGTCTTTATTTGAGGACGGAAAGAAATGCAGTAATCTGGCACTGCACACCGAACGGTTGAATAAAAATATCCGATTTCAAATCAGACTTGAAAACAAGACTGTTCCGACTCCCTCCATCCGGCTCTCACGCTCCCAATAACTTGTTTAGAACAAATTTACGCATGCAGTTACAAAAACAGGTCCCCTGCAATAATTAAACCAACTACTGTCATGCTAGATTTTTGGTCAACTTTTGAAGTTTTCATAGCTCTTTATTAAATTTGAAACATTAAACGGACATTTTTTATTTTACTTTGGAATGGAAAAATAAAACTGGCTAGGATGGAGTGAAATGACGAGAGATAGGATAGAAAAATCCTGATCTTTCCCCGATGACCCAGGCCTAATTGGGGGTAAAATCGAAATGGAGGACCCAGGGTGGCTCACCAGAGTTCGTTCCTTCATATCTTTCAAGGAGCCGGACGTCGGATGGAGGTAAAGCAAACTAACAAAAACAACGGCTTGTACATAGATCATTTCAAGATTAAAATGGGGAGGGGGACCCGGAGGCACAGACATCCTCAGGGTGGGGATGGGGGTGGGGTATGTGTCTCCCGTGCTCCCCAGTCACGTGTTCGCACACTACTTCAAAATTTCAAAGGGACTGGGCACGTGGGTCTATGCCACGAAGGTCCGCGGGGTCCCTCTGTTCAATGTCTTTTCTGCCACTGGGTTTCTTAAAAGGAACGGGATCTCGAAGCCATCTGGCATGCAGGCTTTCGATGATAGAATTTTGTGCAAAAATCAAAACACTCCCCGGGGGTCACCCCTTTACCTCCCGGGATAGGCCTTTATGGGCCTGAGATATGCGTGGATTTTCCTCAAAACGAGACAAATACACAAAACCTTGTCTGGAGCCACTGTTGATTCACGCAACCCACAGCTACCAGGGAATACCACCGGATGAGTCACGGCTCAAGTGCGCCGTGTGGGGCCTGGCTATCGCACACTCCTACGCGGCTGGGATCTCCACCGGAAGTTTACGCTAAAGGGGGCTGCTAGCTGTTCATGCTGGAAAGCCCAAACAAGGATGATTTCGACGGAAAGAATTTATCTGCTCTTCCTGTCCTGCATGGATGCAATGCCGCCTTCACTGAACAGAGGTCATCTGCTCATTCTGAGAACAGCTTTCGAGCTCAAAGCTCAGTTTGTTTAATCTTTAGGCCAACCGCGTTGTAAAAAATACTTGGCCGTCTGTATAGCATGCCTAAAGTAGTCAAGATCATGCCTGCTGAGACACGTGCTGTGATATTTTGAGCTCGAAATATTCACTTTTTCATTATAAATTCCATCAAAAAATAAGTACACAGGGAATACACGTCATGTGCTCACACAAGAACATATTCATGTGCATCCCCCGAATAAGGCATGTCCAAGGCTCACAGTGAGGTCGGGGTTGTTCTTGGGAATTCTTATTCATTCATGGTCCCACATACCACCATGGGGGGGGGGTTATACCATTCCATAGTCCATTTCGTCGACAGCTGGCGTGCAGTCGCTTGTGGTTGGCTGGTGTGTTGTAATTATGTTTTCCATCTTATTTCAGTGTCTTAGGGGGTGCGGTTTACCATAGAGCGTTACAAATGACTTCCGATTTCAATAGTTCGGTTTCCCGCAGACCAAATTCAACAAGTGGTGGAACGTAGATTGACAGTCGACGAGCCATAAAAGGAAAATCAAGAATTCAACATAAAGAGGACATGATTGGGGTCCCGGATAACAGTTTTGTGGTAAGGTTCCCCTTTCACCTGTCTTTGGTTAATGATCCTGTTTAGCTCAATGAATTCCTTTACGGAATTGTAAATCATCCCAAGATTATAAACTTGTCAACTGTCCCGGTAGAAAAAAAATTAAAACTGATCTAATATTCCAAAAAATACAGTAAACGGGGAAAATACTCTTCCCTCAAAATAGCTCACTTTGAGCTCTGGTCACACATTCCAAACTGCAACCAGTCAGAAAGGGCTCAGGCAGTGAAGTGGCAATTTGTTGAACACCTTCCAACCACCTTAGTAATTGACAGTCGCTCTAAATACATGAAGATTATTATACAGAAATGTGTTCGATATCTTTGGTTTTAAAAATGATTTTTGCTTTGTTACCGGTACGCTTTGTCTGAATGCCATTGATCAAATTAAACCTATTACTAAACAAATAGGGAGAACTTCTCGCTTTTCGAGGCGAGGATGACAGTACATCATCTAGTGACTGAACATTATGCAAAGAGAATGTCGCCCTCATGAAATTGATAATATTCAGGTTATTAAGTTGTACATATAAAATAAACGGAGTGGTTTTAAATAAATATATCGAAGCATTTGCTTATTATTTCCGTATCTGTCGCCCATGGATTTTTCCCTTCGTTACTTCCGGATATTTTATCCCTGACGGACCCTCTTTTACGTTTAATCCGTAGTTTTACCTTCAAGCTTGCTCTTTACAGAAGCCAGAACGGCTTGAAAAACAAGATTTGGCATCAACAAAGGATGAATCATCAAACGTGATGTTTTGACACGATAATCTGTTTCGTTCAGAGGCCTTTGTATGGCACATGAAGTCATTCCGTAAGCATTTCGAAAGACAACCTTCATTCAGGATTCCGTAAATAGATAGGACTTTGAAGTGTAAGCCTACCTAATCATAATGTACACAACCGTAAGTCACATGTTAATTTTATCAATTTTGATACCATATCGCGCTGTCGTTTTATGGATTTGAAATCTCTCCATTACAAATCAACAAGTTACCCTTTCGGTGAGCAACTTTTGTGCCTGGAAGTTTTCAGAAAACGAATAAATAACTTAGTTAAGCTTAATCATACGACAATCCCAAACCTGCACTCCCACATCCCATTGTCCTATTCTTTGATCTGTCAAAATTTTAAATTTTATGTATTGGTCTCGATATCAATGAATGGAACTGGTTAACACCGAGAGGGTGTATACAGGCTTTATTTATGTAGTGGGATTCACACAAAAATATTTGTGTGTAGGAAATGAATGGACCGTCAGCAGAACTTTGTTGTGACAGGAAAACTGTAAAAGTGGGTCAAAATTCTAGTCATCCGTCAGAGTTGTGGGAGGACGAAGACTGATTACAGCGCTGTTTGCAACGGGATACGGCTTTATGACACTGCCGCAAATCTAATAAATCACGCGGCATAAATAAGTTTTCTAACAATATGAAAATTCTGTCATTTAAAAATTCTCACAATGAGAAAGGATTTTGGTGGGTTTTTTTTAAGCACCGCAAATGCCGATCTATTTGCTTTCAAAAATTGAACGGAATTGGTTTTTGTTGATGAAAAGAACGAAACCTGCAGGCAAATGAGAAAGCTAGATTGAATGTGATGCCAGAAAAAAACAATATCAGAGTTGAAATGGTCGGGTGAAGTGGTTGTTTTCGAACCGTGGGTGGTTTGCCGCATCTATGGGGGCTATGTGACACTTTTCTTTCTGAATAACAGGGTTGATGTCCGTTAGTTCACGACTATACTGTCACAATAGTTGGAAAAATGTTGACAAGGTTTGATTTTTTTTAAGAACTAAAGCGAACGTGTTCCTTTGTTAAACTGGAACGTCTCTCTTCTTAAAACATACATTTAACCTACAAGACTGCTTTTCGCAGCGTGGCCATTTGCATCCTGATTTGGCTTATTCTTGTCAAAATGATCAATTGGTCGCGATTTCAGTGCATGAAATAGTGGTTGGTCATAGTGAGAAGAAAAGATTTTATCACCTACTAGATGCCACGGAAAATTATCAGGCTGAACACTTTAGGCCTATTCAAATGTCGTGGCTGTAGGGGAAATAGCTGTTGTGGATACAACGCAGATACACAGTTTATCAGTTGTAGGAAATTGCCAGGGGCGTAATAAATAAGATGGCCTCAAAAGTTGTCCAACAAAAATAATTTTAGTCAAGTTGACAGTGTTCAATTGTTTGGGTTGTTTTTCTAAGACGCAGACGCTATACATATCCTCGTGTTGCTTCCTGCAGCGCTGGATTGTTTTGAACAATATAGAAGTGTTTGCGGATGACGACAAAGAAAACGATGTCACAGTTGAAAAGGCCAGCGTAGGTTGCTTTCGAACAGGCCACCTTTTCAGTCTGGGGTCAGTGGCCGTTATTTTTCCGACCGACCATTTCAACAATTCCGGTCTGAGAAGACATGAACACCTCAGTTGGATAAGCACTATTATTTGAAGAAATAATCCAATTTTTATTGTTTTAATCTTTTTTAGAGTCTCCTACCAATTAACCACTTTGCATATTAAGTTGAAGTTATTGTTTTTCTATGCGAGAGATGTCACGAAATGGTTTACTTTAATACCCATAAAAACGGTAAATTTCCCGGAGATGTATAGTCGAGTCTATCACAGATTCCATCATAAGTCCCATTTCAACGCACGCGCAGTGCACAAATCTGAGGTTGGCTCTTTCACCGACCGCAAAAAGAGGATGAAGAGGACTTAAAATGGATTTTTTGGGGGGGGGCGCTTCATTTCAACACTTCGATTCACTGGAATCGCCGCTCGATTTTCTGAAGCAATGCAGGCAACATATCGGAGTGCACTTACAATCAATTTTGGGTAAAACTAACAAAATCACATTAATTTTAAAGAAGAAAACATTCAGTGTAAACCGAATTCTTCAAATCTTCCTTTTAAATTTTCAACCTCGGTAAATCTCCTCATCAATTGGAAAGGCCACGGAGGACAAGTGAAACAGTTATTGATAACGATTTGTAACTGTGTCATCACGAACGATTGCTGTTTTGTAAGCATTAAGGAAGGGAATATACGACTTTTCGCCACCAATGGTCTCGTACATGTTCGCCTTTTCCGGGATTCTACTCCAGATGATCGTGGGTGGGAGGCCTTGCCAAAGACACATCATCAGGGATGAATGGACTGGATATGGAGGCACTCTCGAACGTTCTCGGGCTCAATGAGAGTTTGACTTCAAACCATGAGCTGACAGATCGAAGAGTTTAAGCCTGATCGAGTCTCAACGTTTGAGCTTTTTATAAAGGAAAACGATGCATGGTCAAATCAAATAAATTAAGTCATCAAGAAAGCATATTATTGTGTTGATCTCTGCTCAACAAACAAACTTCCTTGTTCCGTTTCCAGGGTTCATGCAAAGTCTTCATTGTGAATCACATAGTTGTGTGCAACGAATTCCATCAGTAATGGACATTTTGTAGAGAAAAGCTTAGACGATGCATGCGGTTTGTCTGTACACGAAATACGCACGCGAAAGTGGAATGTGACGCACAAACAACAGTTGGTTAGCGTGGCAGGACCACCGGTGCTTGGAGATGAGCCAACTCCATAATCCACCCCACGGGTTGTACGTAACATGCTCTCTGGGTGGTCGCCGAGGCTTGGCTAACTTCTAGGCTCTGAGTCATCACCAGAACGGGGAATACCTCTTTCTCAGTACAGGGCTCGGTTCGGCTTTCAGGGTTCCCCACGCCAGGAAATCAACGCACCTAGGCCTAAGGGCGTCCAACGTACTGACTGCTTTTTGATTTCGTGAACAAACCACTTGAATTCGGTTTTCCGGAGGATCTGCAGGGGAAGAATTATGTCATGTCAAATCATGCCACGGAGGAAGGAAGATTCTTCTTCATGGCCAAATCATGATTAAACCACACGTGCTACGTGTTTTTTCTTTGAATCTGTTGAAAATATTCTAGCTTCGCACGGTTGCGCTTTGTTCTGTAAATTTGGTTTCTCAGTAATAGATTTTGAGATTATATATTACACGTCACCTTCCGATTGTATGTCTTCGGACTTTCTCCGTGGTGGGATTTGTTTTTGCTGCGTCTTTCTTATCCGTTCAAAAATATGTTGAAATGCGTGCATTGCATCTTGGGAGTTTTTAATCCACTGGAAGTGTTTCCCTTATGCCTTTCATATGACCTAGAGACAGGGTAAGCATCAATCTAGGCGCAATATCAAGCATATCACACTGTACCAACATGGCTGTCACTAGAGTTAATACCAGCTAATGATATTAGCCCGACTGTTAACATGTCTTGGGCTCCTGCTATCCTCTTGCCACCCCTCATGTAAATCACTGGATGTAACTGTTGTGGATATTTTAAAGGGTGACCTTAAAATTATCTTGAGCCGGGATATTTAGATTACGAACATGCCCTTCTTAAGTGCAATTTGGTCTCTCTCCATAATCGTAGAAAAAGCCTTTGCGTTGACTTTGCTACTAAAGTAAAATGTTCTGACTTGTTCCGACAGTGATTGCCTCAACCCAGAAGTTCTAGCGTGCAATATCAACTTAATTCGAACAAACTGTCCGTAATCAAGTGCAACACAAACAGATATAAACGTAGTTTAATACCCTAACTTTGTCAGTGTTTTGAACCACATATAGCCCTTTCTTTCATAAGTATTAAATCATGTTTTTGTTCATTAGCATTTTATGGTATGTACTTGTTCTTATCTATTATTCATTTTATTATAATTGTGTGTAATTGTGTCCAGTTGGGCGTTCTTTTTGAATTGTAAACAATGTAGCAATTAAGCCTTTGGGCTACAAATGCATTGTTTTTTTAAAAAACAGAAATAATAACGATAACAATAAATCTATCTATTGTAGGCTCAAGATCAAAAAGATGTTTAAAATGTTTGATTCAAGTAAGATGCTATTCTTGCTCAAGTAAACTCGATGGAAATATTCTTGTTTGTTACAGCTGAGGGCTATATTTATTACTCACAATATACATGTACATTTAACTATTGCTTTCTCAAAAATGAAAAAAAACGGTGATATTTATAGTAGAAAGTGACTGAATTAAAGCTGAAATGAAATCTCAGTATGAGTCACCGAATTATAAAAACTTACACAAGCCCGTAAAGTTGTTGCTGGTTAAACAAAAACAAATACATTCTAGATGACTGAAATCGCTGAGAAATGCACCGAGAAAAAGATAAATGCCGTTACCTTTTAATCTATTGTCAACATACGGAAAAATGAAGTAAAGTCTATAGTACAAGACATTACAGTATTTATGTAATATTAAATATACATGTATCATTTCTTCAAATTATTATAGCAAATCAGCTTGAGTGTCAGTTATAGTTGAAAAAGACATGCAACTGTAGGCCTACCTGTATTCCTTTCAACAAAAATACAACTTTTTCCATTTTTACTCTGTAACGGTACAATATACAGCTATACTTAATACACGAGAACCAAACGTTACCACAAAAAAGTCGTTACTGGTAAAATACTTTCAATCCGTCATTCAGTAACTTTTTACATAAAGCCTTGGGGCAAAAACTTTTGTCCTCTCCATTAAGACAACGGACACCTGATCAAGCAAAGCCAAGTGTTTCTCGAATGTAAAAATAATATTAATAATTTTACACATTCAGTAGACGAGAACTGTCAAAATAGTTAACTTTTTCCACAAAATTCTCGAAACAAGTATTGCACATGTACCAATATGCAAGATGAACGAGTTTTTGAAGGGGTTCGTTTTACGACAATATTCATCGATAGACTCCGGGAGGCACCCCCTCCGACAAAAAGGGAACACTTTTTTGTCTTAACTATAATGAGAGAGGAACGATTTGAGAGACGATTTCATCTGTCTTCCTCCCAGATGCTCGTTAAAAGCCATAATTTACTGACTTCCGTGACCCCTCAGAATGACCAGGCTTGTAACATAAAGAAATTCTGTCTTCCTCCCCCCGAAAAATTGGCCGCTGCATCCGCCGTTGATAGCATTCGGGTTTGTTAAAAAAAATTAAGATATCATCCTTTGTAATTACCTCTTGGGTATATGATAATATTTAAACTTTAACATTAGGCCTATAAATATTAAATTACACTTTAAACTCCTGCATAAATACAAACAGTCTGAAAAGTCAAGTAGAAATACAAATGACAGTTTTATATCTAAACGATACACGGTTAATATTTTTTGTTCTGGTCACCATTTCACCAAAATATTAGGCTATAACCAGTTTTAGTGTTTGCTTTTTCGAAGGTCAGTGGATTAAAGTCTATATCTGGAAGTTATTAGCCATAATATTTGTTTTTGCTTTTTGGTCGAGCAATACTCTTCAAATCAATTCATAGGAACAGACAAGAAAAAAAGGAACGTCTGGTATCCTCTACACATGTATTGTATTCTTTCTGCACAGTAACCATAACCCTTTACATAGGGAGTTGTCTGCGATTCGTGGAACAAGTCCATTATTTTTTCTGTGCAGATCCTATCCTGCCAATTTCACTTTTCCTTGAGGCTGTTTTGTCATGAATCCTGGAATAAACTCAAATGGTCCAATTTTGCAATAGCGGCCAGTGCAAGGTCCAAGCCACTCGACCCAAAACCAGTCCGGCGCTTCACATGATCCCCGCTAATGTGTAAGTTTCTAATCGATCAACTTCAAAATGTTATGTGGGCAAGTATGGGCGGTAGCTGTCTGCCAACACCTGCCTATTAGGAAGGGTTAAGGAAAGTGGTTGCAATAGGCTGGTAAACATATGTACATGTACACTGTACATGTACATGTACTTCACATCACAGCGTAGAGGAAAGAACACAGACTGACGTAGGCGTGCTGCAAGTTCGCGGGAAGCTTGTATAGTTGTCCCGTAGGCTGGTTCGTGGAAGGGAGTGCAGGTGGTTTGGACCTGGCCCTAAACCAATGCATGAGTTTGGCTTGATTATCGTGGTTTGTGTGAAAGCAATTTTAGACAAATGAGAAAAACAGTTGATAAGGGACGCTCTCAGTAATATCTGTTCAAGGCTCATTAATTATTACCCATAAATTAGATCAACACCCATTATTTTTGTGTCCACCTCCTGACTTGCAATGAAGTCCGACCCCCCTCGAAAAAACAAAACTCTCAGCCAGAAGCACTTCTAAAGGTTGGAAGACTCCGTTCACTACCCCCAAAGGCAAATTAAAGGGCAAAATAATTGCCATTTGACATATCAGGTGGTGCACCAGGTAGTTGAGACCCCCCATGTCCATGGTAAGTCAAGCACACACGGCTGCAGTGTTTGAGATCTATAGGCCTAATACCAATGTTTGTCCTTTTCCCCTTCTGCCAGTGCCGTGTAAGCCTTGGATCCACCAATATGCAGATGAAACCTGTCACATTCTGTACTTCTTTTTTGTGTATGGTGTTTAACAATCATATATTTAACAATGCTCTGAACTTGAGTAAACACAACGGCCTGAATAGTCTGATACAAATTACTGTACAAAATGACACATTAAAAATAATTACACAAGACTTTTTGTGTACATGCGTAACCATTATGTTGTTTATACTAAAAATAAAACTGTTAGCTTTTGCTTTTTACTTGATTAAAGTCTCTATGGACGTTGTGTAGTATACATGGCGTCGCTATTGGTCGAGCAACATTAGTCAATGAAATAAATACATGTATAGCGACAAATAACAGTGCCTGATTTTGTCCCCTTTCTGTAACAGTGTAACTCACAATATCAACTACATTGTTACATGTATGGTTACAGTCCTTGAGAACTGTTACGAAATGTTCGTCCTTCCATTAATGTCATTATACCTCGCCACGACACGTACATGTATACCTTGTTACCGTTCTTGGGGTCAACGAGTAAGGACGTCCACATTGCCGATGGCATGTTAAATTCAGACATGTTTGTAAATGCAAGGTCTGGCATCTTATAACAAAGAAAATGGCGACGGCCTAAATCAAGTAGCCTTTTTCAAACCTGCACAAGGGCGCCTCCTTGCACTTGAGGATTTCCCCAACCGTTCAGCTGAAGCTAAGACATTTAGTGCCTTTTCATTTCCCTTTTTCCAATTTTTCAGTTTTCGTAAGCAATATTTCCAGCGACTTCAGTGGGTTGCATGAGATCTGACCCTGGATATTCACCAGTTTGTAACGCCGCTGTGAAGGATGATTTGGGGAAAAAATGATGTAATCAACGCTGTCCAAATAATCGACAATCACACAGCAAGGTGAGGCTTTATAATATACGAATGCACATCAAACATCAGTCAAGAGTTGCAGAAAACTGAGTTCAAATTGTCAGAACAAAGAAATCCGACAAACGTTCTCTCCTTTAATCCATGGGACTGAACAACGGGGATCCCTGGGTTGATCAGCTATGAGTAGAAAAAACAGTGGCTTGGCCAGGCACTTCGGGGGGGGGGGTTCTACGAGGGAAAGTTGCTACGGCGGAAAGTTGCCTCCTCCTATTGCCCCTGGTTACGCCACAGGGGAGCAGCGCTTTAACGCGTCATTAAAAGAGAGCCAAAAGTTAGGAAAAGGCAATTCAAATGAGGCAGAGAACGACATAAACAGAGTAAGGCAATTTGAAGCAAAACAGTGCCCATCGGAAGAAGTTAGAGGTTGAATTATCGGCCCGACTGGGCTTTCATCGGAGTTTGGTTCAGGTCTGGCGATATTAATGCAGCGAATTCCACATTCAAACCCACGGGCATGAGTGTCCTGAGTATGTAGATGTTGCGCCGGTGAATATTGCTTTATTTCACATTACCCCCTTTCTCATCATCGGTACTACGAGGTCTTGTATGTATCGTGTAGATTAATGTGTCATATACTGTTGGAAGAATGATCTGAAACAAAAAAGACAAGAAATACCAAATAGAGAAGCTTAGTTGACAGACACCGGTTCGTACACGTCATCGCTGGTGTCATTAGTGGGCTGCCGCTGGTAGCTTTGTAGTGAGATTTGCACGCCTGTATTCTCGTACACGAATCCTGGGGTCTCTTTTATCTCACCCCCTTTGCTAGGTCTCGACATTGGGGTCATATATTCCTCACCATCGACTTTTGAAACGTAGCCTCCCTCCGAGTGTGTGGCTCTCTGCCTGCGGAAATTAACCGTCGGCTGGGCCTGTCCTGAAAAAGATGGATTCCGTATTTGTCTGTTCACGTGACGACAACAGCGGCGAATGGCCAAGGCAACTAGGCCTGCAGAGAGTGTGACAACGATGGTAATAAACACGGTGGGGAGAACGACAGGAGCCAAAGAAATGGAGGTGGGTTTATTCGTCACTGTAGGTAGGTCTGTTGATTTAAAGACTTCCGTAACAGTAATATTGATCAAAGATTTGTCTATTTCACCCAGAGCATTTTGGACCAAACACGTGTACAACCCTTGATCAGATATCTTCACGGAAATGACAAACAAAGTCATGTCTTTAGAAATGAGGAATTTGCCCTGCCCTCCATCTGATATCACCGTGCCAGCGGGGTCAAGCCATGTTATGTTTGGGGCAGGAATTCCGGTCGCAGTGCATGACAGAGTCGCTGTCTGACCAACTGTCACTGTAAGATGGTTTCCGTTAGACATGGCCTTGGGAGGATCGCAAGAGAAGTCATGTGTTTTCAAGTCGGTAACCACTGCTCCAGAGTACCGCGGTGGACTTTGACATCGAGGAAGAACAGACGAAGGATGGTCGAGAAGCCAGTCACGTAGACCCGTCAACCGGCAGTCACACTGAAGAGGGTTGCCTTGAAGCTCAAGTCTGGATAGCGCTCTGTTTCTGTCAGAAAGAGAGTCACCAGGAACCACTTCGATCTGATTAAACCTCAGGTCCAGCATCAGCAAGTTGTCACAATGACCAAGTATGTATGTAATGTCATTGACTGAATTTTGAGCTAGTAGGACGCTCTGTAAGTTTCCCAGACGGTTGCAGTTCGTAATATCAAAGACGATTATTTCATTTTGAGAGAGGTCTATGGTGATGAGTTCAGGAGTTAGTCGACCAAACATGTCCGCGTGGACGTAAAGGAGTCGATTCCCGGCAACACTCAGACGCTCAAGAGAGTCCAGACCGGTGAAGTAATTGGGGCGTAAGACGGAGAGTTGGTTGTTTTTGATGGAGAGCTCTTTTAGTTCAGCTTGGCTGAGAAATGTTCCGTCTTGCAATGACGCCAGGTCGTTGTCATCGAGGTACAGAGACTGTAGCAAGATGAGTTGCCTCAGAGCGGATGAAGAGATGAACGAGAGTCTATTGTTTGCCAGATGGAGCTCCGTCAGACTTGAGAATCCTTGCAGGGTTGTAGAAGACAGGTTGGTCAGCATGTTGTCATCTGCGTATAGGATCTGCAGACCTTCTGCCCAGTCTGGTTGCCTCAGGGAATGAAACGAGTTGTTCCTTATGTCCAGTTTATTCATGAACCTACCTCTGCTTCTAGATAAATTAAATGAATGTCTGAAGTCGGTTAATCCGTTACTTGCCATGTTTAGCTCAAGCGGAATGGACAGGGACAGGGTGTTCAGTTCATTGTGGCTGAGGGAAACTACGTTAACACTGTCATTTTGAACTTCAAAATGGTGAATTTGGTTTTGGTCCAAGTAGAGTGTTTGGATATCAGTTTGTATTTTCAGTGTGAAAGATTGTATTTGGTTGAACTGCAAGCTGATAACAGACGGTAAATCTGGGAGCAGGTAAATACCCATTATCAAGTTAAAATTTGCCGAAAAGTACTGCAACATTGGGCATCTGGGAATGTAAATATTGTCTACTAAAAAGTTATAATCAACCGACATATTAACGAGAGAACTGAGGGTACACGTGGAATGCATCCCAGAAATAGCGTTGTGTTTGATCGACAGTTTCTCCAGTCTTCCCATCTCCGATGACGTCATGAATGACGTCACATCAGTTATGTTGTTGTGGTCAAGGTACAGCTCCACCAACCTTGTGAAGGTTCCATTGAAGTCGGCTGGTTCGAGCACTGTAATGTCGTTATGGCTGAGATCCATGACGAGAGCGTCTGGGTAGTTGACGGGGATGCAGTCTAGGTGACGGAAGGAGCAGTCAACCCTTCCAGTCACGTGGTCGTAATCGCACTGCGCATGACAGGTGGATGACTGACATGATCTGATGAGACCACCAATTTGGAGCAAAACCAAAGCAACTGAAAACGATTCCATGCTCATCTAAAAATTGAGAACATTGAAAACAAATGTCAACGCCTGCTGTGTCGTAGAGTAAAGTCGCTACAATACAAGCAAACAGACAAACACTTCAAAAAATGAAATTTAACCTCTCAACTGCGAAAAACATTTCCTGTGCTTTGAGTGCATTAGCCTTGCTGCTCTATCGAAAGGCCTGAAGATCTTTCTTTTGTTACTGGCCGCAGATGTTAATGGAATGAGTATCGTGATGCATTCAGCATTGCAGTTGGCAGTTACCCACATTGCCCATAGGGGTACGCTGAAGGCAATTTTGTCCTTCATTCTAAAACACTTCAACTTCACCGGCCACTATTGGTATGTTATGTGTGTAGTTTGAGATGCGTTAGTTCTGACCAACACATCTTGACATACTTGAGTGCAATGAAAACATTCAGTGAGTTGGATTGGTTAAAACGATAAAAAAACAGCTCTTTTCCGTGAAACACGACACATTCCGTTTGTGATTGGCAAGCTGCTGGCAAATTGCGTAATTATTCAGCAGTTTCGGCATGTGGTCCGAACCAACTACCCGAACCCTGCATGCCCTTGGTGGTCGAGTGACAAGAGTTTGCAACCAGGATGTCATGGATGTAGATACTCGGGTAAAAGAAATTTTATCTTGTCAGCATAACAAGCTTTTGCTTTGAGGGTGATGTGCAGCGTTATTACATGGTATGGGAGATCATCTCCGATTTCCTTGGAATTCAGTGCTTTCATCCCCCCCACACCTTCCACACCAACCTGACGATCTAAGATCTTTTCGATTCCTTTAATCCAAGTCCTTTTTTTCCTGTTTCTGCCTAAACTGATTTCAGTTCGAAAGGCTGGCCTAATAACTGGGAATATCGTCTCTACTGATCTCCGCTCAGTTTCCTGGATAGGAGAATTATTTCAGCTCACTTCCCCTTTGCTCCCCAATTAATGACAAGGTCTCAATAAAATGGTCCCCTTTAAACGTGCTTCGTGATTTTCCTTTCGTACACGTATACACGAAGGCACAAAGTAGACCCTTCAGAAATATCGTAGGATAGTGTTTCACGTAGCAACAACGATAAGAGCTTCGATTCAATTTATATTCATAAGGAATATTGCTGCAAGTTAAGCACCACTCGATGCTCTCGATAAAGTGTGATCAACAACCGTTTTTCAAATTCTTGTCAAGCTTTAATAACAGAAAAGAGTTGTGATTGATGCACTGTACTTTTAAGGTAAATAAAGCCACCGATTTTGAAGAATGCAAAAGGAGTGTAAGTTGCAACGATTTATCATTCAGACAAAAAGTAGGAACTCCTTTTTGCAACTGCCCAAAAACATGTATACCTAGTATGTAAATTGTTTATGTCACAAGATTCAGACGTGGCTTTTTGTGCAACGTAACCTTGATCGTAAAGACGTTTTGCAGCGCCATTTAAGAAGGTTGTGAAATGACATATATACATTCAGGGATGAGATTTATCAGCTTTTTAGCTGATTTCAGCTTTTTTGTTTTGGTTTTCAGCTTTTTTCCTCACTGGCTGTGTACAAAGGTATATGAAATTTTCACAGTTCACCTTCTTTATGCCTTTTTTCAGCTGTTTTCTGCTATTTTATCATTGGTCAATCTCATCCGCGATACATTGCATTTATAATTTCTTTTCTGTCCAAGTTTCCTGAGCTTCAAATACTACTAAGTTTCAAAATACAAACCAAAGGCATTGATTAATTTGTTAAATAACGATTTTTTTTTCAGAACAACAATGCTAGCCTCATGTTATAGGGTGATTCGAGACGGATTACAGAAATTCCAATATGACTACAATAGTTTTGCTCTAAAGAAAAAAATAGGCTTTGAATGTTTTCCCAATCAGCTACATGTATTCAGTATGCATTGTAGGCACTTGAGAATTTCCCTTTTGACACTAGACAATGTGAGAGGGTTATGCATATCTAAAAGTGTACCACACATTCCCAATATAATTTTCAAAGGTACTTGTACTAGTTTATGGCTCTCCTTTTTCAATATTCTTTCGGTTTATTAAAATCATGTTTTCTCTGCAGTTTTGAAAGCCTCATGGACAATTCGCATTGCATTTTTAACGGTCTTCTGTAAATGCTTTCATTTGTAAAATCTTACTTACGCGGTGTCCTAGAATACCTTCAATAAACGATCTGAGATGTCTGGGAACAGGAGAGTCACACAGCATGCAATGGATGATCGCTGTAATACGTCGAGGCTGAATGAAGACGGAAGTCAAAATGATAAATGGTGAAATGGTTTGCTATTGCTCACCCTGATGAAAGTGTTTGTTTTATGATGAAATCTTTTCTGGGGGGGTGGGGGGTGGGTGGGTACTGTGCCGACCATTATGGTCAAAGTTATAGGGCCGGAGCGTTCGGCATTGTCAGTGTATAGACTTGAGATCAAGTCCCTTACATTTGTTGTTTCTCAGGACGAATTGTTTATACAGACTTGATGTTCCAGTTACAAGTGTGACGTCATGTCAGTTTAAACCACGCCCACTGCACACATACATGCTTTGATCAGAGAAACATGGAAGGGCTGCGTAGCACCGTGATCAGATTATCGACAAGAATATATCAAATCAGTGCTCTGAAATATGTGATTGCCGAGCTTTCGGTAACTGAGTACCATATTTGATTGCCGAGATCACTTCTGCTTGCCCTGAAGAAGGAACTCAGTTACCGAATGAATTCCTTCGTGGTTCAATATGTGCATGGCATGCCTTTTGGGGAGCTTTCTTCACAAAACAAGAAATGGCAGACGGAGGTTGAATAAAAGAACGCATTTATAGGGAAAATGGCAATAGGAAAAAAGAACATGAATATTTATATATATAAATACGTTTGCCAAAATGTTCGCTATTACTATTTGACCTAAATACATGTATACGTTTTATTCAGTCTTCTGCCTCCATTTTATGTTAGGAAATACCGGCCCCCGCAAATGACATGCTGTTCATATCATTCTGGAACTATGAAGGAATTCGGACGTGTAGGTAGGCTAGGTGATGTCCAGACGTTGTCAGGGACTTGCCCATATCGATGCGCATGCAGTTAAAAATACCAAGGAGAAGATATCAGGGAGACCATGAATGTTGACGATCATTATCTGCCTCGAGCAGAAGCGCACTCTCTTCGGTTGAAAAGAGCCACGTTGGTCGAGAGCGTTCATTTTGCTGGTAGCTATGCCACCGCGACGCGTGCCTCTCCTTTGTCGTTCGTGAACCAGCGAAGTTCAGTTCCGACCAAAGGAGCTTCCGTCGCTAAGAGGCCTATGTATGATTTATCTTTCAAATTTTTGCTACGTGGTGCACAATTGTAGCGTTTTGAAAAATTCATTCTTAACACAGCACCATTCTGTGCATTGAATTGTTAATGTTTTGTTTTGCTCTTTAAAATGCAGAATGAAAAGCAGTGTCATTGAAATGGCCGAGTGGTTAAGCTCGCAGGTCTGAAATGGTAGGCAGTGGGTTCGAGTCCCAGAGGTGGGTTTTTTTTCTTTTGTTTTCCCAACGCTCGCTGTCAGTCAGTACCTATAAGAGACTCTAATTTACCCCGTCAAATACCAACAGTACCTTAGCCAACCGGGTTAAGCTCTNTCCTTTTTAGGGTTAAATGGATGGGCAGGGAAGGAAGTGTGGTGGGCCGGGAACCCCGAGACCCCAGAAGAGTCCTATATGGAAGCCGGTAACTGCGATTCATTGCGAATTTCAGGAGTCCGTGCACCTGAATGCTTGGTCAACACCACATAACTTTTGGGTTTTCATTTTTGATGGGCGCAAAAGCAAGGCAAATAATTTTTTTCCCTTTAACAGTGAGTTGAAGGAAGGCATGATTATTAGATATTTATTTGTTTCTTATTTCCATTTGTAATCTTAATTTGCTCAATTTTCGACATGAATAAAACTTTTTTTTCCAAACATAGGGTCCTTTTTTCTGAGCATAGCATGAGAAGTGGCGTATTTAGTGAATATTTCATATTGTTTCACAACAAACAATCCGGAATGGAGCCTCCTTGTTTTATTAAGGGAAATACAGTGTCGTATTTTCCAATTATATTTAGTATTCTATACGTAAAACAGCATTATTCAACAAAAGAAACACCGTCTGAAGAGTGGCCGTAAAACTTCCCAAATCATTAAATCATTAAACAAGCCCCAAGATTAGTTATTGGGGTTTATAAACCCTGCCGGTATAATTTTTATAGAGGAATAACTCATGCAAACATAATTGTGACCGAAAGCCGTACAATAAAGCCAATAAAGCCATTTAGAGCCACGAATGAAAACCCTTCACTTGTAGGGCTTCCAATTAGCAACAAGGAATAAGGGCTTCCATGGAAAGCAAGGAATTGGGCGTCTGTTCATGGCGAAGAATTAATTAAACTGTAACTGTTGTTTCAAAATGTAGTTCCAATTTTGTTTTAAAACATGGTTTGGATGCGTTGCTTTCTGTCCTCCAAAAACTGCCAAACAATAACACCATAGAACACACGGTGCCCTCAGACGATATATTTTTGTTGTAAGATACAAAGATGGCTTTCAGGGTGTTTGAGCTTAGAAGTTGAAGTACCGGTACCACGGAAAAAGAGGGCGTGCAGTTTGTAGGTACAATCACCACCATGTCATGCTGGGTTCCCTCCCCGGTCCCGGTCAATTTTGGCTGTCATTGCGCGGTCTCACGGTGCTCCCGCTGGAGATAACAGCGTTGCCGGGGGGCCTTTAAGGGTATGCTTATTGTAACATGTCCCAACCATTTTGGCCGGGAACTGTAGTCCTTATATACGAGCTAGAATGTTTTTTTAATCATGTCCCACACAGCGTCGGAGGAATATTTCAAGATTAACAATTTATGTTAATCATTTAGTTACGTTCATGAGCGCTCATACGTTTTGATTCTTCTGATGTAGGTACATGTACAGTTGTACAACCATAGAGCAAGCCAGTGAGGAGTCTGGATTCCACGTAAGTTAGTTAATGCAGAGTTTTCATTTCCCCCCATCTCTAAAGTAATGTAGCAAAACAACTCATCGCCTTTATTCTTGACTAAAAATGGAAAAACTAACCCCCCAAAAACAAACTTTCGCCAGAAAGCACTAATTAAGAGCTGTTGCTATAAAATGTTTATGAGGAAAGAAGTGTGATTATCTCTACAGTGGTCTGCCAGCAGCGGCCTGTGGGTTACATTTGGCCACTCATACCTCAGTGATATCAAGCAATCACATTGCTCCCAAAGGAGGATCTTGGAGGGGGCAACATTACCATGGTCCCACCGTCCCACAAAAAGGAGCCAATTCTTTCAAATAATCAGAGAAAGGTGACTTAGGAGTGTATTTTCCTTCCTTCCAAATGCGTGTAAAAAACCCCCAAAATGAAGCCTCACTCGTTAGAAAGGCCACAAAGGTTACCGGAAAAAAATTGTTTATTTTTGCCCTCCACCAAAAAAATCCCTGAATCCGCCCTGCCCCCCGGAAATTTGGTTCTAGATCCGCCCTTGATTACTTCATCCAATACTATAAGTGGGATGATGGCTGCAAAGAAAATCACGAAAACCCATTTACGCCAGATATTTTTATTTGACAATCATACTGATGCACAAGGTGGTACATTGTGTGATATGATAAATTCTCGGTTTTGATCCATTGGCGTGAGTACGGGGAGCGAACGGCTAGGCAATAGCCCCCCCCCGGTTCCCCCTGTGACCCCATTTAAAATGTTTGAATGAAGGTATCTTATATGCAACCCGTATTTATTTGTGACACCTTGAAAATACGTTCACCTCAGATGTCGCCTCCCCCTCAGAAATTTGACTCTAGTTAATACTTCACTTGATGTAAGTTCACTGCAGCGGAAAATCAGTGACAAATTCGATCAGTCAAAACTATTAGACAATAAGAGATCCAGTTGGTCCAGCCAACCCCTTTCGCGTATCTCTACCGCTGCGAGACAACTTCAAAATCAAACTGAACATTTAGACTGACAGCCCGTAAATCACGCAGCCTCATCTTGCGGTCTTGTTTCATTTTCTTAGTACCAAGTACTCCCGTGGTACGCACCTTTTGCCCTTGGTCGGAAGCGCCATTATGTTTTTTTTCCTGCGGAGGATGGATTTCTTGGATATGCCTAACCACCACGGAAGTAAGTTAACATGAAACCTAGTCTTTCCCAGCAATGGCCCTCAAATCTTTTCCCTTTCTGTGTATAGCGCCCTCTGTCAGCAGTCTATTTGTACCACGTACAAACTTTTTCTGGTGTTACAAGCAAGGTATTGAAGTTAAAATGGCCAGGATAATATACATTTCTTATATAAAAGTGCCGTGAAAGCCACTCAGTCTGTTTACTCGAAGATTTCACTCAACGTTTATTTTCATATTGCTTTTCATAAATTTTGTTGAATTATACAGAATGTCGATAAGTAAAATGATTGTTGACAAAATACAAGTAGTAAGACCAAGATGGGGTGGGGGCGATCGAAGGATACCGAGGGCAGAGCTAGAGTCTTATACAGAAATGTCTTATCAAGACGATAACTGGGCAAACGAAATTGACATCAAATCATTCAGGAAAAACAAAAGCGGAATAATAGATGCAAAGTAAACAAAACCAAAAACGACCGAGCGGACTGAGATGTACTGAAAACTGGAAACGAGAACATTAATTTTGAAGTATTCAGGAACAAAAGGATGAAACAATTTGAATGATAAAAGAGAAGGGGCTACCTCAGATAAATGGAGACAAGATTTTTTGTAGGTTTTCATGAAAACACACTTAATACGTGGGACCAACAGAGTAAATCCTTACTTTCTTGGACTCTTCCACATGTGCTAGTTGATTGGGGGTGGGGTTGTGGAACTGAGGAGCAGGTCTGGAGGCTTTGATTGTGGGTGGGGCAAGGTTTCGAACCCAAGATTTCTTTCTGTGGTCCCTCCGCGCAGTAACATGACTTAAGAAAAGGCCACCGTATTGTTACGGTAGCATCAGAGGTTACAGAAAAATCACCCTATATTCATTTCATTATTCCCACTCATCCAAGCAGTGACCGATTCAAGCTTAAGGCCTCGTGAGAATGACCACTTCCGATCTACTTGTAAGATTCGGACTTTGAATAGTTCACCCATCAAAAAAAGTAATTGAGACTTCATCAAGGCCACGCGGGGTGGTCTGTCCAGACAACTCCTAATCCAGACAGGCTCGAGGGTAAATTTGAAGCCGATCTTAATAGCGAGGATAACTTGGTCAAATATTACGAACAATAGCCAGCGTATAAGCAGATTGTGGGAGTTTTATCAGGGGATCCCAGGGTAAAGTCCAGTGGATCGGAGTGTAGAGATTCCAACCTCCATAATGCGATTAACCAAACACAGTGGTTGATACATTGCTGTGTGGATATTTATGGCACGACATGCAGTTGTTTCGACGATTGTTTTTTCTTTCTGTCACATTCGTCGTCACAAGACCCATTGATTTCACTAGCTGATCAGCATCAGCCTTTAGTCATTATTGTCATCTTCTTGCCATCTCTAATGTCGTCGTCGTTGAATTCTTCGTCATCACCATAATCAAGCCCCCTCCTTTTGAAGCCACTCAGCTACATACGTAGTGTCCCCACACAACTCAATAGCCTTCCTGTGTCGACAGATGAAATAGAAGTGACGAATATGATTCTCCATACAGCAGTGCGAAATATACATGTACATGTACATACGTTTAAGCAACATCATACTGTGATCACACACAGCTCCGCTTACGAGCCGCAACCGGATAAATCCCTACACCCCCGCGTCAACCCATCCATCTACTTATAGACCGTCGACCGAGTGGAGGTGCATGTATTGTCTAGACCGTGGCGCGAGCCAGAAATAGCTTGACATCTTCGTCATACATCACCGAAACATAGCGTGTGTTACGTCTCACAACAAAACTGTTTTGGTACACTTTTTGTATAAATTATGACTGAGTCCATGGGCCAATCCGGACGTCCGTCGAAGTCAGCCGAGCACGCGCCGCGCCAGGCTACTGCCGTCGGTGATTTGTAGCTCTGTTGTTACCCCTATATAAGGCGGGGTATGGCGAATGTTCACAAACAGAAGTGAGTGAACCAAGTAAATGTGAGGTACACTTCTGGAAAATGAGAATGTGTAGTGAATCGTTGGACGGCGTGTAGTGCATACATAGTATAGCAGTAGTGTCAAGTACGCGTGTCGGTGCGTGTATGGACACGGATCAAGGTCTTTGTTCGGTGTAACATCAAATACCGGAAAATCTGTGGTCTCTTCGGCTGGTTGGTTTTCCTTCAGATAACACACACTCATGAGTGGAACTGGTTGCGCCATTTGGTTACCCACAGAGAAGCGAGCTGTCGGAGATAATGTAACAGTACGGTCACGGACAAGCCGGCAGAAGATGAGCACTTTGTTCCCCCGGATGACCTCGTTGCATCTCGGCTTCATCTGCCTGGCGCTGTGCTCGCTGCTTCAGGCGGTAACCGGCGGGTCGGGCCAGTGCAAGCTCAACTTCCAGGAGTACCAGAACCGACGGCGCTCGGCCATCCAGGCCCAGATCTTGAGCAAGCTGGGCCTGACGGCGCCTCCCACGGACATCGGCCCCGATGAGGTGCCCGAGGACGTGCTAGCCATATACAATGAGACGGTACGGATTCTGGACGAACGACGAGAGATGATGGAGTCCGTCTGTCAGCAAGCTCAGACAGAAGAGTATTTCGCCAAGGTGCCCAAAGTTTACCAGGTTGACAAGAAGGGTAAGACCACCACTTGGCGTTGCCATTCAGCTGCGTTGCTTTAAGTTTAATCTTTGTTGATAATTGTTAGCATCAAGTTCATTTTTCTGCCCCTTGAAATTCAACCCAGTAAAGTTTGCGTTATCAGGAATGTAGCCAGTGTTTAGACAGATACAAATTACAATCAAATGTACGAGCATCATCTCTCTGTAATCCATTTAGAGTAAAACTGCCCAGTAGACTTGCAAGCTTGGTTAAGCAATTCAAAAGCAGTAATATTTCCTATATAGAAACGGCATCACCGTTACCTTTTGGTTGATTTGTCTCGGCCAAGAATATTGTCATCCCAAAACAGAGGAATTGGAGTTGAAAATCCCAATCTGTACAGAGATATTACCTCATGACAATATACGAAGTTCTTTGTAAAATATACAGGTTAAAAATCAAAGTTTTGTTTTAACGGTGGTTTTGACCGGATGCGTGTGACCCCCCCCCCAAAAAAAACCCAGACAAATCGAGATGGATTACTTGGCACGTATACCACCTTTCTACATGCACAATTCTCTCGTTTGGGGGTGTATTGTAGGTACTGTTTTACATTTGGCAGACCACTTCGGTACATCACGCCAACCAACAGTGCCGTCTGGCTTTGTTTACAGCTAATCGAATGTGGTGTTTATAACGCGAACTTATAAAGTTCACTCTAGCGAAGCTGCTGTCCAGTTGGTCGTTGTATGTTGAAACTCAATCCGGATGACTCAAGCGGACCAACTGAAAACAAAAATAAACACTGGCTTCGTCTCTTGCGTTAAATGACAGGACGAGGTACACCGTGGTCTTCCTAACAACAGTAGCAGCATCCGGAGATGAAAATACTGGAAACGCGTTCCGGTCATATCCATGCTTGCTTCCTCCCTTACATTGCATAAAGTGTGCACGTGTTGAAGTTTACTCTGAAGTTGATAAGGTTTCTATAGAAGCAGGCGCAGCTAACTGAAACATCCCCCCCCCCTGAAAGTCTGTAATACCTTAGACCTGGCGTTTTGGGGGCTTAACTCTGGAACTTTTTAATTTAATCCCATCTTTCAAATACCTTCAAATCTATATCATGGCGTGGCTGTATTTCCCAACGAAAACATTAGACTCGACCTAACATGTAGGAATTACACAAATTTTATTCCGCCCATTAGTTATCGTGAAGTTGGAGACAGCGCTGTCGAGGGGCTTTGTATAAAGGCATTTTGCATTTTGAACAGTGAGTGGGTAACCTTCGCATTTAGAGAAATCCCCAAAGTAAACGAGCTTCACAAAGGGACCGCCAGAGGGGTTCTCTGGGCTTATAAAAGGGCAAGCATGAACGAAGCCGCTCCTGTACTACACATCGATAGTGCGAAGATAGTACAAAAACCTGTTTAGTGACGGCCTGTTGGCAGCGAGTAATGTCGCTAAAAAACCTGATACTTCGCCACTCCTTTGAGCGAATAAAAATTAGACCATGTTGCCGCGAGCGTGTCTTGTCGCTGCTTCTTGGAGACAGAATAAGAGAACCCCGGCCCAAATGACGTTGTCAATTCGAATAAAGACCAAGGAGAAACACACCGGACATCTGACAATGAAACGCGTCAAGAATCAGAGACTAAAGGGTTAATGAGAAGGTCACTGATTGGCTGTAAGTTGTCCGGCTGTGGCGTTGTAGGCTTTGTTCCTGACGTCGCCCTCGGGCGTCTCAGAAGGAGCTCCCTGGTAATTGGTTAATGAGTCAGAGATTGGTCGAGGGATCACGTTCTCAGGATATTTGTTTCGACTCTCGCTTGTTTCCTTTATAAAATTGCGCGGTTTTTATATCGCAATCGGAAAAATTGTGTTATCACTGGGTCCAACTGAATTAGCTACATTTGCAGAATGAAACCCATGCGAAAAACCAAGAAGCCCATATGAGGATAGCTTCGAGCTAGGTTCACAGAGTGTAGAGCAAAATGAACAGCCAGCAGAGGTCACTGTATATGTACCATGCTTATTTTTGTACTGCAACGGGAATATCAAACTATTCAGCCCCTGAAAGTTCGAACAAAAACTCTCAATTAAACAGGGAAAAAAGGAAGTATCAGTGTAGGATTCGACCAAACCGAGACAATCCCCTCTATTGGATGTGTACAGAAAAGCATAGTATTTATAGGCAAGCCTAGCCGTGGTGTTTTATTGACCCAAGTTTTGACTCGTTTGCCACATGCTTAAATTTTAGACAAACCAACAGTTGCTTTTACTGTCGTAACTGTACAAGCCTATCGCAAGGGCGATCATAATTTACAAGTAGAATGATCAATGGCTACAACTGGTCGTGGCAGGCAAGTGACCTTTGCCTTATTGAAGCCTAAGGGGAGAGTTATGGGTTTGGCTTTCCTGTTATGGCCTCAACCTAAGGTTTCTTTTGGAAGGAATCGTGATGCTATCAAACTTCTTAGTTGACTTTGTAAAGTGGCCTGTGCTTTGTCGTCTGGACACAAGCGACAATGTGGAACAACAAAACCGCATTTTTGTAGGTTTTTTAATTGGATTTTGGTTGGGATATTTGGCAAACTGTTCAATATTGTGTACATTGTGGGAAAAGACCATACATATTCACTTTGTATACGGCGGCCGAGGTGGTCTGTGAGGCTGGATGTACTGTTTGTGGCTACTCGTCTACGATCGACTGCTCTTGCTTCCTAAATGCTTACGAGTAGAAAACCGAATAGACTCCAGTTTGACTTGCACGAGGGACGGGATGCCCGTTATCAGATGGCTCAGATCGTAAGAAAGGTCATCAAAGAATGCAGTCGACTAGTGCATCGGAGTGACAGGCATTGAGGCTTGCTGAAAAACCCTCTAACCCTAAAGTAATAACTGTGACTAACATAAACAGGGATAATTTCATATAGGCTAGTATTCCAAAATGCATGTACATTTCCCACAATGTTCACAACTGCCCCAAAAATATTGTTTCTCCTGGAAAAAGGTTGTGTGCTTACATCACACCCCCTCCAAAAAAGGAAGCATGCTGCAAGGTATTAATGTTATGATATATGCCCACAAGGTCAATTTGGTCACGTCTCAAGCCTATATTACAGCATCTGCCAACCACGTAGGTTATTGCCTCGCATGTGTTAAAGTCGAACGCGTCGACATTGACGTCTACGAACCCACAACTCGAAGTCGGCTGGGCACGCAGTCTGAAGATGATTGCATCTTCGGCTGTTGGTACGACATATTTGATTGGATATTGAGCGTAGTCTCGGATTTTTAACCTTGGCCCCATTGGTCCTCGCAACTCTGGAAGTCTGGATATGAAATCAGTACCGATCATTAAAAAAAGTTGCCACAAGTTGCCTGACTGACACAAAATCAGTAAACGAGTACCGGTAATGAGTGGAAATCAGGTGCGTGGCCACAGCGTTAGTACATTGTCATTAGCTAGTTATGACTGGAATCTTGCTGGTGATAGCATTTTAATGATCACTACACGGAGTGTCTTCGCATACATAGTGTATTATACTTGTCGCTTCCAATGGTGTGGGATAGGGTGCGCTACAAATATGGGTCAGGGCGTCAAACACCAGACTATTTTGAAAGCAGACTCAGCACCAGTTTCATTGTATGTTGTGCCGTACAGTTGCAATAACTGGGGAATTATTTTTGTATTAGTGGACTTGAGTAGTTATGATATATTAAAGAAACGTACATGAGGCTATACGCCGCCCGTAATCGAAGCCATGACCCCGTTCTCATGGCAAAATTAATTTGAATTTGAAAACAGAAATCTCCAAGAAATAGAGACCTTCAGAAGAGAGCCATCCGGGTGGAACCGTACAATCCACTGATTTGCAATAGCCTACTATGAAAAAAAAATAGCACGGGAAAAATTCAACAAGACATCGGGGATATCTGTTAAGGCTTTGAATGGGGGTGATGCTGGGTAGACTGGTCCCATGTGTACAGTGTCGATGATCCTGTGCACCATAAGCACGAAACATACCAAGAATGAAACTGAAACACGCATGCCTCTAAAGCCTTTGCAATCCATCATGGTGGCATTTATGTTTAGTTCAGAACCTGAGGGGAGGGCCCACCTTAGTGTCTTTGGATGAAGAAGGGACACCCTGCATGTTGATGCAGAAAGAAGCATCTATGGGTGCCTTTGTGACATGAATCGAAGACTTTTGGGGAAAGTTATTTTTGAGGGGGTGAGGGAGAGATCGAGAGCACAGCACTGCCACTGAGAAGATACCGACTGACTGAAGGAGCGCTCCTAAAATAGACTTGGTGGAATGCTGACATTTTCCCTGCACGCAGCCCACGTTAGTTCGCGGGTCTTCTTGGTGAGGCTCCTAGGAAAACTGTGCCTTGAAATTCAACCCCTGAAACGGGGTGACTGCTGTCAAGGGTGACATGATTGTTGTGAAAACTATTTTAGGTAGTAATGGTAAATTTGGTAACTTTTTAACACACCGTATATTGTTCTTTTAAATCCAAATAATTTCCCTTTGTCCGACGGAAAGTACAGAAAAAAACCAAGATTTTTCGATGAAACACATACGGTTTCCACCGGAGTGATTCCTTTTGAAAATCTAACATGAGAATCGGCGATCATTTTGCTCCTTGCTTCAATACAGCTAAAATTTGTTTATTGGAAATGTAGTTGCTATTGTTGGGAAGTTTTCAGAAAGCACCAAAGAAAAGCGACATGTGAATGCACTCTGAAACCAACCACCCCCTATTTTCAAACAATCAAATCAATTCAGAAAAAGAGTTCACTTCTAATAACACTTTATTCATCAAACTCCAAACTTAACCCCTGAATCAACATAATTAAGCCGGTCAGACGCAACAAGAACTAATACGACTTATCCTGTGCAGTTGGGTACAAGGTGAAAACCACATCAGGTAGCAAACCATGCTCATGTAAGCAGGTTCTGGGGTTACGCGTACGGTTTGGTGAGAACTTTTGATACACCTCACGTAGTCAGCAAAAAAACAGCATCAATCTTGGATATCAATCCCAGCTAGAAAGCGGTTGGCAAGTTAGCATGTCTGGTTACCGCGCGCATTTGCCATCGTAGGCGTGACGTCACTGGCTCGTTGCCATGCTGCGCGTTTTGCTGGATATGATTCAAAAGCCGGCCGTTGCCGTGTGCTTTTTGAAAATGAAATAAGAAAAACATTCAGAGAACTCTAACCCAAATACAAAATATGTAAAAAAGTTGGCTTTTTATTGCTTTATGCTTGTAGACCACGGAGGCATTTACAACTACCAAACAATGAAGGAGCAGCAGTCGGAGTTCTTCCGCTTTGACATGAGGTCTTACGTCTCCGAAGTCAACACAGACGAAGTCTACGAGGCCGAGCTGCGACTGTACCAGCTACCTAACGCCATGAAGACTGAGCAGCAGCACATCGATGTGTACCAGCTAATACCGTCCCAAAGCAACGGCAACCCGGGCAGGAAGCACATCTACAGCACAGTGCGAGACACCACAGATGAGGGCTGGATCAAGATAGACGTCACTCAAGCCGTCAGGGACTGGGTCAGCATTCCAGGTGTGTGTGTGTATTGTGTGAATGTGCAGAAATAGTCGGGTTATCACAGATAAATCCCCCCCCATCTTCAAATTAATTTTCAACCAAAGGGGTTAAATTCTATTCGCTCTTTGCACGCTGCCGTCATAGGCAGCTTGTACGATCGCGTCAGAATCGCTTTCCCAATCGTATGATATAAGAACTAACGCAGCACGCGCAAAATTACATAAGCAACATACACATGAATCACTGACTGACCGGCTGGTTATTGTGTAAAGTTGCCAGATCGAGGCTCTGCATGCATGCCTATGGCGGCAGCGTGCAAAGAGCGAATAGGCGGACACCTAAGTTGAAGTTATACCAGCAATTTTGGCACTTTTATCTGGGCTGAAAGTATTCCCCCGGATCACGGTAATTATTGTACTCGGCCAAAGAAGTTTTCCTCTTTACAGTAGCAACATAAAAATTTGAATGGAGATGAATTTTAGCCATAATCTCATCTCAAAGGACATTTTTTTAAAAATTGATCCTGCTACGAAACTTTGAACTACTTCCGAAAAAACAGACGTATAATGTCGTCAGCACATCTTTTAGCAATAGCTTTTACTCAGCCGATTCGTACATTTGGATACTAGCAAGGAGTTAAACGTCAGTATTTTGTGGGGATCATCCATCGTTGTAAATAATGCAGTTTTGGGAGCAGATTTCTATTTTCCCATTCAGCTGTATCTCATCCCATCTTATCTGTGTTTGCTAGAAAACTAAGAATTCGGTTGCTCGGCTCATGTTCCTAAATCATGTTTATTTGTGCTCTATTAATGCCGTGTTGTCTCACACTTATTTTGTTTTGTCCTGTTCGTCATCTGTCGGTCCTGGTAGGTTAGTTTGCTTAGTTTTCTTTGTCTCTCCATAGGTTGGAGTACAAAAGCGGTCTTGCTTAATCTTAATCCTAAATGTTGTCATCTAATTTATTAATGTAAAATGATACATTATGTAATGTTGCTCAAGTTAATGGCCATGTACTCAGTACAAGTTATGTGAATCGTGTTTGCTATATTGTAAAGAACAAATAATAAATAAATATTTCGTTCAATCCCTGATATAAGTCCACTTATCTTTCACATTGCACACAGATTCTAATATTGGCATCGAGGTTACAACCCCGTGCGACGACACAATCCACGTCCTTTTTGCTCGTAAGTACAATGTATCGACCATTTTTATTTTCACTCGTTGAAATTCGTATCTTACGTTCTTTACACACTGTGGAGTAGTTGGGATACACGGAAAAGTGTTGTGCCCTTTAGAGAAGAGACACGACGTGGAATTCGATTCAAGAAGAGTACAGGCGTTGACAATTGCCTAACACCTGATGTAGTGTGGGTTGTACCGAATTCCGAGTTCTTTTGGGGCACAAAAAGAAACCACGTTTGCAATTACAGATTGATACGGTTGCCTTTTCTTCTGAAAAAAATGGCTTATCGTTCAGCAGAATACAAGCCTGTACGAGATCTTTTCATAGTTCTAACGCTAACAAAATATCGTACTTTGATCAGATCCAAAAGGAACTATGCCCAGCGTTAAAATGCCCCAACGAGGCGACCAGCAGATGGCCGATATGTCGCCGCCCGAGCAGCACCCACGCCTGATCGTCCTTGCCCCGGCCAACGACACGATAGGTCCCAACGGTGCCAGTGGCCGCCGAACCCGTCGGAGTACCTCAACATACGGCCAGAACACGTGCTCGGACCAGACGCAGCCTAGCTGCTGCCTACGGCAGTTCTACGTCAACTTTAGGCGCGACCTGGGCTGGGGGTGGATACGGCAACCCCGGGGCTACTACCCGAACTACTGCGCCGGCTCCTGCTCGTACGTGAATGGAAGCGTGTGGAACGCACCGACACATCACGGCTCGGTGCTGGACACGTACCGGCGGCTCAACCCGGACGCCTCCCCTTCGCCTTGCTGCTCGCCTCGGAGTTTTAAGCCCCTACATATATTGTTTTACGACAGGGGTAGACCGATCTTTAGAGAACTCCCAAATGCTATAGTGACGTCGTGTCAGTGCAGCTAGTGTAGTGCAGCCTTTGAAGAGTACTCTGATTAACACGCATTTGGAAAATTTGCACTGAAATGAAAGTATGGCTGAAACTCTGATGGATTTGGAAGATATTCTCTGTCGCTTTCGTTCACATCCGTGGCGCAGACCAAGTCGAAGTGGAGTATCCAGTATGCGGCGATGGAGAAGTCTAACGCCCTGAACCCCTAGCGAAGGAATACTCGGCAAACACCGTTGTATAACGCGCTTGCCGACCAGCGGTCGAGTAGCTAATGAACGGTGTTCTTGTCATCATTTGCACGTCCATACAATAGTATGGCAAAAAAGCATAAAATCTGACCTTAAACTCCAAAAAACACTTGGTCAATGAAAATCGGAGTCTGTGGCTAGACTTAAGTTTGGTAACTTGACTTCCATTTTAAAAAGTGTTTATAAAGTCGTTATGTGCGTTCTAAACACCGTCTCAGGCCTGTTCATAATATTTGTTGCACTTTCAATATCTTCCTATAAAAACGTCTTTGCACAACCCTGGTTGGCCATTTCATTACTATGGCTGACTGTACAGCCTTAACTGGCCTGGGACGACTCGTAGCATTATCACCAAATCGACATTTTCCTTCATGATCTCTGCTGATCCCCAAGATAAGATTTCCCCCGCAAAGAAAGTGAGCATGCACACGATGGGTTTTGTTTACTTCACCTTTTTTTCTCAAATTCAGGTCTTTGTCGCCAACCACCATCACACCCTGAAGTGTGAGCAAGCGTTCACGATATGCGTTGTACCATTTGGTTGTTCGGTGTCACAACCCTTCTTCAGATATAGAATTTAAACTGCTCTTGATATTGCGAAATATTGAGTTTGGCAATATGAGCAGGTACATGTAGTTGACTTTTATATTAATGACACGGATAATGCAGGGTTTGTCTAGCCTTAGATGAGGAAATACTTTGAATGGATGTATATATTGGTGCGATTTAATCGCTGGAAAGAAAGTAGGCGTCAATGTTCGCTCACTTTGTAAAACGGTCATAAACATCTGTCTCGTCCAACATTTACGACATTGGACTCCGTAACCATTGATATACTGCGCGTTCTCAGCACATAGTGCAATGAGAACACACACACGCACCAACGTACGAAGTTTGGATTTTAGAGGGGTGCAGGTTTCAGGACGACACCGGTGGTGAAGATTTCCGCCATTTTGTGTTTGCTGTAACGGCTATTAATTTCCTTTTCGGTGGCCGCTTTGCCGATGGAGTTACGGATGCTGATGTTATCACACAGTGAAGGCACAATGTACATGTATGTAGATAGACCTCTGTGCCATTACAAATGCCTGCAGTTAAAGGTACAAAGTACCCTGAATATTTTTGTAAACTTTAAAGCATCGTAGCCTTTTTGTTGTAATAGCGTAATTTTTTTATTGAATTTTTCAAAGTACTCGGGCTGTTTTACAGTGTTTTATTAAATTATTGGGGGTAGACGGGACACAGTATATTTAAAGCCTTAATTTATGGCTGAATTAAGTTATGATCAAGATACCAAAGAGGGCTGACTACGCGAGAAGTTTGCAAAGACTGGTATGAGTGAAAACACACGAGTGTCACCTTATTTTCGAGGGAAATGCAGGGAACAAAAAGTGCAAAAGTGACGATTTCCTCGCTGGGGGGGATAGGTTCTGTATTTTTTGTTGGTGCTATAAAAGAAAACTGATCTGATAATTCAAACTGATAATTCAAAGGAATTATGCAAATAAATCACGACTTAGCTGCTGTGGCAGCAAGGTAATTACGTGTATGAATAAATTTAGAAAAAAGTGTTGGCAGATGTTTTGAAACTTGGACTGCTTTCTTCCTCTCCAATTAAATACTGCCTGCAGAATGTGGAATTCTGTGTAAAAATTAACCACGAGTAAGTAAAGTCATGAGTACAGAGGCGTCTGGGGTACGTGCGGACATTTTCTTCAAGATCTGTTATCTTGAAACAATAATTTCCGCCAGATTGCACAAACTGTCGCTGACATTTCAACCTGTGTACCTAATAAAGCCTTTTGGGAACCGGACCAAGATGGCCGCAGATTTAGGGCACGTTTTATTTGGACAAATGTGTTGAAAACAAAGTTAACAAATTTCACGTAACATTTATGGCGTTATATGTATATAATTGTATTAGGATTTTTTGTCGTTTGTCTTGCATTCACAACATAAGAGACTGGATTACGCTGCAATTAACGTGAGCTTAATGTTACATTTCTTGTCCGTGTTCCCTTTTTTCCCTCGTACTTCTCCCGTGTCACCTCTGTTTGCATCAAGTGCGAAGGCCGATCAAGTCTTGGCCAGATTTCTTGGCAACATAGCTATTTCTTGGCCGTTAGAAAAACACGGCTGAAATTGATATTGAAATTTATAAAACAAAAATGTTACGTGCATATTAAGTGAACGGTGTGTGGTTGCTTAATACCCATTGAGTTCACGAGACATCTTGAAATGATGTTTAAGGGAGACTTAAAGTGTACTTCTGCCGATATCATGAACAGTCTGTTGCTGTAGACTGCACTTTCTCTGAATGTAACATCTTTTCTAGAGGGATGTTCTTCTCAAATTCCGCAAAGATGCTTGCTTTTCTCCCCCGTTTCTTGAACCCTTCAGGTTATTGCTTCCATTTCTTTCCGCAACCTCGATTTGTCCGCAGACAGACAGAACGTTTAACCCTTTAAAACCAAAGCTGAACAGACCAGGGTCTTCCGATATCCAGTAAGAGTCCGACACGATGTGTAAAGTAACATGAATGACGTCGTGTCTGCGTCAGAGCAGACATCAGGCCGGACAGTAATGAATAATGCAATGTCTGAAGATTCGAGACGACGGTGAAACTGTCGTCTTGATGTGTAAACCTTCGGTTATGCATTGTCGTCACGAACATCAGTTGTGGTCAGAGGTGTTTTACCCAATAAATTATTGGTATATAAGAGCAACTTTCTGCAAATGTTTCGCAACGTCACATTCTTGGATGTTCCGATGTCGTCTGTTTTATTACCGCTATTGTCCATCTGTAGGTATTACTTCTCGTTCTCAAATCGATTTTAAAAGAACCGCATGGTACTGTATCTGTATAGTGTATGGATATGATGACAGTCAAGTTTGACATTGGACATTCCCATAGGTTTGTACAGCGAATGTCCGAATGGCAATTCACGGTACTTGTAAATGTCTAATTTCTAAAACATGAACATTTGCTGCACAAACCTATGGGAATGTCCACTGTGTCGAGAAAAATCCGACATTCGCTGTCCAACCAATGGGAACGTCCAATATCAAACTAACTTAACTGTCATAACATATGGATGTGTGATGAGAAAACAATATTCCTTCAAGGAAAAAACAGCCTGTTACTCGAGTTTGGTAATTTCACAAGACTCATCCATTCAGAATATCTATAAAAAAAAACAAAAAAACAATCGACCGACCGACCAAACACACACTTGCACACCCACCCACACAAACCACAAAGAAACCAATACATGTAACACAACTTGAAAAACTCGCAGTTACCCCCAAAGTATCCACACCCTAGAACACAAACACTCCAAGACAAGGGTTTAAATCGATCTTATTTATTCTCAGATCGTGCCAACATATTTACAATTTAAAAAAGGAATTATTCATAACACGTCAAAAAAGTTATTAAAGTACGACACAGCACATTGCTGGGTTTGCTGACGCTGCTGTTAATTAGATGAGGAACATCCAACAGATACAGAGATGAATGATCCCGTCCAATATAGCTTAGGAGGCAGGGTGCTGCATGGAGGGCTGAAGGGTACGGGCCCACACAGGAGGGGTACCGGGCGTACACTTACTGAGGGACTGAGTGATGTTAATGTTATAATCATGACAAAGTGTTCCCATGCGCATTAGCTTTATCACGAGGGGAAAGGGATCGCAGCCATAGGAAAAGGCTCCCTAATGTACATGTACATCCATGCCCGTCACGGTGTACACCGAGGCCTTGTTATCCCTTGAGAGGACATTTGGTCCTCGATTGCCCAACTTCTCCCCTTCACTTGACAGAAGCGTGCTTACATGTCCATCCGGCAAGCTGTAAACAGCAGGCAGCCGAACACCTAACCCGCTAGAAGCAGTGTACATTATTTTAATACACAGACTTACACAGAATCATGTTGGACCAAGCATAGTTGAATTTAAATATGTGGAAACAAAAAATCTAAAATAATCACCCCAAAGAAGGGTCATACTTTGCAAACTCTTCCCCCTTGGTTTATTTTAATCAATACTACATAAAAGGTGCGTAACAGAAGGCACCAAGAGATCAAGGGGAATTCCTCGGAGTTCATCACTGACAAAGCAATGTGACCGGTGGATGGGGAAGTTACACAAAGTGTTACCTCGTTGAACCATAGAGGAACCGTTGGTGACCGCCCCTGACCCACGGGACACGCAGGGAACTCTAGCTTTCCTTCCTTCATGGTGCAAGCATGCTGCTCTTTTTGTGGATATGAGAACGACAAATGTCCACACACTGTGTATATCATGAAGACGTTGGGTACACAAAGAGTGTTAACAGTGTTGATGAGTATTTTCATCCAGATTTGTTAACTGCACATGTGCATACGAATGTCCACACTAGACGAACAATGTTACGCAACGGGAGAGGGTGGAAACCCAACCTGTTCATGGCACACACACATTGCAATTTTGTCCCTTCCGAGGGGCTCTCCCGACCTCTTCTCTTAATTTTTGAAAAACCCGAACTTCACACAATTTAAGCTAATTGGCTTTTCTCCTCCTAAAAACGCCTGCAAATGAAGAAGTGGACTTCTGGACATGTCTCCCCCCATCATATTTTGGGTGTGGGAACAAAAAGACGGCAAGTGGTGATGGGAAAAGAGTGCAGCATGCCGTATTGCCATATTTTGACAGGCGAGATAAAAGAATTTTTTTTAAATATATTTTCCTCCCAACACTGAAGCTTTATACTCTGCAAGAGCTCCCTGATAATCGATAAACAAAACAGAGATTGGAGGACATTAAAATTGGTTAACAGGCGAGACACAAAGGGCCTGTGCATGTTGCAAGACGCAGTGTCAATTCCTCCAAAGGCGGCCAAAGTCGGAAAATGAAATTTGTGTCATCTTCTGTCATCGTATTCCCTCCCCACTGTCAATTCGTTGCACAAGTCGCCACCAATTCAAAGGCAAAAGTTCACTGGTGTTAGTTCACTAACTAGTGTTGCATGCGGGTTGTACACTGGTAACATACACCCATGTGCTCACTTCCCACTTCCCCAATCCCGAAGGTCCTGGTACGTCCGGTGTGGACATGATATGATATTATCATCTCGCCGGAAGACCTAGCGTATTTGTGCCCGAACTACTACGCCGACAGGAACTACACACAACCCCACCGCTTGGGCAGACATCCTGATGGGTCTATTGTTTCCCGTCGTTGGTCGGCCTCCCCACCCAGTCATTAAGGTTGCCACGGCAACGGGACAACAATAGAGGGGGAAAAAGGCAGCAACAGTATATTTCGTCTGGGCTAAAAAGGGTTCTCACTGAATACGTCGCCATATGAATGCAGTAAACAAGCCTCCAACACGCATGCTAGGATGTGGATATGATAAACTTCAGGCCAATGACCCTTTAATCTACAGAGTTTACCAGAATTGTTCCCAATGAGGGCTACCCTGTAACCATATGAAGGCAAACTACATGTATTTACAATTTAGCACAGAAAAAGAGTCGGGTCTTTAAAAAGACCTTTAATTCAGGTCTGAATTATTGCATATTCTTTGGGTTGAGTAAGGGAGAAAAAGGGTAAATTAAAAGTGAAAAGCAGGTGTTTTGTGTGGAGGTGAGAGGATTTGAGCACAGCACACACGTGTTTGATGGGTTGGTTGATGGAGGTTAAAGGGGAGGAGCAGGTTGGTTGTGTGGGGGAGGGGAATCGATTGGGAAAGGAAAGACTGATGCCATAGCAATGCCTATCCGCTTTACACTGTTTTATATATATCGGAACTTAACACTGAAAGAAATCACAAGTGTAAATGTCCCAAATTGAGAAAGTGACCATCATGATCACATCTTGAAAGTACATGTAGTGTTTATTTTGAGGGGTGTGTCTTAAACTCATCAAGCAACTGCGGTACTCCCTGACTTCTTTCCTTTCCCAATGATTTCCTCCATCAAAGCATTCTGAGGATGGCCTCTACCTAACCTTCTTCCTTTGGCTCAACTTTTGTCCTGTCCCAAGCTAATTCACCTTCTACCTCAACCCAGCAACGGGGAGAGAGCTCCCGTGGGCCTGCTGCTGGGGCCTATTCATACATCACTACCTCAACGCCCCCCTCCCCAAACTACCACTGACTACAGCGCTGTGTTCACTGGTCGGGGAACTGAGATACCCCGCCGCTGTCATAATCGTCTTGTGGTGTTGCCTTACATCAGACCCAGCATGACTACAGATCGCATGCCGACTCCTCCTGGCGGTTTGCCTCAACCTGCCAAACACCAGGACTTGAAACCTCCCCCCCAGGGTTTCTGTTACATTGTTATTGTCTGGCTGCCCCACACTCCCTAACCTCCCCCTTGACCGTTCAATTTCAGGGTTCATGTAGAGTACATTAATGTTATTTAGGCATTATGTGACAAAACCATAAACACCTACGACTCAGAGAATGTTTTGATTACTACCCAGATATGGTATCTCAGAGGGTTCCAAATGTGACCAATGAGAACATTAACTCTTTAAAAGGTTTCTCCTTTCCCTGTTTTTTCCACCAACTGTAGTGTAAGGAATAAGCAGTGACATACAGCAGGTACTGACAGAAACCTGAGATGGGTTTTGCTTCTCGCATTATTTGCAATATTCAGAGAATTCGGTTCACTGGGGGTTGAGTTTCCACAATCACCTGACCTTGTCAAAAGGTTGATTTGATTTCACAGAATTAAAAAAAAAATGCTATTAAATCCAAATCACCTGTTAGGTGTGGTTGGTTAAAAGCAAACTTTGGAAGCAAATGTGGGGCCCGTTCTAAAGATCCAAGTTTTGTCAACTCATGCCCTCTATATCTCATTTTTATCATCAACAAAGTTTGGTTCTCAATACATTGAGAACAGAATTCCATCTGACTGAATATTCACTTTACAGACATCTGACCGATGCAAACTCCAGAGTCATTTTGGACGCTTCCCTCAAAAGAGAGAACAGTTCAGAAATTGACTGTACTTGCTATACTTTCATTGAGGTGCCACTCCCTGATTCCTTTCCTCCGATATCCTGGGCCAATTTTCCCTGGCAAACCTGGACAAAAAAACACCGGTCAGAAAATGTTGGGGCCCCAGAGAATAATCAGCCAAGAACTAGTTCCATTTTGATGGGTAACTGTCTCCTCAGCATACATTTTGCAACGCTTTGCAAATTGCTTTGGCACTGCATGAATTTTTTCCCTGGTTGACATTTTCCCAAGTCTACAGAGCACACCTGGTTTACAATTCAACACAAAAATGACAAACTGAATTCTCATTAACGCTAACAGTCCTTAATCCCCCAGCAGTTCCGGGATTCAGGACTGGTAGGGTTTGCAAAAATACCATTCTATCCCCTCATCTCCTAATAATCGTGTTATTTCTAAAAACAAAAAAAACCAAAACAAATACACTAATTCTGGTGGGAGGCATCGGTGGACAGGAAGTAATCTGGAGGACTGGAGTCGGGACAGGCCACACGCATCTGATCCAAGGAAGGCAAGCAGGTAGGATAGACGGGCAAGTTGGATGATCATCAATGTCTAACAACAGCAGACTGGTAACCTGAATCAACCAGACAAGAGAAACATTTTTTTTCAGGGCTTTGTGTGAACATGTTGTCTGTATCCCTGGCTTTATCCGAGAGCACTGGTGAGAGTTGATTCTGTTTGCAGAACATTGCTAGGAAAACACAAGATGCTGCCAGTGGTTCTAACATAACGCACCATGAACAGATGAAGCAAAACTAGTTAAGGGGGACATGCCATGCAGTTTATAACACAACCCTTGAAAATACACTTGAATATTTCCATAAACTTTTTTTCTAATTTTTATAAGTTTAAAAGGTATTTGGCTGCTTTCCAGTTTTTATGCTTTCAATTTTCAATATTCATGAGCAAAACTGTGATGTCATTCTGGGAAAGAATCCTCAAAGATATACACGAGCACCGTCAAATGAGGCCATGGGTAACAGCTGAGTACACACCTTGTGATTAGTCCACCGAGGAAAACACATAGGTGTTTAAAAACCTTATTGCATGTTCACTTTGTTAATCTAATTTCTGATTATTTTCTACAACATTAAAAAATAAAAGGAAAATAAAACCAGCTTACGGCATAAGTGAAACAGAAATTTGTGACAAAAGTATGTAGGGGCCTTTCAAAAAAAGAATTTATCAAACATTACAACTACAAAAAGCCAAAATATTTTGCCAATGTTCCTGAAAATTGTTTATTTCTCCCACCTTAAATTACATACCTCTGCCCACACACAATAAATACAAACAAGTTTTTACAACTGCTCATTTCACATACGTGAATGAAAAGTAAGTTTTTCTGGGATTTATTTCAAGAAAAAAACAATTGCACTCTTTACTTGCATCTGACTTGCACCAGTGTAGAAATGCAAATGATGAGTAAGACTGTAAGTAGCTGTGTTTAAGCCAACAGCAACAGATAGAGACATACGGTTGGACAAACAGCAATCACCAGATTTGTTCGACATTAACCTAACCTCAGAATCCGTTCTGACAGTGTGATCCGGTTCTACCAGATGTGTAAGCTGTAGATTCACTTCATTTTCTTGGGCAGCGGCCCATTTGTTGCAGGGCACACCAAAACAATTGGGTTTTCTTTGTGACCTATTCTTTTGGGGGAGCCTTAATTGCAAACAGATTTGTTGGGCCACCACCGTCAAATAGAAAAGGGCAAGTAGACAGATTTCAAACGTCATCTGTATTTTTGGGAGCAGAGAGCCTACGCAAGGTGGGTGGCGACACCCTGTTTCCGTCAAGGAGAAAGAGGGAAGGCACTCCAAAGAAGAACAGCCTTTTATTGGGAATGAAGTCACATGAATGAGTTTATTACTGAAATGTCATCTCACTCTTAGACCGATTTGCTGGCTAAGACGGATTTCTTTGCATTAACTGCGACCAATTATTGCTCAACGGGGAGACAATTTGGAAGTACTGGGTGGCCTTAGGGGTTTTTGTCTTTCCCTTAATTTTGTCCGAAGGCTGCCTCACAAAAAAAAATATTAAAAAAAATCACCGGATACTGTGGTGGGACCTTTTTTCACGAAGGCCAAGACTTGCGGCTGGCCCCTAAAAACAGTTCCGATTTTCAATCCATCACCACTGATGTCTGTTGGGAAATCATAACTGATCACAAACAAGTGGACACAGACTACTGAATCACAAGATCAAAATAATAGGAACATGTCTGGAAACAGGCCAAAGATATGGAGCACAGTCACCCAGCCAGAATGAACCCGATCACACAGGCTGGCGTGGGCCGGCCTAAGTTCTGATCTTAACCCCCCCTCCATGTGATACTAGTTAAACTTCAATTGGGCGTATCATTGGATACACCGGTGTTGATTGTCCGACTCTCAATGAGCACGTCATCAAGTGGGCCCACATATACGAACAGGTAATACATGTCTGGGGGATATGGAAAGTGGATTACTTGACAGCAACCTGTGCAACTCATTCAAACTGGCCATCATATGGGAATAAAAAAAAAAACCTGACGGCATGCAAACTCTGCTTTGGAATGAGAACTGGATTACGGAAAAAGCGCGGAGGGGGTTACACCTGATTCTTGACAGAAAGAGCATTTCTTTCCACAAAAAAATACTGTTTTGAACTTCAGAGCAACTTCTGAGGCCTTGCATCTGTTTGAATTCTGTTATTGTTTAAGTCCTATTGTAACTTGGTTCTGGGCTTAATATCAAAGCACTGCTTCACAGCCAAATTTTGTGCTAACAGAGCTTCCATTTATTTCAGAGGGACTATTAAGCTGTTACACAACAAAAGTAAGCTTACCACTGAGGAAAGATTCGCTTACATAAGTGACATAATGTAAATTATGTACTGTATTAAAAATAAGAAGCTCCATGCACACCTAACTACATGTATGAACACATCCTTTTCGTAGAACAGTGCTAAAGCACCAGTACCATTTTGCTACTATTATTAGTAAACACAACTTCTATCCTAAATGTTAAGCAGTGCAATGAAATTGGGCCCTGGATTTCACAAGATATTTTACCTGGTCCCAGCAATCTTTATTAACAGTGCGTACTTCAATTTCGTTACGCTTACATGTGATTACCAGCAACAAAAATGTAATGTTCCCCCCAAAGAGGTTGCAGCTTCAGTGTTTGTTTTAGGTCTACAGACAGCAAGTGGGAGTCCTTTTCTTGACACCTACGAAATAAAATCTGCCCAAAGAAATTTTGCTCACAGTTTACAAAAATCCACAAACAGTAAAAAAAGAAGGAAAGAAAAGGATGATGGCTAAGGTTCAAGAAACGAAGAAGATGGGGTAACCAGACAAGACACAGGGAGGAGGTGTCTGAGAAAGGAAATATTATTAACAATGAGAATTGGAGTCAGTTTCAGAGAAAGAAAAGAAGCTTGTTAAACACAGTAGCAAAACAGGCAACTAGCTTTTAACCTATATTTTCTTGGATCAAACATTTTTGCTTACCAACATTTATCTCGATTAAATGCTCTACAGGAGAGTATACCAGTGAGTAGCAGAAGAAAAAAAATCAGTGCTTACCAGAGTTGTAGATATTGCTTATGCCCGAGGAGGGAACCTTGGTGGTGCCTGTCATATTGTTGTACTTCAAGCCTGAGTAGAAGGTCGGGGATGGTTGGGAAGGTGCCGTGGGGGAGGGCTCGTCTAACTGGGTGGTCCTATGGTGGGCAGCACCAAGGGAATAACCCACCAGAGAAAGAAGTTATGAAAAATAAAATTGTTAAATATAAATGGATACTCCATATGTAGCAGATATTTTCGTCTGATACTTGTCTGGCTCCACTGACAGAAATTAATCCATTGGGATGTCACGTGCAAACCTGGTCCAAGCAGTCATGCTTCCTGCAAGTGCAGGAATGGAGGGGGGGGGCCATTGATTGGAAATGGCTCCAGGAAAACTGCTGCCAACTGAGGATTTGGAAAAGTCGGCTTTGGAGGAAAAGGAGGTGCTACGTGTACCATAAAATCCTCAGGGAAGGAGAAAATTCATGTTTATGGCGATGAAGTTATGAGGTCATGACTTTTTTTCCTGTCTTCTTTCTTCTTTATATACACAGTACATTGAAAACATTCGATTAGTAAGTTTACAAAAACTGCTCATCACTAGAATACGAGAAGTACCATCTGTCATACTGACAAGATTTTGACAAGATAAAAGACACAGACTCATTGTGCCAGAAGACAAGATTATCAAACTGACAACGCAGTCAGGGCGCTGGGTTCTGGTCAAAGCTACCCCTTGTCTGCTTCATACTGATAAGATATTGCCAACATTCTGTTAATAGTTGAGCTGTTAACTATGGTGTGCACTGGTGTACCAATTCAAACCAAGGATCCGACTGGCTCAGTGGTTGAGTTGGTAAGACGTTTGAGTTAGTAGCCTGGAGGTCGTTAGTTCAAATTCCACCAGGGCAAGCACATGTGTTTTTGTGGTGTTTTTCCCCACAAGCTGCCGGTAAGCATTGAAAATTATATATAACAGGCCTTGCCCCCACCCATTATATATAACAGGCCTTGCCCCCACCCAACGTATATTAATAAGCACTGTATGCTCAGTGCCCGTCCGAGAGCTTGCGAAAAAACCTCGCAAGCTTACTCGGGTGGGACTCGAACCCACGACCTCCTGCTTACTAGTGCAGATGATGAAAGCATTGAAAAGTTGTCCCTTAAACAAGTAAATTCAAGTCAGTAGAGACTATAAAGCAAAACCAAATTTTATCGAGTCATTATGATGTATACTACTCCCTTGTAACATCTCTGTATTCATCTCCCCCAACCTCATTCCGATTCCACCTGATAAAGAGGACCATGCATGGGATGTGGTGTACGTTTTACAAAGCACTGCAGCAAGACTTTTTCCTCACCCATTTTATCGACTTTGTTTCCCCTGTTCTGCATGTACACAAAGTGGAGAAAAACCAGAATATTGAAGCTAATATTTAGAGATCCAACTTTCACCAGGAAAACAAACTCAAAAATTTGACAGAGTGTCTCCTTTTTAAATGGATCAACCAGAGGGAAAAACACCATTCAGAACCTAGCAAAGAGCAGACACAAAGAAGATAATGTTGAAGCTACACCCCGGGAATGTTTTCTTTGCAGATAATCCAAATATTATTACAAACATATCCGGCCAGTAAACTGCTGGATCTGGTGAGAATAGTAAGATACATCATTTTGGGATTGCTGCATCTCAGTCAGAGAAAAAAAAGTTGTCGTGAAAGTGACAATGGTCAGGTGTGAAAACCCTACAGGCTGTGTACGTACATATGTATCTAAAAGGCGGCAACATATAAAGTAAATGTCAGACAACGGTAGTATGCTGTACCAATAACAGCTCACTGAGCCTGCATCAAGGCTGCTGGTGCCCAAATGTTAAGTTTGTTTTTCTAGGACCCTCGAATTTCTCACAACATTCACAGTCCCCAGCAGGTGAGGAATTCCCCACTGAATCACGGCCAGGCCCTGCGACACAGGGTTGTGAAATCCCTCCATGAAGGGTTCACGGCAACAGCAGGCTTGTGAAAATACGGCAGGAATCGAGCATTGGATAAATGCAACAGTGTAAGATTTGGACAGTGGCTGGTGGAATGAACACGTGCATATGCACGGGACGTGACCGTGGCTCCGTGATGTGATGTGACAAGCTAGGGAACTGCAGTCTACTTGTCTGCTTATGTTGGCTCCCGCACCCTATTGAATGTGCCAGGGAGCATGGGAGGGGGGGGAGGAACAACCTTCTGGGTCTCATATTCATTCAGCCACAAATGTACAAAAACATGCTGGGCAAAATTTATATTCTGAGCATAACCAGCACAGAAAAAGTCTCAGCAGTAAGCGTTACACATTGACTGTAAGGGGTGATAACCCCCAAAGGAGCAAGACCTTTTATTTAATTAACGATGAAAAGCAATTTCTGGGATCATTTTACATTCCTTTATTTCAAACCATGTAAAAACCCCGAAAATTGAGCCCCACTCATTAGAAAGGTCAAAAAGGTAACATGAAGAAATTGGCAATTTCTTTGGCCCACCAAAAAATTTGGTTCTGGATTTGCCCTTGAAACTAAATGCTATCAAGGCTTAAACCTCTTTCTATTAAGCAGATTTTGTTCTGTAAAAGACAAATAAAAAGCATGTATTCTTTATTGAGCGTTGGTCCTTTTTTCCATATTAAAAACATCAATACATACATGTATATGTATCTTTCTTTCAGGAGTTTTCTTGTTTTAAAATCTTGCTGTTAAATATCCAGCAAGCTCTGATGATACATTTGAAGAAGCTAAAGCTTCAGCAATGGGGCGCCACTTTTGGTGATTCAAACTTTTTACCCAAAATGATGTGGACGATTGAGCAGTGACAGTTCTGACTTAAGATGTGACGAGCTAACATTGCTACATGTATGTGCCTTGGCAAGGTTGGAAGGTTACAACCTGATTACTCCGTAATTGAATTAGGGAACACTGTTGCTCAACCTTGAAGTTGTCCAAGACTTATGTTTTGGCTGTATGTGCACTCACTGCATGCATGCATGCTGTTGGGGATGCAGTACCGAAGAACAAACATCAATGCAGGCTCAGTTCTTGACTTGAGGATAAGACAGGCAAAAAAAATAATGAATTTGACAGCGTTCTCTACGGCCAATGTTTAACATTTTCTGAAAACTCTGGAGACAAGGAAAACTCTTCCATGCAATTGCAAGCCTGTCTATATCCCATCTAGAACCTGCCTATATCCTCTGAAATGAAATCTGATTGGTTATTTTCACTTCTATAATACTGCAAGGGTTTCTCAACAGCAAACATGATTTACACTGTGGGTCTGAAGCCTGAGGACACTTCCAGGAAAAGATGAGAGAGGAAAGTTCAGGTTCAGGTCGCGAGAACACCTTGGAATAACTTTCCAGGGAAAGACACAGCATCACTGCAGACAGTAAAATCTCAATTCACTTCTTGACTTTGGAAGAACAATGGAAGAACTCACAAACCCAAACCATTCAGCAGAAAGTGCAGCCTCATCATCAAACTTATGCTGGAATAAACCTATTTCTGTTGACCCCTCTTGCGGTGTTCCTCATCTGCAAAATGTTACACATCTGTGCCAAGGACTGGCCCCCTACGTGCCATAATGGAAGGATTGCAAGCAGGGCCCCTGCACTGTCACCAACATGACGTCCCGCGGATCAGAGGACAGATGGACAGCAAACACTCATCCACTTCCCACGCAGGCATCAACCAATTAGATGAGCATATTTCTGGCCGTGAGAGGCAAACAACATTATCTTCCCACACACTAAGTGGTGCAGATATGCAACCGCAGTTAAGACTTTAATCCACAACCTGCTCAGACATTTCACAGTTTGAAGTTCTTTCATAAGCTTTGTGCTGTGAATGAAGCCTACATTCCCATTCCCAAGGCCTCACATACAGTTCATTCACAAAAACCCTGTGATACTCAGAATGCATTTATAATGTCCCCCCTCGGTAATAGAAAACATTAAATTTTTCCATCAATGCTTCTCAAGCTAGCTCCCTTGATCCCTCAGTACGTCAATCAATAAAGCCAGCCAAATATCCAATCAATTAAATCTTTTAATACCACTGATTTTCATTCAAGTACACAATTCCTTTGTTGAGGTGATAAAAATGACATTCTCTGGAAATGACGGAGTGAAGGACTTTGGGACTTAATGCAAGAAAAACTGTCTCATTTTAATATTTCCATCCCGTTTTTTCTAATGTACACTCTGGAAACAAATCTGCTGACTTCAGTGTAACTACCAGATCAATCCCAACTGACATAATTTTTTCATGTAAAAGGAGTTAAAGTAGGCATAAAAGAAGTTTGAGTGGGCATAAAAGAAGTCAAAGTGGGCATAAAAATCCTTGCCCTGGCCAGCATACATGTAGATAACTGTCATGAAATATAACTGGGTACCGCCTACATCGGTAAATAACCTACACGGTGCCTCACCGTTCGTGCTTAGCAATTCTTGAAATGCAGTGTCACAAGAAAGTATTCAAATGAATGTGGATTGCGCTTGACGTTGCATTCTCTGAAACCGCTCGGATGTTCTGAAGGAGCAGTGCATACTGAGTGGCCGTGCCTACTTTGCTATTGCTGCTGGTCAAACTAAGAACTTGTTCTACAGTGTACAATTTTTATGAAGAATTTTGTTTCTGCACATTTTTATGCTTCACATGAAATGCTACGGGGGTGGGACAGGCAAAGAAATTAAGGTAAGAAAAAAATTGCTACATGATCGTATCAAGTTAATCATTTCCTTCATGAAAACTTATCTCTATAAACTTCTTCACATTACAGAAAAGAAAATAAAAAACAAAAAAAAAAACGGAGAAAACAGAACTAAACTCTGCCTTTGAGCTCCTCAGGTCTAGCATACCCTTCTGTGCCTCACATGGGACAAACATCCTCCATGCTACCATAACCCAGTGACAAGGGGCCTGCGTGAAACTGCAAAAAGACAGGAGCAGAGGGAGAGAGCTGGACGGAGAACTGGCAAGTTGGAATGTTAAACTTGCAGTGGGAGAAATGCCTGGGTCTGGGGCAGCGCAATCCATGGTATGATGATTGCTTCACAGGCTGATCAAATCTCCACTCCCCGGGTAAAGCATGCATAGGCTTTTGGGGTATCACAGAATGCATGTGGGAAATGACTGGAAAGCTTAAAGGGCCTGACCAACTCAAAGTTGTTTCTGTGCTGTGTCCCATTTCACCTCATTTTCACTTCTTACTGGGAATTTATTGGGACAATCTGGTGCCTGATGGAATTTTACACTGCAGACAAATTTGTCTATTCATAATTAAAGTGTGACACCATTCCACGACAACTCAGCACTGTTACTTAGAACTAAAGGTATTAAACAGCATGATTTGACAGTAAGTAGGATGTTTTGCTGCCTTAATTCTTCTTTGGTGATTTGCTGTTGTTCCAGTACACGACTGTGGGTAAATGAGCAAAGTTTTCAAGCAAATGTTTTCAAGGGAGCAAACTTTGGGTTCTTCTAAATAACAGTGTCTCCCTTCATAAACACAGTAACAGCACCCTGGCTTGTAAAGAATTGTAGGGAAAAGTTTGAATGTTACATTGTAAGTCTACAGTGTTAATGCACTTAAGAGGGGTAGAAAATGACACAAAATAATATGTTCCTCAGTGATTGTGTCATAGTTGCAGGGGAAGAGGGCATTCATTCAATCTTACAATTCTCTCGACTTGGCACTTTACTACTGATTACTATACGATAAATACTATTATGGATATTGGATGCTCACATTACAATTTCAACAGTAGGCAACTTAAAAAGCAGGGAGAAATTACTTAAATTTCACACTGTTGACAATCCAGTCCTGCCTTTATTAATTAACCTTGCCTTTTTGGACATAGCAGGCTTCAGATATGTTTGGTTTGACATTAGATTTTGAGCAACGGTATTTTGAATACTTGCTATAGCACACGGTAAATGAAATATTCTTAAAACATAAATGTATATCATGAATTTAATAAAGAAAAGTTGGACAATTCAAACATCTGGTGTACAAATGGGAAGTCAAAAAAGCCCAAAAATTCTAAGATGCAAAAAACTACCAATGATGCTTTTCAAGTTGAAAAGTAAATCGGTTTCAAGTAAGAAATCAGCTGATCTGAGGTAAATTTTGGTGCATGAGAAGTTGAAGAACAAACAATGTAGAGATCTGAATTTTCAGGGGTCTGACAACTCTGACCTCACCTTGCCATACGTTGAACACTGACTGGCTTCCGGGCCTGAGAGGATTTGACTGGGGGCCTGGGCTTGATCTGGCCAGGGGCATGGTTGCTAGAGTGACCAGTTGGATGACCACTGGAGGCTGCATTCCGCTGGAGGGCCTCTCGAAGGGCCGAGGCATTTGAGTGAGCTTGAGCAATCTATGGTGACAATCACACACTTCAAGCATTTAAACCTCAGATTTAGAAAAACACAGAAATCTCACAATTTGGGATCCAACGTCAGAGAGATTTTAAGTTTTAAACAGAGAACTTAAATTTTATTTAAGCATGAACCAGATTTGAATGAATGCATAGCTGTGGTGCCCAAAAAACGAAGATACATAAAAAACGCAGCAAGTAACAATTCAAGTTTGCAAAAAAGTCATTTTAGCTGTTCAAATGCCCTCAGGGAAGGTCAACTTGAACAACCAAAAGAGTCACACAGCATTTTACATGTAAATGAACTACAGCAAGTGACAGAGGTATTCCAGGAAGTTCATGAATCTGTCTTCACATGTGATTGATTCAACGGTACATTTATGGAATGGTGGTGGCAACTGATGGCACTTGGAATGAACAAGCTATAATCAGACATTGCTTCACACTTAAACAATTTGCGGGAAGCTAATTTTCAGGCCATGGTACCCGTAAGAGAAAGGGTGACCTTAACGGGTTAGCAAAATGCATAAAGAATTTGTCAGACATCCTCAAACCATTGCCCCATCCCAATGATCTAGGGGATTCTAGTGTGTGTTTCCTTTCATTTGTTTGGCTTTGGGGGATTTACCAACCTGACAAATGACTTTGAAACGTTCAAAAATAAAGCCCTACGTATCTTCACATTAAAAAACTAAGTAAATTGACAGGAGACTTTCCTCTGCTAAAATTCTTGACAAACAGCTATACATTGTGGTGTGCAAGTTGGTTTTAAGGGAAGAGTTTCTGAAAATCTGGAGGGCAATGGCTGAAAATTGAAGTAAAAAAGGAAAAACAAAACACCTGTATTTATCTGTGCACATGTCAAAAACAACTTGGGGATTGTAACTGTCGCACATCCATGTACATGTAATACCATTTTGCATTACCAAGCTCCAACATGATGTGCAACAACAGTTTGTAATACCGTCAGACCGTTGGCGGACCTAGGTGGAGTTTTTTTCAAATATATTTTGGAAAGGGGGAAGGCATCCCGAAAGAGAGAAGGTCATAGTACTGACGTCAAAAGAAATAACTACGGGCACGGGGTCTTAGCAGTGGTCCTTTGGGACATCTGATTTTGATGACTTTTTAGACCTAAGATGGAATCGTTGTCCGTATCGTTTAAACCAGGAGGGAGGGTGTATGATAGCATCTGTGGAAGGGTTGGAGGGAGGTTCCCAAACCCCCTGATGCCACCAGCACTTCAGACAGGGTGTATCTAAAGCTCAAGTTAGTGATATAAGGCAAATGTGTACAAAAATAAATGTCCTAATAAGATCTGCTACGTACACTGCACAGAGGAACGTGGAATAGTGTTCATTAACAGTATTAAACTTGAAAACAAAACTGACCGGGGCATCTCCTTGAGGTGGCACTCATCAAGGCATGCATCAGCTGGAATGTTTAACAAGTAGAGCCCATTCAGAAATGAAAACCGACAGCCTAAAATATGACCATAT